ATTTTAAGTATATTTTTTAATCTTTATATATATATAATGGAAAAATAAAAGTAATAAAGAAAATAATTAAGTTATAAAGGAAAAAATAAAAAAAAGAATATATTTTTAATAAAATTATAAAATCTTAAGTAATATTAAAGCTAAGTTTAAATAAATAAATTGCTTTTTTATTATATATATAATATAATGCTTTTTAAAAATAATAAATTATTTAATTAAATACTTAATAATTTTGCATTATCTTAAAATAATTAATTAAATAATTTAATTAAGTAATTTATTTTATTAAATACTTAATAATTAAGATTTTAATAAAATGTTTTTTTAAAGGTATAATTTAATTATTAAGCTTTAAAATTAGCATTTAATATATAATTAATAAAGGGTTATCTTAATATATTAAGTTCTTATAATAAGTAATTAATATTTCTTTTTCTTTTATTAATTTATAGCTACTTTATAATTATTAATTAATATTAAAAAGATTTACTTTATATAAAAATTTATTTTAATGTTTTAAGGTAAGTAATTAATAGTAATAATGGCTTATTTCTTTTAAATAAAAAGCATTTTATAAGGAAATGCTTAAGACGTCTTTATATAAATTAAAAAAACTATATATTAATAAACTTTAAAATATTTAAATATTTTAATTATATTTATTATAATTAAAGGGAATTTTAATAATAAAATAAATATTATTATTAATAAGCATATTAACTTATAATATATTATATAAAAAGAGTTATTAATTTTAAAATATAATATTAAAAAAAAGAAAAAGCTATTAAAAATTAAAAAGTATTTAAATTTAAAAGTAAAATTAAATTTAAAAATATTAAAAATTAATTTAAGTAAAAAGGAAAATAATAATATTAATTAATAAAAAAAAATTTAGTTTATTATTTAATTTAAAAATAATTATTAATACTTAATAAATAATAATAAATTAAAGGTATTTTTAAAATAAAATATGTAAAATTAAATAATAATAAATAATAAATATTTTTATATAAGTTTAAATATAATATAATAATTAAATTATATTAATATTTATATTAATATTAATAATTTTTTAATAAAAGTAATAAAAGAAATTTAATAATAAGGAAATAATTATATATATATATATTTATTTCCTTATTTAATTCCTTATTTAAACTAGCTTCATTTTAAAACGTTTTAAATTTAAAATTAACCTTAGTTTTAAACCGTTTTAAATTTAAATTTAACTTTAATCTTAAAATATTTTAAATTTAAAATTAACCTTGTTTTAAAACGTTTTATATTTAAAATTAACTTTATTTTAAAATATTTTAAATTTAAAATTAACCTTAAATTAAAATATTTTAAATATAATATTATTTTTTAATAATAAGTTATTTAAATTTAAATAAACATAAATATATTTATCTTTCCTATTAATATCTTTTATTTTTCTCTCTTTTTAATTTATTTATACCTATTTTTTTATTATTTATTAATTAAATATTTACTTTTAATACCTTAAAAATACCCTTTTTTTACTTTATTATTATTATATCTTTTTATATTACCCTTAAGGCTTAAGCTAAGCTTTTTAAGCTTGTTTTTTCCTTTTTTATTAATTCTTTAATTAATAACTTACTTATAATTAATCTTTTTTTTATTAATACCTTTTTTAAAACTTAAATATTACCCTTAATATAATTAACATGCCGTATAACTTAAGTAACCTATTATATTTCATATATTTCCTTTTTTTCTTTTTTTCCCTTTTCTTTATTTATTTATCTTTCTTTTATTTATAATAAGATTCTTTTTAATAATTTTTAAAAGCATTTTAAGGTTAAAGGATATAAGAATACATTATATAATCCTTATAACCCTTTCTTATAATTAAATAACCTTATAAGTATTCCTTATTTTATTTTTAACTCTTTTTTTTATTAATATATATTTAGCTTTTCCTTTTAATTAACCTTATTTATAAAGATAATAAAAATACTTTTATATTGCTGGATATTAATATAAGATTTATTAAAAGATTTTAATAAAATATATATTAATATTTCTTAGCTTTTCAACTTACCCCCTTTTCCTTTTTTTTCTTTTCTTTTAAACCTTAATCTTTTAAGCCCTGCATATAACTCTAAGTATTTATATTTCTAAGTAAGTTATATATTATTTAAAACCCCTTTTTTTATTTTATTTATTAATTTTTTTTAAAAACCTATAATATTCTTCCTAATTTTAATAAGATTTTAAATTTTAAGCTCCTTGCTTTTTAAAGCTTAGCTTTCTTAAGGTTTAACTTTATAAATATTAACTTTATCCCTAAAGTAAGTATATCTTTAAAATACCCTTTTTTAATATATATTTTAATATTAAATTTATTAAAATAAAACTTAATTAATAATCTTAAGAAATAATTATATTAAATATATTTTAATAAACTTATCCTTATTTAATAAGAAAAAATAATTAATATTTTAACCTTATAAAAATATATTTAAATATTAATAATATTTTAAATTATTATTTAATTTTAAGAAAATTAAAAAAAGGAAATTTAAAAGGAAATTCCTTTTAAATTAGCTTAAAAATAATTTCTTTTAAGTTATCCTTATTAAAAATTTATTAATTTAATAAATTATACTTATAATTATATTATTTAATATAATATAAGTTTTTTTTTTTCCCTAAATTATAAATATTTATATATTAATATAACTAATTTATTTAATAATATTTTAATAATCTTAAAGGATTTCCAACTTATTTTTTATGCTTAAATTATAAAAAGATTTATATTTCTTAATAATAAGTTTATATATATTAATAATATATTAATAAAGGTTGTTATAATAATTATAACCCTTTTTATATTTAATTATTTAATTATTTAATTATTTAATTATTTAATTATATTTTTTAAATTTTTTAAATTTCTTTTATTTTTTTAATTATATAAATATAAATATAAATATAAAATACTTATATTTTATATTTAATTTATATTTTATAACTTTAATAATAAGTTATAATTTTAAATTATTTTAATAATATTTTATAATAATAAAAATTATATATATTTAATATATAATAAATTATAATTTTAAATTAATTATAATAAAAATTATATATATTTATTAAAAGAAGAGAAAATTATAAATATTAATAAGTATAACCCTTGCCCTTAAAAGGCTACTTTAATTATTCCTTATAGGGCATATAACCTCTTAAAACTTAAATAAAATAACACCAATAAACGATTGCTTCCCCGTACGATTATCGTATGTACGAGAGACCTACCAACACCCGCCGTTGATAACGTAGTCTTCAAATTCACTGGTGCATAGAAAATTGCCGTGGGCACAGACGTGTCGAAGAATTATGACCATGCAGTCCAAGGCAGACAGACATGTCTTCGCTGTCTGAGCCATCTGATCCTGGCCAGTATCGAGAAAGGACCCAGCGGAGTGCGTCCTCGCCGTGCCCGAGCCTCTTCACGGCCGCTGCAGCAGAGCCCAAAGGCTGCAGCGCCGCGTCCAGCTTGTCTGTTTCCGTCATCCTGTTGTATTCTTTTGATGGGTCCAGTGTGTTTCGATTCAGTACTTGTGATTATCTGCCACGGATCGTGAAGGGCGCGCGTCGTGCAGAGCAGATTGTGTCGTCGTCTGGGTTGCGACCGTGAGTTTTACTGCATCTTCGTTTACTTGCTACCTACCTGGCTTGGTACGCGAGCTCTGGGCCGCAGCTGATTGCCAGCTGCCAACAACGTTTGTCACGGCGTAGGACCACCATGTCCAGCCCAGCCCAAGCCAGGAGCTTTCTCTTTGCAGTCCAGAGGCACATGAGCCTCATCGACTAGCTGTAGTTCATTGGAGAGTGTGAGAGCTGCTCTCCTTTCCCGTCATCAAATGCCTGGTCCTCGCCCGTTCACCCCGTACCTCAATCTGCTACCTGTGTGGTCCTCTTCGGGGTCTAGGTCCCGGTCCAGCTGCGGGAGTCTAGATGAGCGGCTCTGGGCCATGACATGCTCATAATTTAGGTTGTAGGTGACACTGATCATCAGGGCTCGAACAATTCTCGCCATGCGGTTACGCCGTCCTGCTCTTGGCCAGTGAACCCAGGCTGACACTGGCGATCCATACATCAGTCGTTTCCACGAAGACCAAGCGGAGCTACTCAGTAGTATCTAGAGTTGCCAATGATTGATTCCCGTGTATTTTCTTTTGATCGCAAGACATGAGTGCTGATCAGTCGCTCGAGGAGTGTCTTCCAGCAACGTTGAATGGCTGATGCGTGTCCCCACCGTCACTCTCGACCACCCTAAGATTTACATAGTCCAGCTGTAAAAACGTAAAGACGAGTTGAATATGTCTCCGTGCGTGAGTGGGGGAGATAAGTGATCCCAACCTCGCGTGTTTAGTCAGCCTGTTCAAAATCTCGGGCGAATTGGCTTGGCTTCTTTCGTCCGTATTTCGGCCGGTCAGTGTCATACCTACTGCATAGGAGGCGGATGGCAAGATGCCACTGTTGTTGGCCGGTGCAACTTCTCTGTCTACCACTTGGACCTCCCCTAGCATTAAGCACAAATTTACACATCGAATTTGACTCGCCAAGATGCGGTTCATTAATTACACTAATTTGAACGAGAAGTACTTATTCTATTGACGGATTCGGCACAAGACCCGTCCATCTGTCGGCCGAAAACCAGATGGGCTCCGGGGTTGTTACGCAATCTTAGTCATGGTGAACTCCCCTTCTTGCGGCCTGACAAATAGTCAAAACTGGTCACCATTACTATGATTGAGATTTCAAATTTGTAATACAAGACCTGTTGTAGGCTGACCCAGGTGTTGTCAAGAAAGTAGTACTTACCACACATGTGACTTCAGGAACCAGCCCCAGTCGATGCAGTTGCTCAACTGACTCAATTGCAGAAGACCTGCTTTCTCCGCCTACCATGCATTCTTTCGACTGACCTTTTCCCTGATCATAGTGGTTTGGTCGACATGGCTCCTACCATTCTAGTTGTTGGCGCGACTGGCAACACCGGCCGAGGTGTTGTTGAAACGCTGCCGAAACTGCTCGGTTCTGGCGGTGCCTTGTCCGGTCATCGAGTCGTTGCCCTCACACGTTCTTTGGCTAGCCCGGTCGCACAAAGGCTTGCTACACTATCTGGTGTTGTCGTATTGGAGAAAAATTGGGTTGACATCACCGCTGACTGGCTGCGCGAGCACGAAGTCGTAAGGGTGTTCATTGCACCCCACAACCAGCCAACTCAGTTTCCTGACGAGTCCACGTTCCATCTTGCCGCTCTCAAAGCAGGCGTCCAATATGTCGTACGGATCTCCACGACCGCACCGAATGTCCGACCGGACTGCGAGGCCTACTACCCACGTTCGCACTGGGCCATCGAAGCGCTTCTCAGCTCGCCTGAATTTAGAGCCTTACAGTGGACTTCACTGCAACCGAATATATTTTCCACTCTGTACTTGTCTTCGGCTGCCGAGCTGATCAAGCAGTATCGCGAAACTGGACAACAAAACACGCTCAAGTTGATTGCATCTCAAGATGCCCCGGTTGGCATTGTCGAGGCTTACGATGTCGGGGTCTTGGCAGCCCAGCTGTTGTGTCAAGAGGACACTACTGTGCACAATAATGCCAGATATGTTATAAATGGCCCTGAGGATATTACGGGAGAGCAGATTGTGAAGATGGTTGAGGATCACATCGGGACCAAAGTGCAGAGTGTCAGCTACAAGGACTTGTCATTCCTTGAGTCTATGGCCAGCTCAGTGATTCAAGGAGACAGGCACCTCATGTTGTCCCTCAAGAATGCTCCAGTAACGGCGTGGGAGGGGAAATGCATGGCTTCCACAACCAGCAAGGAGGTACTGCAGCTCGCCGCACCTACTCGGACGCCTGCTGAAGTGCTAGAAACCCTGTTGGCAGAATGATCTATCTTTTTCCTGTTCCATTGGGGATCTAATATGGAGATTTTGAGCTGGGTTAGCGAAAGTATGCATCAGCTACCGGTGGTGCATGGTGTCCTAAAGCTTGAGTACCGGCACACGAGAGGTGCTCAATTGTGGCGTAAATGATTTGACTCAACAGTGGCAGGAACTCTGACCAGAGATCCTGTGACACAGTGTGATTTGTGAAATGGACAAGAGCACAAGGTTTCACGTGTATGTGAACTTCAATGTCATGTATTCGTACTCTTCAAAGTTTAGTGTAAATCAATCGAGAAATCTTAGCCTTGATTCACCGTCTAGATACAAGGAATAAAATACAGCACTGCGGATTTCACCGCGTGCAGCAGAGTTTAGTGCTGACAGGAACCAGTCGTATTCAACTTTGCCCATCGAATCCTGCGGCTCAATTGGTATGCAGGGCGAGTAGGCTGCCAGCGGGGGAAGCCTTCAAATCAACACCATAGACCTCAAATTGGACCACACCTCCATGATTGGGTCAAGGATCTTCAGGGTGACTTTCAGAACGGAATACATCTATTGCTCCAGCGTTGTATCAATACGTTTCAATCCTGAGGCATAGTCAGCCGTCATGCACGTGGATATCGACATGCCGGGGCTAACTCGAGCGAAGCCCGCCTCGTCCTCCTCCACCTCACCCTCCTACGCCGTGCTCCTATCTGGGACTCACGTCACAGGCAAGGAGACACTCGCAGTCTCCCTATCAAATGCGCTGGGCTGCCCCTGGATCAAGGCTGAAATGGCCCACAACGCCGCAACCTTCGGGGCGCGGTCCCAGGCGAAGCGGGGCTTTGACTACGGCAAGGTCTTCGAGCGGATCTGGTCGTCCAAGCTGCTGCGGCTGGGCTTCCTGGCGAGCAATAATGAGCCAGATGCCGGCGAAGAGCCCAGGCCAGGGGCCGAGGCGCTTGGGAGGGAGGTGCCCGATGGGACAACACAGCAGCAGCAGAAATGCGCCGCGGTCATCTCCCTGTACCACATGCGCAAGCCCGCGCGGGATGCTATCCGCGACGCCATGCTGGCTCAGTCCGTCAAGCCCGTGTTCGTCATCCTGCATATCACGGAGGAGACCCTCTCTGGGAGGACGCCAGGTGCGGAGGAGCCGCGGCTGGCTGAGAGGATCATGGCGTACAAGGTTGCGGACATCCAGGAGCCGCTTGAGGAGGAGAGAGACGTCATCTTGGTGGACTCATTGCGGGATGTGGATGCGTTGTTCCCAGAGATCATGGAGAGCGTTGCGCGGCAGCTGCAGATTGGTGTGTGAGGGATTACGGAGTTTCCTATGCCTGTGGTATTTGGATGTTGTTGTCTTGTCACTTTGCTCTATTCAACTCTACCCAGGGAACAAGGATTGGCATGAAGAAGCTGTGGTTAGAGCTTGAGAAGAATACTCCTCTTATTCAACCCCCCCCCCCCAAAGTGATGATACATAGAGGGCTGGTCTTTCAAATAGAAAATACAATTGTTCAAGCTACCAAGACATTCATCGAACCGGAGCTATGAACCACTTTCTCGTAAAATTCCGCCCAAGCTGGTCTATTTGGCTACTTCTTGTCCTTCCGCAAATACTCAATAGTGTGGAATGACCAGACAGGAATTTGAAGGGTGGGTTTTCCAGGCTTGCGTAAATTTCATAAATATCCAACCAAAGCATTGTCCAGTTTACAAAGCAACTCAACTATTGATAGCATTCGTTGAAGGGATGGATGAACAAAGCAAAGTAGATTGTTGAACAACTCAACATCACCTTGTTTATTTAAAGCAGATAAAGGTTAACTAGAAATGACTGATTGTGAGAGGCGTATGGGAGAGAACAGAAGTTAGAGAAGCTCCATTGATTTGTAGTCTATAGTCTGTAGTATGTTCTCGTGAGCAGCAACTGAACCAAAACATATCACAAAACCTGTTCGAAAGATTTGCAGATGTTTACCAGTCGCGGCTCAAATCTTGTAGAGAAAGGCATCTAGAATACAGACCCAAGGCATTGAAAGATGGATTCCTTCAGAGCCCCTGGTTTTCAAAATCTGTCATGCAGTCTGAAAGGCAAGAGAGGAAGGCGAGATACCTGGATGACTGTCTGCCAATGGTTCGATGGAAGGGCAGGGCCACTCAGACTGCTGGGGGTTTAATGATCAAGGGCTATCCCCATTCAAGAGGCCGATGACCGGCCCAAGCGGCTGACAATTCGGGAGAGCAGGCAGAGTGAGGTCCTCATGGCAATGATCCTCTCTTCCTTCAATCTTTCTTTCAGGGCCTATTTTCCTTCTTGAAACATACACTCGGGAATCGTATTGAAGATCTGCGATTGTCAGGGAAACAGCAGTTGACAGCCCATCGGAATGTTTCTTCTGCTCGGGTGACGATCTGCGGCCCGACCCCCCTGCGTAATCCCTGAATACCACTTTAAGCTCCCGCGGCGATAGGCTTATCGCACCCTCGTACCACTGCGACGGCAATTCCCAACCAAGCAAGCAGCAGCGAGATCTTCAACAATTTTCCAGATCCCGCGAGGTTGCGAGCAACACTGACCACGGCTCCCTCGAGTTCTGAAGCGCCTCATCGCTGGGATGAGGAGATTATTCCTCCCACAATCGGCTTCCATCCCTCACCAGCTCCGGAAGGCCCTGCTCTATTCCGCGTCGCGCGGCCACTTCTCGTCGCCATGTGTCTCCTCATCCCGCCATGAACGAGAGCTGTTCTCGTCATCCTCAACAAACGCCCTTGATGCCGCGCAGGCCTCAGAGGCCGGCAGTGGCTCGCACAACGCACAGGAACCCGATGGGCAGGATCACGACAGGAACATACGCGAGCAAGACAAGTCCCGGACCATCGCGGCGCCCCCGCCCAGGCTCCCATACCGGTTCGAGACGGGCATTTCCCTCTTCGCCAAGCGCGCGCCGAGGCCCTTCCCTCCTCCCTTCCTCTCCCCGCCCTCGGGCTCCTTCAGCGATCCCCTCAGCACGCATCACCAGAGCCGCGACCGCCGGCCCAAGGTCAACGGCCAGCTGATCACGGGGTGGACGAACGGGGACGATGCCGCCTTCGCCAGCGAGTACTTCGTTGGCGCCAACGACGGCGTGGGTGCGTGGAGCGCCCGGCCGAGGGGCCATGCCGGGTATGTCTCTTTTCTACCGCTAGCTGGGTTCCCAGACGTGAGGAAATTGCCGGGGCTGACGATTGAGATATAGGCTGTGGGCGAGACTGATCCTACATTTCTGGGCGATGGCAATGAGTGAAGACGCGTCGCGACCACGAGGACCGAGCGATCCCCCCTACCAGCCGGACCCTGTGGCGTACCTGGAGAAGGCTTACGAACAGACGAAAGAAGCGACGTCAGGGCCCGACTGGCAGGGAACTACGACAGCCACAGGAGCACAGCTGTTCTACAAGGCGGTAGAAGATGCGGAGCCGGGGAAGCCCGTAGCAACGGGCGAGAGCAGCAAGACCGCGCCGGTGCTGTACGTGACAAACCTAGGCGACTCGCAGGTGATGGTGGTGCGGCCGAGCTCGGGGGAGCTGGTGTTCAAGACCAAGGAGCAGTGGCACTGGTTCGACTGCCCGCGGCAGCTGGGGACCAACAGCCCGGACACGCCGGTGCAGAACGCAGTGCTGGACCAGGTACCGATCGAGGAGGGGGATGTGGTCCTGGCGATGTCGGATGGGGTGATTGATAACCTGTGGTCGCACGAGATCGTGGAGAACGTGAGTAACAGTGTCAAGAGGTGGGCGGCAGGGGATGTGGGGAGGAGGACAAGGAGCAGCGACAACCCCGGCGGGAGTGGATCCATGGCATTTGTGGCCGAGGAGCTGATGCTGGCTGCCAAGACGATCGCGCTGGACCCCTTCGCGGAGAGCCCGTTCATGGAACACGCGATCGACGAGGGCCTGCCGAGTGAGGGAGGTGAGTTTGATCTGATCTCAATTTTCATGAAGGGGCGCAAAATGCTAACATTCTGGCTGTCAGGCAAGCTGGATGATATCACTGTTGTGGCAGCGCTGTGCACGCGAAATGATGATGCGTGATCACCATGTTGGCTGGGACTGTCGGGAGTCATGGCAGCAATGATCTGTTCAGACCCAGGCCGGAGAGAGGCTGGAGTCTGGTGGTCCTTACTCTCATGGGGCTGCGTGCTCTCTTGTGGGCGGCTTGGAAGGGATATGAGATCGAGGGTAAAACATGGATTCAGCACTGGGAGTTTTGGAGTTTCTGAATCGCCTCGCCCGCGGTCCTGACTTACTTAGACGGATTGCTGCAGTTACAGCGGCCATTAGCGGCTCACTGCAACCTTATTTTGCTGATCAGCCGCTGTCATAAAAAAAACGGTGGGGCAAGTAGACGGCTGCACCGTATGTACCTCAGGGAACCTGCCGCCTGATAAGCGGGAAGCTACGATAACGAAATATTTTGAGAGGACCCAACTCCAAACTTGACTTTGCGACATGCAGAGCCCAGTATCCCACCACCAACCTCATTCTCGATCATTCTGTCACCAAGCCGTATTCTTCCTCCGCCACGGCGCCACGACGCCTCTCCATACAACGCAACACAATCCAATCCCAACACCTGACCGCCCAGCATGAGAGGTAAACGCTCAAAACAATACCGCAAACTGCTCAAGCAGTTCGAGCTCGCATTCGGCTTCCGCCAGCCCTATCAGGTCCTCGTCGATGCCGAACTCGTCAAGGATGCCCACCGCTTCGCCATGGACCTGCCGCAGTACCTCTCCAACACCCTGCACGGCGAGGTCAAGATCCTGATCACGCAGTGCTCGATGCGCCACCTGTACGCGCAGAACAAGGAGCCCGGCGTGGCCAGGGTCATCGACAAGGCAAAGGACTACGAGCGCCGGCGGTGCGGCCACCACCCGGAGGAGTTCCCGGAGCCCTGCTCCACGCTTGAGTGCCTGGGCGGCGTCGTCGGCCCCAAGAACAAGCACCGCTACGTCGTCGCCAGCCAGGACCCGGAGGTCAGGGCCAAGATGAGGGGGATCCCCGGCGTGCCGCTGGTGTATATCAGCCGGTCGGTCATGATTGTGAGTCTTACTCCGCTGAATCTTCTATGCGCCCACTGCTCGGTGGGGCTGGGATGTGAATTGACAGACGCTAACCGTGCGCGCAAAAACAGCTCGAGCCCATGGCCGGAGCAACAACGAGGGTAGTCCAGAAGGGCGAGAGGGCCAAGTTCCGCGCGGAGCTGAAGCAGTCCGACCCAGCACCCGGGGAGAAGAGGAAACGAGGGGACGGCGACGATAGCGAGGGGAGCGACGACGACGACGCAGCAGAAAAGAAGGACGAGGAGCCAAAGAAGAAGAAAAAGAAGAGGAAGGGCGAGAAGGGTCCGAACCCATTGTCGGTGAAGAAGCCGAAGAAGAAGCCACAAGAGCAGCAGGAGAGCGGCTCAAAACCAAAACAGGAAGAGAAGCCCAAGGACGACGCATTATCAGAGCAGCCTGCCAAGAAGAAGCGGAAACGGAGGAGCAGGAAGGCAGAGGGTGGTGCGGATGGGGGCGAGCCACAGGGCGCAACGTCGGGCACGGCTGAGGTACAAGACACTGCGTCACTCGGGGCCGAGGATTAGGGAATGACGAGTTTGGCTTGTTTGAGTAACATCCATCAATCAGGATCCAGGTAGCTCATGGCGCAGTGATGATGTGCCAATCTTGAGGCATAGGCTGGAAGTGCAGATGATAGATATCCTGTGCAGAACGGGGAAATGATACCACATTCTTAATTACGCACGAACAGTTCCCCATTCACAGAGTATCAGTGTGTTATGGTGTATCAATGGCAAAGATTGGAGGACCTTATTTGGTATCATGTTCTCAAGTCTAAGTGATTGGCGTTGATAGCCACAGAACTTCTGACAGCTAATGATGCTGGTAAATATGTACAGGGAGTCAGTATCCAGGTGGACTCGAGCGAATCCAAAACCATATGAGCACATAGCCACCCGCCTTCCGGGGAGCCAACAACCTTTTGCAGACAGGAATACAATTCAAAACAGATAAAGCAGAGGGAAAATCATAAAAAGAAACGCAGCTACAGACATCATCGTCAGGAGCTATCAATCAGAGACCACTTCCACCGTAGACATGAACCCTTAGGTTCATTAAGCCTTCATTTCAATCTTGGTGGCCTCATCCAGAGTTTCAATCGCCCATCATAGCCGTCATCTTCGTCATTCGTCGTAAGGGCTCATACAAGGAGACCTCGAGCCAGATGTTCGCGCAAGGACGGCTTGGTTTGTAGCAGCAGCACAGAGAGCCGCAGAATGCCCCTGCCTATCTCCAGCAATGTCCGGAGAAAAGGGGCTGCCAGCAGAGCTTGCTGGCGAGACAGAAGGAATTAAGGGGATCCGCAATGTCCCGAGCAGCACCGATGCTGCGATCGATTGGCCAGCATGACAAACTTGATCGTTGGCATTTGTTTTGCTGGCAAGTATTTTTTTGGGCAATTTCAGACAGAAGTGTTTCTTCGTGTTGTGTTCCTCAAGACATGTCGTGCAGCATTGTCGTGAGAGTCATTAGCGGTTGTCGTTGATGGACAGTAAGCACAGAGCTTTTCACCGAGGCGCAAGCGCTATTGGTAGGTAAACAGTAGTCCTGTTGGGAAGATTCGATCCTTTGACCGATTGTACAACTGCGTCACGTATTTGTCAGTCCCAACATTCTGTGCTCTTCTGTTTGGTCGAAGGTGAGGAGACTTACGCCATGTAGGCAGAAAGAGGTCAGCGCGCAAAAAGCAGTGTTCAGCCTGCTTGGATGGCAGTCAGAGACGAAAAGGCATCGCTGTTGCGGTCTGTAATCCCAAAAGGCACAAGTCAGCGAGCTCATCCCTCACATTAGCAGGTTCAAGGGCTCAGAAACTTACCCTCATCGTCATCACCACCACCTCCTCCAAACTTGGCAGAGAGATCCTCATCACTTGTGATCTCGCGGATCGAGAGTATGGTCACCGTGTTTCCCGGCGTTGTCGAGCTGACATGGTGGACAGAAGTCTTGCCGTCGCTCCACGCACTCGCACCTACGCGGGGATCATACCCTTGCTGCTGCTGCTCCCGAGCGGCGCCGTCGTCCTCATCCTCGTAGATCGTCCATTGCGGCTCAGCGCGGGGGGTCGTCGTCGTCTGCGGGCCCGGGTTCGTGCAGTTCCGCTCCATGTAGGCGTTGATCTCCTCGTGGGTGGGGACGTAGGTATTGGCGGCCCATTCGCTGTTGTTGCCCTGGCCGATGAATGAGAAGTCGAAGTCCTTTGGAGCAGAGTAGCCGCTGTCTCCTCCGAAGGCTGGGCCTTGTTGGGAAAAGCCATTGCCATTGCCCTTGTCCCAGTTTCCAGGTTGGCTCTGGAAACCGTACTGATTCTGGGCACTGTGCTGAGTCTGGGTACCGTATTGCGACTGAGGTACGTACTGTGGTCTTGGAACGGACTCGTCCTGGTGTCCATACTGGTAGCTTTGTTGAGGCTGGTAGTTCTGCTGGGGCTGCGAAAAGCCACCGCCTGCGTGCGAGGGATTGTTGTACTCGAACTGGTCCTCAGCGGGTGGATCGTAGTAAGAGTCTCCAGAGAAGTCACGACGACAGTGGGCATCGCTGAAGTGGGCAGCAGAGTTGAACCCGTTGTGAGGGCGGCTGAAGTAGCCCGGGTTGGTGACATACTCTGCGCCAGCTCTAGGGCCAAAGCCACCAGTACCGTAGTGAACTCCATAAGCGCCAGGCTTGCCTGGGCTCATTCTGTGGCCGTAGGCCTTGGGAGCGGATGGTTGACACGACTGGGCCGCCCATTCATGTTGGTTCATCATGTATGGGTCACAGTTGAGATTCTGCTGCTGGGTACCGGTATTCTGCCAGTGGGACTCGATGGGAGGAGTGGGCGGCATCAGGAAATCAGTCAACTTCTGGCCATTGGCGTACCCGCCTGCCATGCTGTCGAACTGATGAGCACTTCCAAAGGTTCCTTGCGCAGGCATCTCCTGAGAGCCATTGTAGACCGGCTGCTGAGCCCAGGCGCCTGAGACAAGAGAATTGTACCGTAGCTTATCACCGATGTTCCCTTCAACAGCGAAACCGTCCCTCTCTGGGGGACTTCCGGTGCTTGTCTCCGCAGGGTTGCGCCGAGCACGAAAGCGGATGGACGAAGCCGACGTCCTCGAGGTGCCGGACCGGAATTTACGAGAAATTCCAGAATCGGTGGTACCGCAAGCGGTGGGCCTGCTGCCAGAGTCGCTCTGGTGGATGTCCATGGGTGAGGCTGCTGTGTCAGGTCCGCTGGGATAAGCTCGAATGGTGGAGCTGATGTCTGCCTGACAAGCCTTGTCTGCAGTATCGAAGCCAGCGTCTTTCATCTCAAAGTCACCGTTTCCACTGGCTCGAGCCAGGTTCGCGGTGTCGTGATGGGAAACGTGATAGGTCTTCACATCGCCTCCGACCACAGAGCTGCAACCAGACACAGACTCCACAGAAGGGGGCTTGTAGGAAGAGCCAGCAGAGAGGCGAGCTCCTCCGTGTCCAGCCTTGCCTCCAAAGTTGAGCGTCTTGTCTGCCTCGAGATGCATCTCTTTGAGCTTCTTGAGGGTCGCGTTGCCGTCGGAGGACGTCTCAGAAGACGTCTTGGTCTTGAAGGAGCGGTTCTTGAGCATAGAGCTTGTGGCCTCCCTGGACTTGAGAAGGCCCGCGCGAGCGTCGTTCTCCTTTCCCGGTGCGCGTTTGGACGTGCTGGCGTTGTCGTCCTTGTCCTCCTCGATGTCGCTGAGGTTGGCGTCGTGCACCTGGCGCATGAATGCCTGTCGATAAATGGTCAATGGCTGAACACGCTGGGAGTCATACGGGATTCGATGCGTACCTTGTTGAAACTGGTGGCTTCGCCGCCAATCTCGCTTGCCTCACGAAGGTTGTGCTCGTAGCCAGGCGATGCCTCTCGACAGGGCTTGCAGTAGTTGGGCCCCGAGGATTGGCCTGGCTTGAGTTCGTTCTCGCGGTGGTATTTCTCAGAGCGGACGATGCCACATCCCCAGCAGTAGTGGCGCTGGCCGTACCAAGTAAGCGGTTTGCCCTTGCACTCATGGGTGATGCGACAACGGCCACACCAATTGGGCTGCATCTTCTGATCGACCGCGAGAGGGTGACGCTCTCCTATCTTGTCAGACCTGATCCTGCCGCACTGGTAGCAGATCCAACGCTGCTTCAGAGGCTCGAGATACGGGTCTACTTTCTTCCCGTGCTTGCCATGCTTCTCGTGGCCGTGCTTAGAACGTCTGGGTGAACTCTTGCGAGAACGTTCCTGAGAGGGGGAACGAGCTCGTTCAAGTCTGCTGGTGCGTGGCACGGTTGAATGTATGTCTGTGTCGCTGTCGGGCTGTGGCTTGGACTTGTGGATCTCATGTTTGTTGGAAGGCAATCCCAACTGATGACGAGACTTGAAAGGGTTGGTTGGGGAGTTGCTGATGATAGGAACGTAATGGACGTGTATCTCCTCAGACGAGAGATTTGAGGGTGCGACCTCGCGCTGGACTCTCTCAACCTCTTTCAATTGGCGATAGACAGAAGCCTTTTCCTCTTGGCGTGACAGCCTTCGTGATGGTTTGGTTCGAGTCAAACCCTCATCTGCGTCCGACTCAACATCACCATCGTACCGATGCGAGCTCTTTCGGCGGCGATCGTGGTGATCGCTGGCATGTAAAGCCATGTCGTTTTCACCAGCCGGATGATCAGTTCGACCTCTTGGGCGGTGTTTGCTGTGCTTGTGAGCATGGCGGTCCTCCATGGAGATATCTGAGCTTGAGCTGTGGAATCATGTGAGCTGACGCATGGGATTGAAAGCACTGGGCACAGCTTACAGACGACGTCTCGACTTCATACTTGAGCTTCCTGGGACTGATCAAGGCCGATGAAGACACATGCACTCTACCTGGTCGCAGTCTTGCAGCAGCCGTTTGGAGTTGGCTGCTCGTTTGGGAAAGCGACCGACCTCAAGGTGACAGAAATCCAGAAAGAGGAAAGACGGTCCACTATGAAGGAAGGTGATCCCCCTGGTAGGCAACCTCGACTGGCAACACTCGAGTAGAGGAAGGATGCGAAGAAAGCAGATCAATGTGTCGAGGGAGAAGAAATGGGGGAAAGGAAATGGGAGATGCCCAGCGTGATTCGCAATGGGACAAGGAAGAGATGTTACTGCAAAACAGCAGGCAACTTTGGAGGAAGAAGGATAGCAAGAGATGGATTGAGGCGAGTCCTTCACAGCGGCAGCGGGGTGACTGGACCTTGATAAACCCTTGAGAATAAACGAAGACCAAACGAAGACCCGATGAACACCGGCCGGCCTCAAGGCCAGGGGAGTCGTGGGATAGCCAAAGCCCTACTATGAGCAGTGATTCAGACATGAGATAGTGTTGAGGGTAGAATCGTCCGATCCTCTCTTGGAACCCATTCAGTTCTGAGGGGTGAATGTGTATATGAGTTCGATAAGAGCCTCGCTCACCTTCTCTCACCACCATGTGTGGAAACTTGGGACGATTCCTAGACTTGGATATCACCATGGAGCTCAAAAGGGAAGCTGCATACCTAGGTTCTTGGACAAGCCATGCAGTGAGAAGCGAAGTAGCAGGGAAGGCTTCATGAAACAACTTCGAGTCTTCTATTGAGACGATCAACTTTTGTACATCGGTGACTTGCCGAACCACTTTTCCTTGATCCATAGTGCTGATGAAAATCCCTCTACTTCGTTCGTTTTGTACATGCGTTTCTATATCTGCTCAGCTGCCTACTCAACTCTGAGCGTTCGAGCGCCTCGCTTCTTGACGGGCTTCTTCTTCTTGTGGCCCTTCTCGAAAGCCGCCACGGCACTGTGATCTCTACCGAAGTTGTCGAGATCCTTGACCTTGTAGATGCGGATGATCCAGTTCTCACTGGTGAACGCTTCCTCGACGGTATTGAGGACCGGACCCTCTGACGGCAGGCGGGCCCCACGAACACGGTCCGTAGCCTGTCCCTTGGGGAAAAGGTTGTGGTAGTTGTGGTATGACATCTTGTACCTGCGAAATAGTTAGTAAGAGACACTGGGGTTCGCCTAGACAGGGGGTTATGCTCACATCAGCGAGTTCTTCATGGTATCGGTGGCCCCGTCGTCCACACGGTACTCTCCACGCGGCGTGAAGAAGTCACGCTCCTTGACCTCGTCAGGCCAGATACCTTCTGCAATCCTGACCATCCAGAGGAACTTGTTGATGTCATCACCCGAGTAGCCAAGGAGACCGCCAAAAACAACGAGAACGTAGTCAACCTCATGCTGGCGCATGATGGGGTAGCTGACTTCCTCGCGGGAGCTCATGGCCTTGCCAACGGTCGCGATGTGGGTGTTGTTCCAGGTGTTGTTGTCGACAAGCGTGGGCCGGTCCGCCATGCCACCGATTTGGTAGCCGTAGTCCCACCACGACATGATCTTGGCATCCTCCTTGGTGTTCTGTCGCAGCCACTGGTAGGCCTCACGGTAGTCGTCGATGATGTGCTGACTGCCATCGGGCATACGACTGGCCAAGACAACAGACGGGGAGGAATAGGCGTTGGATGTAACCCAGGTGCAGTGCATTACGAAGAGGATGAGGTAAACAAGCATTCCCGCGGCCACAACCAACTTCGACGTCTTACTGTAAATTCCAACAATGGGTTTCTTGGACGGGTCCGAGTGCTTAGATTTGTTGCTCTTGTCCTTCTTCGCTGGGACGTCGACGGCCTCGGCGGCATCATCTTGAGGCTCCGGGCTCTCGGCCGACAGATAGTTGTCCAAGATGGTCGAAGCTGCAATGGCTGCCGCGACAACGACGCAGGGTGTAAGTGTGAGCATGAGACGAACCATGACACCAGCAAAGTAGCTGCCAAGCACCGCATAGCTGATGAGGAAGATGTGCTCGTCGCCCAGCCTGTCGAAGCACAGATAGATGCCAGCTGGGAAGAGGTAGATCAGCATGTTCAGGTCGAAGAAGAAAGCTGGCCAGGCGGTCGGCTGGTGCTCCGAGACTGAGGCAATGATGGGGATATGGACCTTGGCATATCCGGTGTCGAAGAGCGAATAGAACCGTCCTCCCCAGGCTGCAATCTTGCCTGTCCTGACGAGAACGACGTTTGCAGCAATTCCAACCACGATAAGGGCAAAGAAGGACACCCAGCGCCACTTATTAACCACTTTGGGGTCGAACATGCCCGTGAACCAGTTGAAGAATCCATAGAATTGCATCAGGCCAAAGACACCTGTTCAACATGAGTAAGAAGTCCCTCCGTAGGTGTAGACGTAATTCTTGACTTACCGAGAGCTCCAAAGTGGTCGCTGGTGCTGATGGCCAGGAAGTTGATGAAGGGAACTTGCATGATGCCCAGGAATCCAATCGCGTAAAAGGTGGTATAAGCGACGTACAGCCGGTTGCTGTACCTGCCCGAAACGCAGAGCATGAGACTGTGGACGGCGATGAGGTTGTCGATAAAGGTATATCCACCCCAAGATGCGGCCATCCAGTCGTAGGAGAGAGCGCACAGAGCGGCCCACATGATAGAGCCCTGCTTGACAGCCTTGATCCAGAGGAAGAAGGTGAGCACCAACAGGAAGATAGCGATGGCCTCGTTATCGTAGCTGCCAGCGACGGACCTGGAAATGTACCCGGGAGCAATGCCCATGAAGGCGGCAGCCAGAAGACCGGCCGACTTGGAGGTGGACAGCTCGTTGGTCAACCAGTATGCTGCGAGAGCAGTGAGACCAGAGAAGCCCGGGGCGAGCAGGACACAGATGTTTCGGATATCGACGGGAATGGTCAGGAGGCGGAAGAGATGGTAAATGATGCCGCTGGTGGCCATGAGTCCCGGATAGAGAGTGCCGCCGGTGACACGGCCGAGAGGGTACCATGTTCGGTCGTCGAACCAGTCCCAGAAGCTGTAGAATCCATTTGCGACGAGGTACTTGGTCGCCCTGAAGTTGAACCAAGGGTCGACTGGGGGCGAGACAGTGTCAGCGATCAGAACGGATGGTACTTGAGGGGAAGGCAAGACTCGGGTGGGCAGCGATCGAGGCGCAAGCCGAAGGCATACTGACATTCGTGGATGATACTCTCGAAACCTGCCATAGACAGCTGTTAGCTTAATTCCTGCAGACCGAATTGAGAATGCAATTGATAGCTCTTTTCAGTATTACATATCATGTTGAAGACATGACGGAGCTCCATGGGCGGTACGAGGCAGGTGTACTCACGGATGACGGAGAACAGACGGCTGGCGACGGCGGCTCCAGCAATCAAGACGAGGATGATAACACGGAACAGAGCTCTTGTGTTCTGTCCCTGGCTGCTGCCAGAAAGAAGAGTAGGAACGCCAGCCGACATGGTGGGCTGATTGATGAAGAGGAAAACAGGCTATGCCTGAGGAAAGGAGGGTGGGAGTGTCGTCGATGTCAGGCAGCTGAGCTGGTGTTGACAATTCCCCGAGAGCTCCAGAAGTACGTCGCCTGTAGGAGGTTCAGGACAGTTTGAAGCTTCGTCAGTCTGTCCCCAGAGCTGGGGTGCGGCAGTAAAGTCTTGGCGGCAGTGCAGGCACAAGCAAGTGGGTCCGTTTTGGAATAGGTGGTGTGAATGAGTACGGGAAGCTCGGGCCAGCTTTCCTTAGCAGCCATAGACTACCAATACACTTTCCGGTAAATAGCACGATCACTTCCATATATGAGCTGCTGCATTTATTGCTCCATTCATTTAGCCTGTGTTATCTTGCCTACATTTTGTAATGTTTCGACCAAGGCTGTGAATTGCCATATGAGGTAGAGAATTGATGTTGATCTCTGAGCATGTCCGTAAGGGCTACTGGAAGTTGATGGAGGAGGATTTTAGAAGGGCAAGGTATGATGGATGAGCCATGGCATTGTAGACAGACAAGTTTTGTAGTGAGTGCCCACAATAGCAACGCCGCTCTTGTTCTCACTCAACACTTGCCTGCATCGTTCTGCGAGCATGTAAGCAGGACTGCTCATAAGCCAGAAGTCTGCTACTGGAGAGCCGTCAGCTGCTGCATTCCGCAATCAGACCTCACTTGAGGCCTTTGACAACAATACTGAGCATCAAAGAGCATCAAATTAGCTGTCGCCAGTTTCATAACAGGCAAAGACCGCCTGTGATCTCACAAAGAGCCAGATGCTCGGTCCTGGTGCTGGCCTGGGCCAAATACGGGAGCGTTCGGATTGATCACCTTTGCGCGATTCAATAAACCCCCTGACATGCCGTCTAATTTAGTATTGTACAGTCGCAAACTTTTCGGATAGGTATCTAGGTTGGTAAGAAAGGTCTAGTGCCGCAGTCCTCATGGATCGAATTATCGCGTGGATCTGCTTGTTTGCTTCGGCCAGGCCACCCATCGTTCCGCAAATACGCCGGACCTTGTCGCATAGGGATCGTATCGCCTCCCCGCAAAAGCCGCCCGCCTGCCGAGCTGTGTGAAGTTGGCTTGTCCTCTTTCCCGCCTGGTCCTAACCGCAGTTACTCCATCCCTAAGGTCTCCGATCGAAAGGCCGCTTTCACCAACTCTAAGGGCTTTCCTTGACCAAAGCGTTGAAGTATGCCTCCAGGTCGAAGTTCGAGCTCATCGGATCTTGGTTGACTGCTTTCGCACGTAAGCTTGCATTCTTCCTTACCCAGAGTCGATGCACTGTCCGTTGAGCGCTCAAGCACGACGCTCTGGTATGAATCTGGAGGTCGATACTCACGTCCGCCAGTTGTGGAGCCCAGGGGTGCTGGGTTCTTCTTCTTCGCGAACTCCTCCTTGGCCTTCTGTATTAATTGCTGCTTGTGCTCATAGTCCCGCTTCTCCGAAGCTACCCTGTTGGCCGCGTTGATCGATCTCTGGTGAGAAAAGCCGTAGAACACGCCGAAGGCCAGGGCTGAGTACCGGAGTACCTGGAGGATAGATCTCTGTCAGCATCGCTTCTTCCGGTGCCACATCTCTGGCGTCGGCGACGAGATGCGGAGGGGGCTGGGTTGTGGTCGTGCGCGAGGGCTATGTCACGAAGTGCGCCATAATGACATACGTTGACTCCTGATGTGGCAGACATTGGGAGATGTGACGGCGCCTCGCGACCGCTGGTGACACAGGGTGAGAAGGACTGAAAAACAGATCGCGGGGCGGGCAATTGATGTCAATTGACCCGGTTGGGATGGTCGTCGAGCCGAGTCGAGGGGATACGGATGTCGATTAGGAGCTGGGGCGTTGCGAAGTTTGTCTGTCGGGAATTTTCGCCGGGCAGAGCTCCCAAAGCCAAAGCAGGCTTGCCAGGATGGGGATGGCTGACCACCGAATGAACGAACGGGCTGGCAGAGAGAGGAAGAGCGAGCACGGACGTTCCCGGTTGTCGGATGACGCCCGGGGCGTGCAGCTACGACCACTGAGCCAGAGCAACCCAACGGTAAGGACCCGTAACCAACTCCTCTTTAGCGCTACCGGCGCATGCGCCCCCCTGTCGCGAACGCGCTGTTGACATTGGAAACCAAGGGAGCATTGAACACATGAGGAGCAAAGCACCCCAGATACAAGGCGATCATCCAACTTCACATCAAAGGCTCAACAAACACGACACAGACCGCAGTTCCAAAGAGCTTTTTGAAAGACTCCCTTCCTATTGATGATCCCGAGAATCCTGGAAATGGGCTGTTGAACGGCAGCACACCGCACCCGCAATGCAACAACGTCGGGACGAGATTCTCGCGAAGAAGGCGAAGCTCGCCGAGCTCAAGCGCCAGAGAGAGCTTCGCGCCACCCAGAATGGACCAGGTCGCCCAAGTTTCAGCGGCAGCGATGTCAGGAGCCCCCCATCCACACTGTCGACTCCAGGGCCGACCTTTGCTGACCAGCAACACAGTTGATCTCCCCGGCGCCTGCCCGGGCTGACAATCGTCGGGAGATCGAGTCCCTGATCAACAGTCTAGTCGGCGAGAGCCGGCCTGGGTCTGTCACTACAGGTGGCGCTGCATCGCCAGCGCATCGAGGAAGCCGCCCCAACAGTGTCCTGAGTGCTGGAGAGACCAGCAACGGAGCCATCTCGGAGTTCACGTCACCGCCCGGCATCGATATCCCGGCCCAGACGGTGTATAGCCAGCCACAGACCCTGAGCACGGTGCCCTTGACGACGATATACGAGTGCCCACCGTCACCAGTCAAAGAGATATTCTCCTACAGCAAGGGTGTGCAGACGTCGGAGGACCTGTTTCCGGCAGCGGCACGACCACGCGCCTTCTCGCTCGAATCCTTGCCCGAGGATGCGTCGTCGACACCCAATAAGCGCATGAGCAGGAGGGAGCGAGACAGGGAAGAAGAGCTCCGGCAAAAACTCCGGAAAGAAATCGAAGAGGAGCTGCAAGCAGCGAAGGACCTGACGGCAGAGGGCGACGTGAAGAAAGCGGCCTTGCCGGACTCGAGTTTCGCTACCAGGACACTGACAAATGACGAGCTCAATGCGATCGTCGCATCAGACGAGTTTGTGGACTTTTTTGACCGATCACTGAAGGTCATCGAAAAGACTCTGGATCAATATGACGTTTTGACAGATTACACGCTAGGAGCGCAGGACATCGAGGACGAGGACGAACAAGGCAACGTCGGGGGCAAAGGCCGCCGCAAGGTCAAGGAGATACGGCAATTTTATGACGAGCGATGGTCCAAGAAGCGCATGGTCAGCGCCATAGACTTCTCCCCAAAGTTCCAGGAACTCGTTCTGGCGTCTTACACAAAGAACCCCTCGGCACCGCACGAGCCCGACGGGGTTGTTCAAGTTTGGAACCTGAACCTGCACGATCGACCCGAGTTTGTGTTCCACGCACAGTCCGACATCCTCACCGCCAAATTCTCACCTTTCCACCCCAACCTCATCGTGGGAGGGGCATACAGCGGACAGGTCCTGCTCTGGGACACGAGAGCTCGCTCTGCGCCTGTACAAAAGACACCGCTTACCGGCTATGGACACACACATCCCGTGTACGCTGTTGACATAATCGGCACACAAAATGCCAACAACATCATATCATGCTCCACCGACGGCACGGTATGTGGATGGGCCGTTGACATGCTGGCACAGCCTGCGGAGACTCTCAACCTGCAAGCTCCGCCACCCAACAAGACCGACTACATCAGCCCTCTCTGCCTGTCCTTCCCACAGGCCGACCCTACCTTCTTCCTGGTCGGGACGGAGGAAGGCACCATCTTCCCGTGCCACAGGTATGACCGCGCTGGAGCCAAGGCTGGCGTTGATCCACGGGTCAGCTACAAGGGCCACGCCGCGCCTGTCATGTCCCTCGACTTCCACCCAGCCAGGGGCCCGGTTGACCTCGGCGACCTCGTCATCTCTAGCAGTCTGGACTGGAGCGTAAAGCTTTGGAAGGTGCGGGCACCGGCCACGACATCCGGCATCGGTGGTGCTGGTGCTGGAGGCGAGGGTGCGGTTTCTCACCTGATGGATTTCGTCCGCGAGGATGTGGTTTACGACGCCGCCTGGTCGCCCATCAAGCCCGGCGTCTTCTCGCTCGTCGATGGCGCGGGCTGGCTTGAGCTGTGGGACATCACCGTAGAGACGGAGGAGCCGGTGGCGAGGATCAGCCCCAGCTCGAGGAAGGACAGCCGGGCCATGTTGTCCAAGAGCTTGAACAAGGTGAAGTGGGAACAGCAAGAGGGCAAACGGTTGGCCGTTGGCGGCATTGATGGCGCCTTGACGGTGTTTGAGGTCGGACCAGACTTGGGTGGCAAGGAGAACCTGAAGAATGAGGAGTGGACCAACGTCAAGAAATTGGTGAACAGGGTCGAGGCGGTTGGTGTGAACGGTGCGACGGAAATGTAGGGGCGATGAAAGGGATCATGTCGGACCGCATAATCTCGTCGAGATGTGCCTGCTTTGGACACAAAGCTCGAGGTGCGAGGGTGCTTCTGGCGTCATTGAGCTTTATGAATATACCCCAAGTACAACCAAGATGTTCTCAGAGTTAGCGAAATGCACCCATCCTCATTTCAATGTTGGGCATTGCATACAGCACTGGTGGTGATATGCAGAACCCCGGCCTGCGTTATGTAATCTCCATCGGGATTGGTGGACCAGCTAGCTTTGAATTTTGGGGACTGCAGGGGCGGGTCTAGCAGGCAGGTAGGCCAAGCGAGCGACACCCGTCTTTACGAATTTTTTTTTGGACTCTGCCATCATCCACTTGTGTCCAGATTCTCTCAGGACATTATTTCCATTCACACCCACAACTGTTTGGGGCATTTCTTCATTGTTTCCGAGGCCAAATAATTTCAATCAGTCAAAATGTTCGTCGCTACAATTCCTACCAGCCCTGCCGTCCTGGTGTGCAATCGGTCGAATAAGCTAACAGCCAATGTCTTTTTAACAGGAACTCCTTCAGACGCGCCGCTTTGAGGGCCGCCGTTTCGGCGTCTCGCGCCCCGGCCATCAAGGTCCAGATGCTCGGAGTCGCGACACAGATCTCTGCACCGAGAATAGTCGTCCCTGCTGCTGTGCGCTGCTTCTCCCAGACCCTGCGCGTGGCCAACGAGGAGCCTGCCACCAACATCGCCGAGGGTTAGTACTTCAGAGACCCGGCAGAAATGACCTTAGGGCGTGACGTCGCCACCCACAAGTTGCTGACAAACTTTCTGCAGCTGAGAAGGCAGGTCCTAACGGAGAGGAGCCTGGTCATGGGCTTTTCGTCCGGAACATGGTGTTCGAGGCGAATGAGGACCACCTGAGGGAAGCTTACGAGAAGTACGGCGAGGTCACCAAGGCTGTTATTGCCCGAGATGCTCGCGGTCTCAGCAGAGGGTATGTTCATGGCCCAATCGCAGCAAGACACAGACCCAGGCGCGTTTGCTTGCTAACCGAACCCCTTTCTGCAGGTATGGCTTCGTATGGTTCACCGATAAGGAGGCTATGGAGAAGGCCGTCGCCGGCACCAACTCGTCATTCTGGCACGGACGTCGCATCCAGGTCTCCCCCCGGACACCCAAGGCCAACAGGAGCGACCACGGCATTGGACCAACCAAGTCCCTTTACGTCGGCAACATCCCTTACGAGACGACCGACGCCGAGCTGAACCGCATCTTCCGCGAGCTGGACAATGTGACCGACGTCCGTGTCGCTGTTGACCGCACCACTGGTTGGCCCCGTGGTTTCGCCCACGCCGATTTCGCCGACGTCGAGTCGTGCAAGGTGGCGAAGGACAAGCTGCAGGGTACTACTATCGGTGGCCGGGAGCTGAGGCTCGACTTTGCTTCTGAGGTCGTCAAGTCCAACAACAGGCGATAAACGACTATGAGGATGGAGCAAACGGTGGGGGTGGAGAGGGTGCGACACAGAATGGATAGGACCGGGCAGAGCGGCTACGCGCAGTGGATTTTCTTGCGTGAGACAGGACCAGCGCCTTGAGCTGTTCAGCCTCATGGCTGTCGACGAGAGTCGGATACCCGGAGAGCAGCCTTCACCACATTTACCGAGGCCGGTGAGATCACAGCAGGGCGAGCCTGCTGAGCGTGGCGAGGGAGCATGTCCCTGGTACAGAGTCACGAACCATCTTAAAATGTACATTTAGAGAGCTCAACTAGACCTGGTGGGCGGCGTTCTCGGCGTCTCTCGTCGGGGATTTGCTACGGCGCTCTCAGGTTTATGTAGTGCACGAATCCCGAACGATGAGAAGAAATCCCCCCTTCTGAACTCCGACTGTGCCAAATCTGCTTTATATTATGGGAGTGGATTCATGCCAGCTGTTATGGGGTGGTTGGTTGACTGCTTACGAGCTTGAACCTGCCTAGGTAATTATTTGGTCTGCCTCGACACAATCGACACTCATTTGGGTAGAAGCTAAGAAAGTTCAGGTTTGTACGACCAGACCTACACGGGTGCTCAGATTATGTGTAACGAATGTAGACATCTGCTGTGCCGAGACTGATGCATGGTGTCCCGATTTGGGCAGGGTTGAGTACACGCAGTATGGGTTCCTTCGCAGCCAGCGTCGGAAGCTCGCAACTGCCTCGGCAAGTTTTAAGCTTCCGGCGCGCGTTCGGCTGGGATTCTGCGGGAAATGGGCCATGGCCGGCCCACGTCCCCAAGTTTTGCCCCTCACATGCGCAGCTCAGCGGATAGTAATGTTTCCTCCCGCCTGCTCCATCCCCTCGCCTTCGAACCATCTCAACATCCCACATCAGCTTTTCACATACCTGCAGGTGTCTCTCTTCACTCGAAGTTCCTGGGCAAGAGACATCACTCCATCCGAGGCGCCTAGGTTCAACCCCGCAGCGTCCACCCGCCCTCCTCTCACATTATTAATTGCATCTCCCACTCGTTCTCAGCACGGCCCATCCGAGATCGACACTTCCACCACAACACCCTACGCAAAGACACACGCCCACAACACAATGTCGTTCCTTTCAGGAGGAGCCGAGTGCTCGACCTCAAACCCCATCGGCCAGCTCAGCAAGCATGCCCAGCAAGACAACAGCCTCCAGCGGGACCGCTTCGCCAACAACGGCCCGGGCAGCTCTGCCCAGGGCTTCCGAACCAGCGCCGGCCCGAGCACCCCGGCCCTCGATGGCCAGATGAACGCCTTCATGCAACAGAACCCAAACATGCCCGAGATGGCCTTCGACCGGTTACAGAGGCCAGGGCCTGGCGGCGGACAGATTCACATTGACCCTCCCCACCAGGGCGTCCATCTGCGGGCGCAGTCGGCTTCGCCGTCTTTTTCGCCGTCCTTCTCGCCAGACGAGTTCGCAAAGTTCCAGCAGGCAAACCGCTCCGTCGCTCAGAGGTCGAGCCCCGCGCCACAACAGCAGTCGATGGCAGTGTCAACCTTCCAGCGACCAATGATGGGCAGTGGTATCTACAGCCCGATGTCGTCCGTGGGCATGATGCAGCAGCCTGGCATGTACGGTGGCATGTCCATGTATTCTCAACAAGCCCCGATCCAGGCCGACGTCAAGGGAAAAGGCAAGGAAGTCGAGACCGAGGAGTCCACACAGGAGCTACAGAAGAAGTTCGAGGAGCAGTTCAACCTGCACGAGGACACAGACGGAGTCGAGGAAATAGAGCGCGATCTTAACGCGATGGACGAGAAACTGATGGAGTCTGAGACGGGCTTCGGGGACTTCGAGTCGATATGGAAGGGCATCCAAGACAACGAGGCCGCCATGCGAGATATGCCGGAGCAGGACCTCGACATCAAATGGGGCGATGGCTTGGACTCGTGGAACCCGGGCCGGGGCATGTCCGCAGACCCCCTCATCGAGGATTACTTGTTCGAGGAGGACAACCTGTTCAAAGACCAGGCGAATCCGTTCGAAGAGGGTGTGCGGATCATGGACGAGGGTGGCAACTTGTCCTTGGCCGCACTGGCTTTCGAGGCTGCCGTTCAGAAGGATGCATCACACATCGAAGCATGGGCTCGATTAGGCGCAGCACAGTCACAGAACGAGAAGGAGGACGCCGCCCTCCGCGCATACCAACGAGTCCTGCAGCTCGACGCCAACAACCTCGACGCTCTCATGGGTCTTGCGGTATCATACACAAACGAAGGCTACGACAGCACAGCTTACCGCACGCTAGAGCGCTGGCTCTCGGTCAAGTACCCACAGGTGATCTCCCCCGACAAGCTGTCCGACCCAGCAGACATGGGCTTCACGGACCGCGCAGACCTACACTCCAAGGTGACAGACCTGTTCATCCAGGCGGCTCAGTTCGCCCCCGACGGCGAGCACATGGACCCGGACGTTCAGGTCGGGCTGGGCGTGCTGTTCTACGGCAGCGAGGACTTCGACAAGGCCGTCGACTGCTTCGAGGCCGCCCTTAAGAGCAGCGAGATGGGCATGGCAAACCAGCGGAACCAGCGGCACCTCCTCTGGAACCGGCTCGGCGCCACGCTGGCCAACAGCGGGCAGAGCGAGCAGGCCATCCACGCCTACGAGCAGGCCCTTGTCCTGCGGCCCAACTTCGTCCGCGCGCGGTACAACCTGGGCGTCAGCTGCATGAACATCGGCTGCTACGAACAGGCGGCCGGCCACCTGCTGTCGGCGCTCGACATGCACAAGATGGTGGAGAAGGCCGGCCGCGAGAAGGCGAGGGAGCTGCTGAGCGGGACCGGCGACGGCGGCGACGTCAGCGAGGAGCACCTCGACCGCATGACGACGCAGAACAGGAGCACCACGCTCTACGACACCCTGCGCAGGGTCTTCACGCTCATGAGCCGGCGCGACCTGAGCGAGAAGGTCGTCTTCGGCGTCGACCCGGACGTGTTCCGCCCCGAGTTCGAGTTCTAGGCGGACTGCGAGGCCGGCGTGCTGGGGCAGACCATCTTGTGGGACGTGGTCAAACGGCGCAGACCCGCGCGCAGGTGCGTCCAGGAGCATAAACGCACAACAGAGATCCATGTAGTCATGGATCTGTCGTGCAACGGCTGCATCGCGGCGGGGTGGACTGGACACATTAGTTGCCGTCACGCGCACCTACCGGGTTACGAGTGGATATGGCACTTTCGGGGCCGCTTGCGTCGCCTGTGAAGAAGAGCCAGCAAAACCGGTGGGCACACTTTCATGATCAATAGCTCAGGTTCTGAGCATCGTTTGTGTGGGCTGAACGGAGCTGCTGAAATGCCCTGCCTTCTCTAGATAATCCTGTTGGCATCCATGATCGCATCTTCTCTCACCAGGCACAAAGACCTAAAACAGGGAGACATCCACTATATTTCACTAGCGGGAGGAGGGAGCATCAAAGTACACGGTACGTGTACACTTTTGTATATCTATGGGTATCAACCAGATTCGAGGCAAGAGCTTCCTCAAGCAGCAGGCAAGCAAGAAAATGTGTTCAGTTCCGTGACGGACATAGCTGTCCTCCACTTTGAAGCGGCTTCCAGACCGCAGTGCCTTCGTAACCATGAACTGTCATCGATGGACATTCACCATGATGTACATCCGTGGGTGCTCTCCCTGGTGGCACCACGAGGTACCGTCCCTGAGCTTCCCTCCTCAGCAAGCTCCACTGGACACACTCGTAGTGGTCACGTAACAAGGTAGTGCCCATATCACCATGGTCCAAAATGCCGGGCAATGCTACCACCTCACTTGACGCCAATAAACGCAATTCCGTTCCTTGCCCTCTGCGCCGCCTTCTTGAGGGCCTGCTCCTCGCGGTCAGTCCACTTGACGCCCAGCTGGTCCCACTTGGACCCGGGCGTGTTGTACTCCCGCTTCCACTGGGCGTGCATGGCCTGCAGTCTGCTCATCTCGCGCGGGTCGCCGCTGCCGCTGAGCACGATGAAGGCCGTGCAGGGCGGGAGCGCGTCGTGTATGCGCCTCAGCCTCTCCGCTAAGCTGCTAAGGCAGGTCTCGAGGACCGATTTCTCCTCCCTCGGAGACACGGAGCCGGATGCGTCCTTTTGCTCGGGCGCCGCCAGGCTGTTCATATCGAGGACAGCGTTGCTGAACACGGAGTCCTTCGAATCCGCGCTAGAGTTGGTTGCGAAAGGGTTGTTCTTGGACGCCGCGTGCGCGTCCTCCAGCGCCTTGGGCGGTCCCGCGGCATCGTCGGCGTCCGTCTTTGCGCGGTTCCACCAGCCCTGGAGGGCCTCGAGCTCGCGCATCCTCGCCCAGACGAAGTCTACCCCTCCACCCTTGACCATCGCGCCGTCCGGGTCTCCCCTCACCGCGCGGAGCACCTTCTCCTCCACTTCCGCATCGCTGTTGCAGCCGTCCAACACGACGTCCGCCAGATTGGCAACACTGCGCTTGGCATCGCCCCAGTCGACGGCCGCAGTGGACTTGCCCGTCGGAGCGCCCCCAGCCGCACCGTGGCTGCCTTGGGCTTTGTAGCTGACACCGGCGCGCCCGAGGCGCTTGAAGAGGTTCTCGCCGGATGCCTCGCCTGCGGCCCAGGCCTTGCCCTTCTCGCACTTCTTCTTCACCAGATCCAGGCACGTCCTGGCATCCTCGGTGCTGTCGTGGCCGCTGCTGATGTTGTCACCCTTTTGCACCTCGCGGTTAAGGTACTTTTGGGCGAGCCATTTCAGGGAGTGCTTGAACGGTTGGCCTTTGGGGTGTGGGAAGATGACAGAGGTGTCAACGATGAAGGGGTGTGTCATCTTGAGAGCTTTCATGTCTGAGTCGAGAGAGTGGCCGACGAGTATCGACCGTGGTGTGATTAGGGCGACCAGGCGTTGCTGTATGTCAGCCAGGGTTGTCGTCACTGGGTCGAGCATCTCCTTGGTGATGCCTGAGAACCGCGTCACATAGTCCGTGATGGGCTTTTCTGGTTTGACGAGCTCGTCGAGGACTACTTTGCCGTCCCAGTTGACGACGCTGATCCTTGTAAGTGAGAACTCTTTCTCTCCTGTCATGCACATCTCACAGTCGATGGCCAAGACCTCTCGGCCGGCGGTGACACTGCCTTGTTGTATTTCGTTCTCAGGGACATCACCATGTTCGAATTTGTCCACCTTGGTGTGAGTCCAGTCTTCTGGGTCTACAAAGGCTTCCCGCTGCAGGTCTGGCAGTAGGCATGGGTGGATAGAGAACCCATTTTCAACATATTGCTCCGGCGTTAAGATGAACTCGGTGATGCGAGTCCGCACGTTCTGCCAGCCCTGTGGATCTCTGACCGGCTTGGGCCCCTTCTTCCCCTTGTCATCGGCAGCCTTTGGAGCAGGTGCGGTAAGGAAGGTGACAATGGGAGAATGCAGGCGACCCTGCTTGTCGTCGCCAGTGGCTCTCACCGGCCAAAGGTAGGGGAATATGCGAGCGAAAGGCTTGAGAGCCTCTGGCAGCTTTTCCTCCGACAGAGGACGTGGGTAGTAGTCATCGGGTGATGTGACCAGTCGCTCGACCGCTTGGGCGGGCGTCTTGGAGTTGTAGACGGAGAAATCCACGTTCTGCTTGAACATGGCCTCCTCCAACCCAGGTACAAGTACAGTGACGATCTTTCTGAACTGTGGCCTGTGCTTGACCGAAACCCATTGAGGAGCTGTGCCGTCGGCCATGATATACAGGACGAGGTCCCTCAACTGGTTGAGGTTGACCTTGGACTGGAGCCTTGCCTGATTTGAGAAAGTGATGGACGGGTAGTTGGATCCTTCTGGCTTGGGAGTCTTCTTAGATTTCTTGGTGGGGCGACGCTCGACAGTCTGCCAGTCACCACCACCGTTCTCATCTTGTGGCCCGTCGTCCCTGGACCGTTTCACCCCAACGCTGGATCCACTGTGTGATGAGGCAGAGGCATTGTCGTGAAGTTTTGCGGCGGCGGCAGAGGACGACTCGCCGTTAGAGGCATTGGCCATTGTCTCATCCATGTTGGAAGAGGGTGAATTGTTACTGGAGTGTATGATAGCCCTGCATTCAAGTATGTGCAGCGTGGTCCAGATGCACGAGAGTTGTGTGAGGTGGTGATGAGTTGATGGTGAGGGTGGTGAGAGGTAGGCAGGCAAGCAGGCAGGCAGCTCCTGGGCTTGCCCGAAAAAGTTGGCTTATCTTATCGCATTTTTAAGTCGGTGCATGATCTACAGGGACCTTCCTTCTGAAGCGTGTGCTTCTTTATGCACCTAACCCACTGAATAGCACTGCAATGATTACGAGGGACGCTATAAACTGTACGGTATGGGTATGTAAGTTGCTTAGTTGTTAATTACGCTTAGAAGGCAGTGCCTTTAATGTTTTAAGCTGCAACGCTGCTTATATAAGCAGCTGCTTGCCCGCTATTTACGAATCTATATTATCCCCTTCCCTAAATAAATTATCCTTAATCTTATTATATAAATTATATTCTTTAAAGGAAAAGTAGGATATATGCTTAATATTTAGTTTATACCCTTATTAAATAATTATTTCTTCTTATTATTATAATAAATAATAAGGTAGCGTAATAATAATATACCTTTACTTATTTTAATAATTTATTTTTTAATTTAATTGCTTTTATAAAGATTTATTAAAAAAATAGCAGCCTTTAAAGGATAACTTTTTAAATAAGGAAGTTTTAAGTTTAATTCTTAATTTAATTAATTTCCTTTTTATCTTTTTTTTAATTAATTAAATAAGAAAAATATAAGTTGCTTAAAAATAAGGTATTTAATTAAGTTAATAAAATATTAATAAATAATTAATAATAGCTAGCAAGCTATTATTTCTTATCTTTAATTAAGTTGCATTAATTAAGTAATTTAATTATAATTACGTTAAAGCATTATTTTATTAATATATTATAAGCTTTTAATAAGGTAATTATTTATAATATATATTAAAAAAAGGTTTATATTATTATATATATTTTTAAGTATAATATTGCTAAGATTGCGAAAAGTATAAGTATTGCTAATATAATAAGCAGTAATAACTTAAGAATTATTATAATAAGGCTTATGCTTATAAATATATTAATATACTTATAAAACTTAATTATTAAGAGTAAATATACATAGCAATGCCTTACCCTTTTAAAGAAATACTTAAATTTAATTATAAAAAGCTTTTAGCCTTATAATATAGTTTTATGCTAATAAAGCCTTATATTTCTTAATTAATTGCTTTATAAAGTTATTATCTTTTTGCTTTATAAGTTTTTATATATAAGTAATATAAAGTTTATACTTTAAAGGTAATAATATATTAAGAAAAAGGAAATAAGGGCTATATTTATTTAACTTTAAGATTTAATTATATAGCATAACTACTTATTATATTAAAGCTTAAATATCTTAATTTAAATTAATTAACTACTTTTATAAGATTATATGCTTTAAGTCTTTATTAACCTTTTTAATTTTATTATTGCCTTTTAGCTTAATTAATATAATTAAGCATAGCTTTAATTTATATTAATAATATTAAGCTAAGGTAGCCTTATTAATAAAGTAATTAATATTATTAAAAATTTATTTATTAAGTATATTAAAGATATTAATAATCTTATTTAATAATAAGAAAGTATTTTTAAATTATTAATTTAATATAATCTTTACCTTAATTTATTTAATAATATATTTAATAGCTATTAAGATTAATATATTATTAATTAATATAAAGTTAATAGCTTATTTTATTAATAAAGTTAATAATATAATAAGGTTAAGGTTTAATAATATTAAGTTAAGCATCTTTATTAGCTAATATTTTATATACTTAATAATAACTTATTAAATAGTAAAAGTAATTTTAAGGTATTAATACTTCTTTAATATCTTTTAAAAAATATTATTAATTATTAAATAGCTATATATTAAATATAGCTTTTTTATAATTATAAGCAAGTTATTATACTTTAAAATTAATAAAAAAAGTATTATTTTTAAAGCAATGCTAATATTATAAGGAGGATTATTAAATTATTATTTATATATATAAATCTTGCATAGCTATTCTTAAATAATTATAAAGTGCTTCTTTACTTATTTTAAGTTAATAATAAGGAGGAAATTAGTTTTTTTTTAAAGGTATTTAAAGATTACTTATAAATTTACTTAATTAAGCTTATAAGGGTGTTGGATTTATTTAGGCAGGTTCCTTTCCTTTCCTTATTTAAAAATAAGTAAAGTAAATTTAAAGATTATATTTTTAAGTAGCCTAGAAAGATAATTAATAAAAATATTAATTTTGCTTATATAATATATAATATAAATGCTATAGTGCTTAATAATATTAAGGAAATATATAATCTTTAATAATTAATTAGCCTTTATATTAAGAGTTTTAAGAAACTTATAATTTATAAGAATAATAATTTTTATATTTTAAATTTAATGGAATTAATATTAAAGTATTAATAATATATTAAAAAGTTTTTGCTTTTAAGCAAAGTATTATATTTATATATTTATTAACTTCTTTAAGAAGTATAAGATTAAATGTAAAATAGATTTAGTTTTATATAAATATAGCTAAAAAAAAGTAGTGTTTATAAAGCCTTAATTAATATTTATTTTTATTATAAAAGGGAGTTATTAATTAAAAGTTTTAATAATTAAAAGAGTAATAATAATATTATAAATATTTTATTATTATTACTATGCTATTTTTAATAAGGTAATTAGCTAATCTTTAAAACTATTAATATAATTAATTAAAGTATTAATTTTTTTAAAGTATGCTTATATTAAGTTTTAAAGATACTTAGCAGCATTAATAAAGTCTTAAATTTCCATGGTTATAATTAGCATAAGCTAATTATAAATAGCTATAATTTTCGCTAGGTTTGCTATAATGTCTTCTTTTAAGATAAGGTAGCTTAAAAATATACTTTTATAAATAAAGAGGAAGGTTTTTTAAGTATTAAGGATAAAATTATAATAATATAGTTATTAAAAGATTATAAGTAAATATTTATATAATTATAGCATAAAATTTGCTTATATAGTAATATTATTTAAAAGGCTATATATAATATTTTAAAGGTTTTAAAAGATTTCCTTAATAAAAGCTTAAAAGGTAGTTAGGGTATTACATAAGCTAAACGGCATTATTAATTATTTATATAAGCTAAAGAAAGTAATAAATGCTATTTTTTTAATATTTATATAATAAATATTAATATATTAAAAGCTATTCTTTAAGTTAATAAAAATATAATATTTATAACTTGTTATATATTAAATTTAATTTATTACATTAAGCATAAAGTATATATATTTCTTAATATGCTTATTAAGCTTTTAATAGTTATAATAAAAACGTTAAATTATTTATTATAATTTAAGTGCATTTTAGCTTAAGGGGATAAGTTTCTTTAAAATTAAATATAAAGTTAATACTTAAGGGCTCTTACTTTTTTTAATTAATATTTCTTTATATACCTTAATGAAATTATAAATAACTTATCTTTATATTAAATTAAATTACTAAAGAGGTTAATGGAATGGTAGGTTATTATTAATATTAATGCAATGCTTGGTTTTTGTTAAAAGGTTTACTTAATGCTTCTTTAGGTTAAATAGTTTAGGGAACTTAGCATAATATTCCTTAAGATAGCGTTAAACTTAAGGGTTATTTATAAAAGTATTTAGGTGCTATTTAAGGGCAAGAGGCTGGGTATTTATAGCTAGGAAAGCCGTTTCCTTTATTAAGTATATTAATTATTAATGAATAAATAGGATTAATTTTAGTTAATAAGGAAATATAAATAAGTAAATAATATTTTATAAAGTATAGTGGATTATTTATTAATAAAAGATTATTTTCTTAAATATTAACTTTGCTAAAAAAGTATTATTAAGAATAACTTTATAGAAAATAATAAATTAACTTATAAGGCTAGTTTTTATAATAAAATAGGCTATTATAAGAATATCTTTAATAATGCAAGGATTCTTGCCTTTAATTCCTTTTATATAAATAGGATAAGAAAAATTATATAAGGTAAATTATGCTGCTAAAGATTTAAAATAATAATAAATAGCGGAATTATAATTAAAGAAGGTATTAAACTTATAGCTATTAAGAAGGCTAGCTTAAAAAATATTATAAAAAATGTTAATACCTTTATAAGCTGGTTTATTATAAATAAGTAGCGGTTAATTATTAGCACTTACTTTTATAAAGTAAGTGCCTTAGCTATTTTAATCCTTATAATTTAATTTGCTAAAAATGCCATTAAGCAGCTTATTAATATTATTATTATTATTAAATTAAGCAGCTAAATTGCAATACTCCTTATCTTTATTATTTAAGTTTAAATTAATAATATAAATATAAGTGTTTTTGCAGCTAAATAAAAATTAAAAATGGAGCTTTTTATTATGTTAAGAGGAAACTATATTATATAAGTAGGAAGCTAAGTTAATATGCTTATTATCTTTATATAAAGTGCCCTTAAGTATAATAAGGTAGCTATTATTAAGTATTATAAAGGCCTTAAGCTAATTAAGCTTAAAATAATAATTTTTTGCTTAATAGCCTTGCTTATTATAATTAAAGCATATATTATCTTTCTTATTAATTATATTAATATAAATAAGGTTGCTATTTTGCTATTTAATTATATAAATTATATATTTATTAATTTAAGGGTTAAAAATAGTGATTTATATAGTTATAATATTAATAAGTTTAATTTAAACTATTTTAAGCTTATTAATTATAATTAAGTTAACTTATAAATTATAAAAGGGAGTAAAATTATTATATAGTTAAATAATTATTTATAAGCTAATATAAATGCTTTGCTTTATTATTTTATTAATATATATTTTAATTTATTAAATAACTTTTTTAATTATTATAAAGGTAGTTATTACTTAAACCTTATTAAGGATTTTAATAAAGATATTAAGCTAATTAATAAAAATCTTATTTAATAATATTAATTAAATTAAGGGGGCATTTTATTAAGTTTTTAATAGCTTATAATAAGCATTATAAACTTTTTAAGCAAAGTTAATATATAACTTATCTTTAAAGGAAAGTAAAGTAAAAAATATTATTATTATTAAATAAAGGGCATTATACTTATTAAAGATTTAAATAATAGCTTTAATAAAGAATAATTAAATTAGCTAATTATTTATAGTTTATTAAGTAATGTTAAAAAAGTTATTAAAGAATTTTATAATTACTTTAAATAGCTATATCTTATAAGGTATTATCATTATTTATAATAAAATTTATATCTTTTTTAACTTATTAAAAATTATAATATTAATTATATTAAGGTAAAGTTTTTTTAAAATAAAAACTTTTTCTTTTATAAAAGCTTTTAAGTAAAAGTATTTATTAAGTAAAATAATTATTAAAAAGACTTTCTTAAGTTAAAAGTTAATTAAAATATAAAGATAATTTGCTTAAATATTATTAATAAAATAAAGATTAAGTTTGCTATTATTATAATAATTTATAAGCTTAAGAATAAGGATAATATTATTATTATAAAGGTATAAATTTAAGGGCTTAATGCTTTTATTTTACTTTTAAGGATATAATTAGCTTTTAATAATAAAAGTAGAAATGCTTTAAAGCTAAGTATAAAGAATATTATTATATTAATTTACCTTATTATTAATAATCTTTAATTATTCTTAAAGATTCTTTAGTTATTTATTAAATTTATTATTAATGGCTTTAAGGTTATTTATAAGGGTAATAAGGGTAATTTATATATTATTTTACTTTATAATAACCTTTTTTATAAATTAATTAATATAATTATATATAAAAGTAATTATAATGCTATAATTATTTATATAAGTAGTTATAGCATTAAAAAGAAGAGGAAAAGCTATATTAAGGTAAAGTAAAAATAATAATAATTAAAGAAAAAAAATTAATAAAAATAATATTAAATTAATAAATCTTTTATTATTAATGCTTATTTAATAATTATTTACTTTATAGCTTATTTATTAGCTATTAATAAAGAGTATTATAATGTTTATTATTATAACTTTCAATTAGCTTTATAAATATTTACTTATAAGTAATAACTTTAATATAAATATTATTATTATATAAATTAATTAATAAAGTTGCTTTTTAAAAGTAAATTATTAATAAAGAATAAGATTAATAATAATAATTTAATGGATTTTAATTACTTAAAAGGTTATTGCCTTTAAGGAAGGCTATTAATTAATAGCATAAAGGTTTATAATTATGATTTTTATTAAATAAGTGCTTTAATAAGGTTTTCTTAATAAAAATAATTATTTTTATGCTTTTTTATGCATTTAATTTATTAAATAATATTGCAATAATTATAAGGGATGCTATAAACTATATGGTATAGGTATATAGGTTGCTTAGTTGCTAATTACGCTTAAAGGGCAGTGCTTTTAGTGTTTTGGGCTGCAACGCTGCTTATGTAAGCAGCTGCCTGCCCGCTATCTACGGATCCACAAGCGCAGGGGGTCTGCGGCCCTGTTCGGCAAGTGCCGTGCCTAACCTCCCGCGGCTGCAGTGCATCATGGAACCCCGTGGGGAAGCTGCAAGACCAGGGTGTTCAATGATATCAAAACGTCACCCAACCTGCTGACCTCGTTGCTTACCGTAATCGATGGCAATCGGTTCATTCTCTTGGGGCCAACCTTACTGCTTGCTCAGCCAGAAATTTTGACGGAAGACAGCTGACGGCATTCCTGGATCTCGTCGCTCTTGTCACTTCTGACCTGGTGTACAAGAGACATGATGTCGAACCCTCAGGCTCACCTTGATTACAATGGGCGACTTACAAGCCGATTTGACAAAGCTGCAGGATCTTCTACCGTCTGAGCTGGAGAAAGCTGCCGAAGGCCACAGGTTTGAGACAGGAACGCATGTCTACTAGTTCTGCATGGTGCTTCTCAGATAGACATGAGGATGTCGACTTCAAATGGAATGTAGCAGGAAGCCGTGACGGGCTCCGGCGCTCGAATACCTGGTACAATTTGGATGACTGCCACCTTAGTAGCCTCTTCCGTCTCAACCATCAATCTCTACGAAACCGAGGTATCCTATATGCCCAATAATCAGAATGCAACCCTAGCTGTACATTGAGGTTCATCAGAGGCCGGGTGACTAGCTCTATGCTTCTGGTTGTGTCAAGCTGTGTACTGAGTTGTAGGCAACAGACGGTAAGAATCGCTGCCACACCCACTACTCAGCCGCCATTTACGACGGTCCTTTGTACGACAGATCACTTGCAATTGGAGCTGGTTTACCCGAGCCCCCCTTGAATATTGGCTGAACAATCAGGGTTGACAGCTTCTGGCAAAGTCGTTAGCCCAGAATCTAGTCTTAGACGATGCGTGGTCGCTGTGGAACCTAAGTTAGGTCTTTATCTGTAGCTACGCAGCCCATATCTCTTCTTCTTTTCTCTTCGCTTGGGGGGGGGGGTGAGGGGGATCGCGGTCGTGTAATGCCTGGGTTCAAGCTCAGCCGCTACTTACTAATGCAAGTGGTGAGTAAGATCATTTGCTTTATTCCTTTTCAATATGCGTGCTCGGTGGGCATCATCTTCGTAGACCTGTGCTTCTCTCATATACTTCGCCTGCTCCAAGAGGAATTCGTAGTCCCTCCGAATACATTGGTCAAGACTTCAGGTGTCTCGAGCCTGCCACAGCTCCGCTGGAGGTCAATCTGAGGCCAGTCAGCTCCAGATGGCCAAGGCCTTGAGTAGATACCGAGGATTCACATAGACGAGGGGAAACTGATCCACCAACAGAGATACAACCGAGTGTGGCCTTATTCTATGTCTCATTCAGCTTGTTTGCCAGACACAGACAATCCCTCTTCCTCTGTCTAATGTCTTCCAGCCCGCCTACTCGCAAGGCGGTATCACACTCAATCCTATCTACACTCCCCCACCAACCCTCAGACCATCTATGCCTTCAGTCTCTCGCTCGCCAAGTCATCCTCGGCGTCCTTAATCAAGAACCTGGGACAGACGAGCGTCAGCACAGATACACAATAACAGAAATAACGCACAGCAAACTTACTTGTACCACACGATCGTAGGCGCGATAGTCCCCAGGTGCCACAGGCTATGGGCATCGAGGCTCCCCCACAGCGGGGGAAAGTCGAACAGCTCGAGGCTCATGGCGAGCATGATCCACGCGACTGCGAATCCAGGCCACGTTGCCCAGCTGCGCCCCGTGCGCTCGTACTTGGCCCACGAATACCATGACCACATAACGTTCTGGACGAGGCCGCAGGCGACGTTGGCGGCCATGTTATAGGTGTAGTCCCACCGCCACAGCTTGAGGTAGGCGACGTGGCCCGCGTACATGCACCCGCAGAGCAGGGTCCAGGCGCGCAGGAGGCTTCGGCGCCGGGGCGCGCGGCGGTCCAGGCGGAAGTGGTGCACGACGGTGTAGTAGAGCCCGTAGAGGACGTTGGCGCCGGCCGCGAAGTAGTCGAGCTGCTCGGTGGCGGCGAAGTCGCGGGTGTGGAACACGGAGCTGAGCGCCCAGCTGGCGATGCCGACGTGCGCGAGCACCACGTAGAAGGGCCGCAGCGTGTACGACTTGGGCATGGCCGCCCGCACCTTGCGCAGCCCGTCCGCGTGCGCCCAAAGGTTGCCCAGGCTGAAGAGCACCGACAGCGGCTCCTGCATGCCCAGGAGGCGCAGGAAGGGCCATTTGCCGTAGAACTGTACCACGGGCTGGCCGGCCGACACGCGCGCCGCCGTGGTTATGTGCTGGCAGGCGTGGTCGCATTCCTGGGGGCAGTCCCAGAGGAGGAGGCGGTGGAGGAGAGCTGTGGGAGAGGTTGGCAAGGTTAGCCGGCCTGCTTGTCTTGTCTGTGGGCGCGCCAAGAACAGAGTCGAAAGGGCAATTGGGGATATGGCTCACGGATCGGAGTCTGCGGCTTGTTCGGGTCGCAGTTCTCCTGCTTGCAGACCTGCAGTGTATGTCAGCTTCAGTAACCTCAGTGGTTGCCTTGTTCGGCAGAAAGAACGTATGGCCCCTCTCCACCAGTAGTCGTCACGAACCTCGACGCATTGGCGGAACTCGGGCAGCCTGTCGCCAATGGAGGCGTGGACGCCGGCGCAGAACAGCAGCATGCAGATGGCGAGGGCGAGGAAGAGCGGCCGGGGCCGCATCCTGCCCGCTCCTGTGGTCGTCATGATATACTCATTTAATCCGCGGCAGAGCAAGATGGCGCAAGGCTACGAAGGGGAGGAGCAAAGAAGGGTATGCATGAAGAGGACAGACAGCATGCGAGCAGGGTGATGCGCGCTGAGGTGAGTGGGATTCACGTCACGGAGCTTCCGAGCCCCTGGGCGGGTTGCGGTTGCTGCCTGCGGCAGGCAGGCAGTTACTTCCTGCTCGAACTCTCCCCAGCCCTGTCAGCCTGTCGGTCTCGGGTGGAGCTCCCGCAACCCAGACCCTCGGTCGAGAGATGTGAGATTGACATCTTTCCGAGCGGGATAGGATGCCCATGACTTTCCCGCCTGCCATTGCAGAGTCTGTGCAGGTGACAGCGGCACTTCAGATGCTTAATTGTAGTTTACTGCCGCGACTCCCACTCGCTACAGTCACGCCGCGGTCTGGGCACCCGCACAGAAGTGTTGGTCCAAAAAAGCATTTGATTTGATCCACGAACCCGCTCTGTGAGCAGCGTCGCCATCGTTTTTAAAATGAGTACATCCTGGTGACAGCTATTTGTGCCTCACAGGCTCATCAGAATATATAGACATCCGTATATATAAGTGGGATTTTCCATCCACTCGAATCCAAACTCCATTTCTACCGCCCGTTTCCCGGAAGTGAGATTCATTTCACGCATGCTTCCATCTCGGTACAATCCGTAGCACAAACTCGGAACACCCCGTAAAACCGTCAAACAAACAGAAAAAAAGAGACCAGAACAAGTGAAAATCGTCAAGAATGAGAGTCGGGCTGTAGGCCGTATTGTCGACAGTACTTCCACTATGGTATCGTGGGGTCGTGAAATATCATATGTCGCCCTCATCAGAAGGGCCATCCGTGCACTTGTAACCACGGCAGACCGTGAACGCCGAGCAAGCTGTGAGCAGGATCCTGTTTCTCTTGTTCGCCTGTGGATTTGACCCGATTCGCCGTACGAAGGATGATTCCGTGGCTGCGTCAAATCATGATATCATCAAAGAAGAGCGGAATGAAAAGTATAATGTGAAAAGCAGTGAAATGCCCAGCGAATCAGAAGGGTGACTCAGACTGCCGATGAGTGGGAGTGTTGAAGTCCTTCAGGCGCTGGTCAAGGTACGCGAGCCGCGAGGCCAGGTTGATGCTGGCTGGCTCTGTTGGATGCGTCCCGCGAGGCTGATGCACCGTCGAGAAGCGCCGCGCGAACATGGCAGGGTCGAGGTCCGACGGCTGGCTGAACCTGTTGGGGACGCTGAAGCTCATCGAGCTGGAGGCCGAGAAGGGGGAGCCCAACCGCGGGGGCGTAGCGATAGGAGCCACGGCCGGTCGGGCTGTTGGCTGGGCCGAGTCAAAAGACAGTGGTGCCCGTGGCCGAGAGGCGAAGAAGGCATCCTCGGCCTTGCTCGAGTCGCCAGCGAGGATTCGAGGGTCGAGCCAGGTGTCCAGCGAAAGACTGGGCCGCTTGCGGGACTCATGAGCCTGCCGTGTCTTCCTCTTTTGTGTTGACGACCGACTGAGCCTGACCGGTGACTGCAACGTCCTTCGGGGTCCGACGGTGTGGGTCTGACGCTGGCCAACGTCGGCAGGAAGCCCAAACACATCCAGCAATGAGGTCGAAGAGCTTGGCCCGTAGCTCTTGGCGTTCACCGGTGAGCCCAGACGCCGACGCTCTACCATTGAAGGCTCCAGGTTGACATCCGGCTGTGGCACGTGGTCCAGGTTGGGTGGGATCGTCGGGGCCGGTGAGTCCGGCGCGGTGGTCAGCTGCGCAAGCGGCCCTTTAGGTGTCATGGTCTCGGAGGTGCTCATTGCCAAAGACTTTGCCATCTCCTGCGTCTCGAAAGGTGCTGTCGCGGAGGTGGGTGTCGATCGCCGGGCCCAGCGGACAGTGGCGTCGGTCAAGGGTGTAGGGCTGCGGGAGAAATAAGAGAATCGCATCTTGCCTCCATCAGGACCACGGGCCTTCTGCTTGCATAGAGCCCTCAGATGCGCTCGGGTGGCCGCAGCCGTGTGTGGCCACTGCATGAACACGCCGGACGACTCCGGCGCCGTTGGGGTCGAGCTACCGCTCCTTGCTTCCGATGCGCCCATGGCCTTGGCCACCGTCTTTGAGCCCTTCCAACTCCGGATGGCCTGGCGAGCCACCCTCTTGGACACGCCTTCTGGTGGGATGCCGCTCTTGCCGATCTGAAAGGGTGTTACGCGTGGGTCCGAGAGATACAAGTTGTATGTCGCCCAAAGGTGCCGGCTCATTGCTGGCGTCCATGGGGCCTTCCTCGCTATCCTCGAACTGCTTAGGGGCTGTACACCTTCTGTCTGGCTAGCCTCTGAGTCGACACACATGAACCTCTCCGAGTCTCCAATCTCCGGGCTGAAATGTATGTCATCGTCTGAGAAGCACGATGACAACTGACTGAAAGACGACGTGCTCGTCCGTGACCGCGCGGTGGACGGTCGAGACTCGGGCTCTGGACTCGACTCAGAGCTGCTCATCCAATCGATTGCCCAGTTCGGATATCTCGAGGGCGTCAGGGAGGGAGGGGCTCCTGGCGCAGGAGTCTTTGGTGACGAGAGTGATTGGTTATGTCCATATTGAATATGGAGACCGTCCTCGATATCTTGGCCCTCCTCCGGGTAATGCAGGTCACTCCAGGAAGGCATGACATCGGATCCGTAAGTGGCGATTGCAGGTTCCTCGACGCTCGGTATTGGCACGTCGGCAGCAGCAACTGATGCGAGGAACTGTTGTGTTGGCGCGGCGAGGTGTTGAGGATCATTGCGCCGCTTTAACCTGAGGCGTGGTCTCGGTGTAGAAGGTGCCTGGTTCTCGGCCTCTGTGGATGGTTCCGGGGTCTTCTGCGGGCCGAATCGCCCATGGCGGAGGAGTATTCCCCCTGACTCCATGTTTCCACTCATCATGTCTCAGTTTACAGTCCAATCCAGACGGCGGGGCGGGTCATGAACTCGTCAAAGCGTGTACCCGAGTCAAGGTCAAAGGGAGGAATGTTCTCAAAAGTGCTTCCAATAGCCTGCGCGCGAATGAGATGTGATGCTTGGTCCTCGAGGAGATGTTAATGGCCCCGCCAAGTAAAGAGTCCCACCAGATATGTGGTACTAATAAAGGGAAGCCCGTATCGAGTCTCGTTGAACCTCCAAAATCCGGTGGCTGGTCCGTTGTATCCCGTTTCTGTAAGACGCCACGGGCTTTTTTGGTTTGTGTCCCAGAGGCGGAAAAGACTAGCTCGTCTGATTAGATTGTGTCCAGAAACGACGCCCAAGAAAATATCATGAAAGAAACATCAGTCGTGATGAAGAGCAAAGGAAATATAAGGAAATCGAGTCGTCAAGATCGTGAAGCAGGTAGGTGAGCCGTCACAGACTGACGAGCGGGGAGAGTTGATGAACGACCCGTCGCCGTTGAGTGAAATCCGACAGATACCTAGCGAAAAAGGAAGAATGTAGATTGGGTGGTGGGTGATGGTGGGAACACGGGATGGTCGATGAGCGGGATGTATGAATATGTAGGAACAGCACGCACGTTCTGGGTTCCCTGGTTGACAAGCGAGAGGACGGGGGACGGTGGTATGGTGGTATGGGGGGTGGGAGACAGCGGGTCCGAAGGAGGATGGAGGCACCGCGGCGCGTGGAGCGGATGCGGGAGGATGCTAAAGGCAGTGGAGGCGTGCAGCGATCACATCTATTTCGTACCCACGTACCTTTTTCAACCCTGGTCTTTGGTCTGCATGCGACCCCGGACGGCGTGATGGGGCACGGGGACCAGTGATGAGAGGGTGAGGTCTTCTTTTCAGCGGATTAACGCTGCAGACTGCACAGACGTGCGCCAACCCTGAGGTCAAGCTCTGGACTGCGCAGGTGGACAAGATCTCGATATGTGTGAGCCGGCCTTTCAATAAGCGACTGGGCACCGTCCAGTTCCTTCTGCCTGCAGGCTGTCGTGGACCAAGTCTCCGGCAAGACGGTCTTGAGAGCCCGATTGCGCGCTCGGAAGAGCTAGCTGGAGGCAGCTGGAGGCGAGGGCCACTGAGCAGGCAGTATAGCTCGATGCAGTATAGAATGATCCTGGCAGACGCGTCTAAGGTATTAAAGGATGGCGGTGCGCTGCGATGCAATGCGATGCAATGCGATGCGATGCGATGCTTGTCGGGTAGGTTTGAGGGGCGCGGCGGTGTTAACAACACCCCTGGCAGTAATAGCAGTCGTGGATGAGAGCCGGGCGGACAGACAGACAGAGAGAGAGAGAGACAAAGACCAGTTAGGTGTCGCGGGCTGGAGCTGGGCTGCTGCTTGTCAGTTGTCGACGGGGTGCGGGTACAGCGAGGTGCGCCGGTGGCCGATGCCCTGATCCGTGCAAACGCTGTGGATGTCTTGCAGAAGGTAAGAAAAAAAACAGTCCGATCGACGCCAAATAAAGACCAGATCAACAGCAGGCAGGCAGGCGCAAGGCAAGATTGGATTCTGAGGTGATCCGAGGTTGAGGCGAGTCGAGGCGAGGGTGAGGCGAACAGACGGCGGCAGAAGTGCAGTTGCAGCGCGGCCTAGAATGCAGGCGCAGTTGCCCCTAGGTGCACCGTGCTGTGCAAACCTGGCAGCGGGTGGATGACGGGACGCGGACGTCGAGGGATCAGGCCTGGATTGATGATGGGTGGATGTGAAGGTGGATTGGTGGATTGGTGAATTGGAAGGGGGGCCTTGGGGGGGGGGTGGCAGGCAGGTGGAGGTTGTTAGGTGAGGGTCCCCCAAAGTACGGGAATACAGACAAGAGGAGCGAGGATTGGAGCCCGACTTGGGACTTGGACTTGACTTGACTTGGCTAGCGAGGGTGAGACAGAAAGTCTCGGTGGTCTTGTACTCTTGTATGGTTCAGAGATCTGAGTGCCTTGTCCTGTGCGCCCGGGGGCGGCTGAGGCCGTGCACTCGCGATGGTTTGTTTCGGACGGCAAGACGTGGGGCCTTTGCAGGCTGGGAGCTGGAAGCTGGGCGCCCGGGCGGGAGCTGGGAGGATGAGGAGGGGAGGCTGGCAGAATGGGGCAGGATTGATCCCCAGGGGTCCCAGGGTCACTCTGGCAGATGCTCTTTTAGCAACCGAGCAATGCGAAACTGAGAAAGATGCTGTTGGGGGTGGATCTGGCCTGGAACCAGGACCCGGACCTGCAGACGGAGTTTACCGTTTACAAGCAGCAGCACAGCATCGACAACAACAAACGAGCGACGAACGAATGAACGAGGCAGCCAACGAGCCAACGACCCAGCCAGCTGTTTGAATCCAAAAGGTGTAGATGTAGAAACCCATGGCAAACGCAGGTCTCCTGCAAGTTCACGAGCGGAATGGAAAAGCGAAAAACGGCCGCTGGTCAGGCACGCGCAGCCCCCGAGGCGCCGTCCAATCAGAGAGTGCGGCAGTGAGCTGGTTGAGACGCGAGAGAGACGCGTAAAAACGCGCCCCGACGTGGGTGGCAAAGCACTACTCGCAGTCGTCGTTCGTAGCTCTGGCCACAACGCGCCCACTTTTCCCATTTCCCCCCATGTCCGTTAGGCCCGCTTTTGCCATGAGGCCGACCCTCTTCTATCTCGATCCTCCAGCGGTCTCCATCGTCCCCATCGTAATCCTCAATCCGGCCAGCTCGGCTGTGTTGGACCATTTAATTAGTTTAGTCTAGTCTGGCGTACCAACAAGCGTGCTAATCTTGTATCAACACGCGACGGCGCGGACTTCTTAAAATACAAATAGCATCATCATTCAGCCTTGGAACAGGAGATCCTTCGCCCACGATGGAGTCAGGAGAACGGACATGTTCCTGGGGAATGGTAGTCCCCGTCCGTGACGCCTCCGCTCCCAACTCGGTGTTCCAGGACTCTGGTCTCACGGGCTAAGCCAGCTGCTCGATTGGGCCATGGGCTCCTCATGTGCCTCTCCTCGTGTGCTGCCCGCCACCGCACCCCTCCCGTGAGGCAGGATGCGCCGGCCAGCTGCATGAGATATCACACCAACCCCCCCCCTTCAACCTCAACCATGGTATCGCTCTCTGCGCCTATACTCACACTAACACTCTCACGCTCACTGCCAGACAGCAAGTCCACACGAGCAGAAAACGGTGTTCCCGCAGGAGCATGCGCACATGACATGCAATGCAGGCTGCCATGTCACGTATTGCAGCACTTGCACTACCCGAGAGCCGAGCACTGCGCCTGATTGCACAGGTTCCAACGCAAAGGGACATGCCAGATGGGACTTGACATCACAAACAGCACACCACAGGACGAGCATTTCAAGACTCTGCAGTGGACATGTCATGCCAACAATACTCCGCACCTATGAGGAACTGTGCCATGCTCTCTTCCCGGAAGTCAAATCCAGCCATCGAGATCGAGAACAGACACGCGGTGGATGCAAGCCTGTCGCTGTCAAAGATCTCTGATGTCCAACCAGGTCCTATCCTTAGGCTATCCACCCACCCACACGCAGCTGCATCATTCTAGGGCCGGCCCCCCCTTCACCCTTCACGACGTGCATCCTGGTGTACCCACAAGCTGTCGTCTGAAGTATCCCAACCCGCCACCCCGGCCGCCCATCACAGGACGCATGCGAGATGAGGCCCAGGTCCAGGCGATCCGGGTGAGGTTTGTAGTCGGTAGTCTGCTTATACACCGCCTCTGATATTGATATCTGGGCCTTTACTCGGTTAGTAGCACGAAACAAATATTGTTTCTATAAATCCTGAAACCAAATTCCCCGGGGCGCGTAATGCGAAGAGAACGACCGCGGCACGAACCTCGCCCGCCCCGCGTACCATTGAACGACCACGGCAGTAATAGGTGACTATGTGTGTTACTTCCTTGTCTATAGGAGAGGGGATTCAGTGGTAGAGAGAGAGACCCCGACCCGACCGCGAAGGTCGAGATTGAGTTTGAGGACCTTGTCAAGCGTCAAGGACAGCCTACCAATCTGCGTTGGCGGCGCCCGCCCGTCCAGGGTCCTTCGGCACATGGGGAGTCGAGCAGCTATGCGATCAGCGGATGGTCCCACCCGTGCACCCGTCCATCAATCATCCCGTGGGCCTGCGCCTGCGCCTGTTGGCTGTCTGTCAGCAAAGAGGTCTCCTACTGTGGCGATGGCGGCGGCTTCTCTGCCGCCATCGATGACCGCCGGTAGTGCGAATGTCACATGGAGCTTGGCGTTGGCTTTTGCCGCCGGGTGAGTAATCCGAGCTGCAGTCTGGACACCGAAATCGACTGCACTCCGGGCTTCTTTGTCGCCGTCTTCCTCCCGGCTCGGCCGAGAGAAGCGCTGCGAGCAAGACGAGATGAACTCAGCCCCGCTCGACTTCTCCGTTCAAAGGAAATACGACCAGAAAAGGGCGCCGTGCTGCAAGCTGCTGCACAAGGTTAGTGTCGCACAGACTTGCGCAGGGGCAGGTGGGAAATGGGCGGCCAGGTCAAGCTGGGTCTTGGTCTCCTCAGCAGCAGCCCGCGGGCCACATGTTTGGCCACATGCGATGTCTGCATGAACTCTGGCAATTTCAAGCGTACCTGGGACACAGGATGAGTTGTAGGAGGAGACATTCAATCACAGGAGCTCATCACTGAAGACCCAGCATGTGCCGACCGCGGAGGGCAGGGTGGTACAGGATGGTAAATGCCAGCCAGCGTGCGCTCAGATCCCGATGGCACACACACACACACACACACACACACACGACTGCTGCACGACACAAACTCTCTGCCCATCCCCCATCGAGGCCTCGCCCCAGAAGCCCGGGCTGAACTCTCCAAGGTGTCGGCGCCGGGAGCTTAATCCTGCCCCAGTCCCACCTTTGCGCACGCACCCGCCCCGTGAAGCTTCTTCTTCTCCCGGTGGTTGTTCTGACGTCTGTTATCTAGAGGGAGGGAGGTAAAATGAGGGCCGCGCAATATGTGGAAAGGCGGCGATCTGATCCCCGATCCAGCTGAAGCCACGACTTCCCAAAAGGGGGAAGAGCTCTCGTCCGCGCGCCCCTCTGAGACAATGCTCGCCCATCTGCTGAACCCTTTCCGTGTAAGCTAGGGAGCCGAGGACGGTGGTCTTTGACGATGTGGCAAGTCACAATGAGCACCGTCCATCCAGCAAATCCCTCCTCTCTGTAGACAATCTTCTCAGTATAAGCATCAGCTGTTGCTTGAAGACCCCTGTCAGCCGAACAATGATCAGACCAAAGCTGCTGGACGCGCCTCGGCTCGTCCGCATCATCAAATACCTGGCCCCGGCGCTGCTGCTATTCTACTTCCTCTCGGACCTCGAGGAGAACCAGGTCCGCGACCGGTACGCCGAGGTCCTGCGCAGCTTCAAGGACGAGAAGAAGCTCTTCGTCTCGGACCTGCTCGAGAACGAGGTCGACGGCAGGTTCGACGGCACGGAGCTGGCGCGGGTCTGCGCCGGCAGGGAATGGCATCCGGAAGACAAGGCCCTCATCTTGACGTGCTCGCCCATGCCCGGGGGCGTGGGCGAGGTCAAGAATGGGCTCTTGCACTGCATACGGTTTGCGATTGAGATAGGAGGTTAGTCCATACGTTGGCCTGTTGGTTGTCTCTCGGCCAGCTAGCTATATGTAATCTGTGCCTGTCACTGTTGCCGTCGTCGTCACTAACAGCCCGCCGTCCCCAGCGCAGCTCGTCCTCCCCCGGATCACCCGCCGCTCCCAGGCCGATATCTCCAACCTCAACGGCGAGCAGCAGGCCAAGGGCCAGCCCCTCGACTACATGTTCTCGTCCGAGCACCTGCTCACCTCCCTGCAGTCCCACTGCCCGCAGATGCGGGTCTACCGGTCCCTGGACGACCTCTACGACAAGCCGAGCCTGCTCAAGCCGCTGCCGGTGGGCATGGGCATGCTGACGGACGATGTGGCCGTTCTCAACGGGACGTACACCTCAATCATCGCGGAGCCCCAGAACATAACCCGCCGTTTCGCCGAATTCTACGAGCGCGAGCTCCCCCTCGAAAAGCGCCACTACCCCGTGCGCGTCGACCTGCAGCAGACCGTCTTCGCCTGGCCCGCCCACTATGACGGTGAGGCCTTCCGCCGCGACTTCGGCCGCCTGCTGCGCGTGCGCGACGACGTCAGGCTGCTGGCCGCCTCCGGGCTGTGGGAGCTCGTCCGCCGCTTCAGCCTGCAGCTCGACCCGCGCCGGGGCATCGCCCACAACCCTGCGCAGGACAAGAACCCGCGCTTCGTGGGCGCCCATTTGCGCACGGAGAAGGACACGGCGCCCCCGCCCGCCCGCGAGGGTGAACCACCGCCGGCCTATGATGGCCGCTTCCCCGGCTACGACGCCCAGGCCACGTACTTCCTCGACTACCTCGCGTCCTCCGAGGTCCCCGGGAGGGTCGTGTACCTTGCGACGGGCCTGCACACCGAGGACGGGGACGTGCGACGCTTCACGGCCAAGGCCGCCGAGCTGGGCGTCACCGTCGTCACCAAGCGGGACGTCCTGGCGCCGGGCGAGGTCGCCGTGCTCAACAACCGCCTGACCTGGGACCAGAGGTCGCTGGTCGACTACGAGATCATGCTGCGCGCCGGTTTCGTGCTGGGCATCGTCGAGAGCAGCTTCGCGTGGAATCTGGCCCTGCGGAGGGGCAACACGTTCGGCGGCGGGAGCAACGGCGTCGGCGCCGAGTATGGGGGGTTCATGGAGGTGCCGAGCACGGATCCTGGGAAGCCCGGGGTGATGATGTGGCAGGACCGGTATTCGAAGCTGTTTGGCGACTCGGACAGGGCAGTGAGCATGTACTATGGAATTTGGCCTTGATGTCCGCGACGGAGGGATGGAGACGCAAAGCTCGGGTTGATTCGGTTGGCGTTTGATTCCTGGTTCGAATCGGTGGCGTGCGCATGCGAGAGGATATGATAGACTGGCCGCGTATGCTTTGCATTGTGGGAAGATGGCGTTGATGTCTCAAGTGTAATCAAGAAGCCTTCCTCGTTCACCTGCACGCCTGTTCCCGTCTTCCCGTCCGTATGAATAGCCCGACTCCCAGGATCTGAGTACGGTGGCCAGTTGGGCAGATCAAGGCGAGTCTGCCATTAGTGATCCCTCGTAGTTGTACCAGGAAGTCCGCTGGGGAAGAGCACATGTTGATGAGAGCAACCAATTTTCGGAGCACACGACAAGCTGGCACACCACCGAAGCTGACAATCCTATCATTTTGGCCTTCTTCGCAGCCGTTGCTCAAGCGCATTTTCAACATCGACGACGAGGGTCCTCAAGGACACATCTGGCGCCACACCGTCTGCAATCGTTCGATCTAAGGAGAAAAGATCAGTTATGGTTGTCCACTCACACGTGGATGGCGCGATGATCTGGACGGCGGTAGGACGTCCCCAGGGCACGTGGGATTTGGATGCTCACAAAACTCTTTCCGGCGCAGCAGGACATTGTCCCACTCACGTCGAAGACGCTCATCACCTTCTAGCAGCTCAGTCGTTGGTGGCTGGCCTTTTTTGGGGAAGATAGGCGACGCGGAGCCGAAGTAGGCGCTGTATTTGATGACCAACAGCCGGTAGAGATGCTCCACGACCGCCAACGCAGATACCTCATTGAGCCCTAAGAATCGGTCAGTAAGTCTCCGTGAGAAGTATCCTCTGCCAAAAGCCCCGGAGCATGAAGCGTGAACGTGGCTGTCACTCACCGGTGCCCCCGCCCCCTACTGAGCTCACCGGTTGACTGCGGGCGAGATTTGAGTATCCCGAGACCATTTGCCGGTAGATGAGTATCAGCTGCCAGATACAAGCCCACAGAGGCAGCTCGATGAGTCGAGCGCCGTCAAGGGACAGCTCGTCCAGCTCCAGCAGGATCTCCTTCTCGCAGGCGATGAGCGCATCAGTGGCTATCTTTCTGAGCTCCCAAATCACCGTCGGTGGCAGTTGTGATTGGAAGTTGTTGTGTCCACCTGCGGCAGGCGCTCCTCCATGCGCAAATGTGTACAGCTTCGAAGTCTGCCAGATCAGGTACCAGCATCGCATCTCGCAGACCTTGCGAACGAGAGTCTTCGGGTCAATGCAAACAGGCCACTTTTTCTTCCCAGAGCTGGAAGCCGCCCCGTTCAAGCCCAGAGGGCTATCCCTGTATACCAGGAGAAAGGAGAGTATAGCGGCCTCAAAGTCTGGTGTCTTCTTGTCGTACAGTTCTCTCAATAACTGTCTCTCTGCCCAAAGAAGTAAATTGCGAGATAAGTGCTCTTGCCCAGAGGCAAGACAGGCCCGTACCACCAGGTTTGGTGCCAGTTGCATCACCGGCCAGCTGCTAAACGTGGGCGTCGGAGCACTGTTGGGTTCATTGTACGCTTGCGAAGAGTAGTAGCCTGTAGCCGATGTGAAGGGCATCGCGTTGACAACGTACGGCTGAAGCGTCAGAGCCAACCCGGGCGAATCGTTCGACTGCTTCATTTTTACGACAACTCGGTATGGAGTCCCACTCAACTGCCAGTTCTGCTGCAATAGCGAAATGCATGTTGACTCGCGGGTCCAAATGTCGGCTGGAACACATTTTTAGCAGCAGTGATCACCGAATATAGAGGATGAGGCGGGCCTCAACTCACTAGCTTGACCATCATCAGGAAACCGCACATCCAGCAATTTCTCCCGAACACACACCTCTGGGTGTTTTGGAAATGCCTTCCTGCAATGTTTACAAGAACTGCCCTCGTCACACTACGACCATGTCAGCAAGTGCCCAGCCGGGAGAGATTACAGTGCTGCTGTCTTACTTCTCGTTTCCGGATGTGACAGCGCATGCACGCCTTAATCTTGCGCATGTTGGACACCTTGACGCGTTTCTCCCCGGGCAGCGGGTTGCTTCTCCCCCGTTTCATGGGCATTGCCTGGGCTGGCGGGCTCAAGGGGGAGGCGGGATGACCTGAACTCCTAGGCGACAGATGGATAGATATGTCATCCTCCTCTAGACGTTTCGGCGACGGTGGCATTGGCTCCTGAATATGGATTTCTGGGCCGCCCCCGACATGACGCAAGCAGTCGGCGGAGTCCAGATCGTCAAAGCCTCCCCCAGACCATGATGTGCTGGACACAGCCTGGGGGTCAGCATCTTCTAGCCGGCCAGGGGAGGACGGCGAGGCCCTGCTGCGGCTCAAGGGCGAAAGAGTTTGTCCGAACGTCAATGGTGGTGCATGGCCCTCGGAGCCAAGGTAGGTCGACGTGTCGTCGCGGCCGTCTACGGATGGTTGTATGTAGGCGGGTGTCTCATCGCTCGGGAAGTCAAAGAACTGACGAAAAAGGTCATCGTCGTCACTCTGCAACTGCTCAATGAAACTCTGGATATCACCAGGTATGACTTGGCCTTCAGCGTTCGGCGAAACGGGCTTCATTGTGAGATGATTAGGCAGTAGTCACTTGACCAACACCCGGGATGGCTGTCAGGGCGCAGACAGCGGCAAGATGACTCCTGAGTTGATCAGAAGTATTGGATAGATCAAAACAAGATGCCTGTCAGAGTTGATTGTGTGGCACGGGTGAGCAGTCACTGCGCAGGTTGAACGGTAAGTCGTACTGTTGCGCACTTATACGGCATGGTGCCGCCTTTTCTGATTCGCCAGGACTGGTGTAAGATGCGGCTCTGCCAGACCGAATATTGTAAGAGGCATCACGTGGGACACCATTCCGTACGCACTCGCGCAGAAGCTTACCGCATTGGCAGGCTGCAGCAAGCTGTAGCGTGCTGCAGTCCAGATTGGTAGCCGCATGTCTGGGAGACCAGACAGTGCTTTACTCTATTACTCGATGGCGGTACTGGGTTTGACAAGTAGCTGTTCGAGGCAGGTGGACCCTATTTCATTCAGGATGCTGTGTGATCTGCGCCAGCTCGGTCCCGAAGGCGCGAGGTGACGAGTCCGAGCCCGCCATGTGCATCTCAACTGTTCACCGTGCAGTTCATACGGCGACGGAGGAGGAAGCTGTTGGAATGAACGTCAGCTGAAGTAATACGGCGGCAGCCAACTTGTTGTTAGTGACGGCCGGATAGAGCACACACAGCACTCAAATGAGGACCGGCCCGAGAACCAGTTGACAAGACGCCACAGAGAAGAGGCGGAGCACTAGTGTCATGCTCACCAAAGTCATTCAAATGAACGCGATCGTCTCGTCGCTGTATTTCGATGTTCGTGGGACGAGGTCCAGCAGGGCGGATGTGGACGGACGATGCATGATGCCGAGGTGTGGTGGGCCCTCCCCAACCTGAGGATGGCTGCCTGCAATCACCATGGTTGGCAGGAAGCAATGGCTTGCAGGATCGTCAGGGCGTTCGTCCGCTAAACGAACTGTCAAGCTGTCAGGACTGACTCAAAATTCTGAAGCCTGAAGCCTTGTGGCACCTCTGGTTCCCCCGCCTGCACGGCCTCGCCGGAAGGACGAGAGCATGTCGAAACAGCGAAGCATTGCGTCGTGAACGCTAGCGACTTGTCCCATCTCGAGAAACAGAGAAGCGGAATTGGCAGCTCGGGTTTTGTGCAACACGTGCGGTCCCTCAGGCCAACCAAGACGCTCGGCAGCCTTGTGCTCATCGACCCTTGTGTCTTGTGTGACAGAGAAGCTCCGATGCAACGGTTGAGAGTGTCAGGAGGGTGCCGTCGATTGATGTCTGTTGTTCGGTAGCCAGGAACCGCATGCCCAAAAGAAAGGTTCAGCCGTGCCAGCCATGCCTGCTGGGCCACCCACAATGAGGTAAGATCTACAGTAATGGGATGATCTATGCTGGGCTCTCCTGGGCACTTGCCCATTGGGGTTGCTGCTCACAACTTCAACAGGACGGTTGACGGATCATCCTCCTGTGTGGCCCTTGGAAGCAACTGCCGTGGTGCTGCAGCCGTGACAGGAGGGAAAACGGTGGCAGGCAGGAAACGGAGGGAAGATGGAGTGCCGATCAGCCTCTCAGCCCCTGGGTTCTGATGGGGTATCCCAGACAGGCGAGCTTGCAATCGACAGAGAAGCGGCGGGTGGGGACCGCCACTGTGGGCGCAGCTTAATTACGTTGCGATGGCTGGATTGCGCATGAGTTCGGGACGATGCCGTGGAAGGGACTGAGCTTTTCTGAGGTCTGAGGTGTCGCTGATGGGACCCCAAGACCAGGGCTAGCCGTGCCGACTGTGCCTCAAGGCCACAGCGCAGAAGCCAGAGCAGAGCAGAGCAGAGCAGAGCAGAGCAGAGCAGAGCAGAGCAGAGCAGAGCAGAGCAGAGCAGAGCAGAGAGCACAGTCCAGCCTGGCCGGCCCAGCACAAGGGAGCCAGGCAAGACTTGCCGCCAAGAGGTGATATTGTGGCGGCGGGCTGGTAGGCCTGGTAGGCGGGAGGGCGGGATGATCTGCGATGGCTTGATGGATTTTCGATAGGCGATCCGGGGCAGCTTCATTAGGGGCAGCACCGGGCCTGAGTCGTGCCCACTGGGCGTGCTGCCCGCGCTGCCGCATCCCACCCAATTGCTACGGTGGCAGGGTGGTAGCCTTATTAGATGCCGATATCCATCCATGCAGCCATGGACCCTGAGGTCTAGAAGGCCTCGGAGGCGAAAACCTTTCGAAGGGGTCATACGCGAACTGTCGACTGGCACGAGGCAGAACAGGCAAAGCCCAAGCAGGTGCGGCCCCACAAACACGCGGAAGAAAACGTCTCTGTCCTCCCTCAAGGGCGGCACAATAATAGCACTTTAGGAGCGAGTCCGCACGTGCGACTATGCCGACTACTGTGCCTAAAATAGATGTACTTTTGGTGTTTGGCGTCCTTTCGCATTGAAGACCGGACCCGACCCCGATGGTGGCCTGGCACATTTTTCTCCCTTCCTGTCTTTTGTCAACGGATGAGAAGCAGCAGCTCGAGTCAGTAGGAACGACCTTATGGCATTTGGCTGAGTCTGGCCGCTGGGTACTTGACGGGGAGGACAGCAAGAGGGATGGATAGGGAGAGAGACTGAAATGCTGAGAGGTGCACCCCTTTTCCGTGCGTTCAGACGTTCTGAGGCGTTCCAGAAGACGGACCAGTCGACGTTCCGTTCAGAACTTTTACATTTAGTACGACGTTGAGTCCCGTGGGACGGTAACCGCACGGCCAGCGGCGCCCATCCCGGCACTTTGGAGCTGGGTGCTAAAACGAGGCCCAAGTCCAGCCAGCCAGCCTCGGGGCTTGGACCATCAAACCAACAACAAACCAAGGAAGCTAACAACCTTGGAAGTCAACTGCACCCTCGCGCGGCGATCTGTGAGGCCGCATGGTCGCACGAGCTACCAAACAGGTACCAGGCGTGCAAGAAATGTAGGATCTTGGATTTGGCAAGATGACGGAATCTGGAATCCTACTTCTCCCCGTGGACTCTGGTTACTCAATACTTACCCAAATCGCTGGCACCTGGCGGTGCAAAGTCAATTCCAAAACGGTTAGACTAATGACAGCAGCATCAGAAGAGAGAAAACACCTCGCAACGGGCCAAACATCGTAATAACCAACAGACACGGTCACCACCACCACCACCTCACCCCCAGCGATGGTCCGCGAGGTCAAGTGGCCCCCTGTCAGCTGCGGACAGCCGGGAGGCCATCGCATGCACGCAAGCATGCACCACCCACGTACGCCCAGCCGTCGCGACCAGGCGACCACCCAATACGGGATACCACCAGACCCGACAAGGGCCACCAGCAGCCGCCAGACGCCACTCGCAGCCTACTGCATAGCTTTCCTCTTCATTTGTTCACGGCACTTGCATGCGCTTGCAGGCCAGACCAGTCCCTTTGGGGCATGACATGACATCTTCAAGGTTTGCTGGTGAACTTCCAAGTTAACTCCAAACAGCAGTCCCAAAAACTGCCCAAAAATTTCCATCCCCTAATAAACATCCAACAAACCCAACAACGCCTCACCTCACCTCGCCTCGCCTAGCCTCGCCTCGCTCTTCTGCGCCTCGCCCCCAGCCGGCCACTTTCGTATTCCTGGACAGCATCCCCTCCCGGGTTGTTTCCTGGTCCCGCACTGGGCCCGTACTGCGAGTTCGGCTTGCTTTTCCCTCTCTTTCCCCCCTTCGTCGTTACTTGTCACTTGTCACAACTTGGACGCCTGCTTTGCCTTGCTGGCCCTGTCCTAGTCCTGGTTCCCCTTGTCCAACGAACGAGAAGTCGGCGGCCGTTACACGTAGATCTGCCTGCTTGCATTCTGCTGATTCACCAAGCCACCAAGCACCACCAAGCATGCTGCCATAACTGCATCCCCACAGTTACTTTGACCTGTACATAGTCTGCTACGGTACATCGCTTCGAACGGCACGAGGCCCTTCCACCGCGCATCTCTCCCAGTTAAAGTTGCCCAATCCACTCCAGCAACACCTTCATCCGCCCTCCCCATCAAACCTCCCCACCCGGACAACCCTGTCCTATATTGGCCGACCAGGATCACAACGCAACGGAACCTCGCTTCTTTGCTTGTCGCCGTCACACCTTCGACCGTCCTTGCTCCACACTGCCCGCCCGTCCGAGCCCGCTCGACGCGTCACAGCTTCTGACGAAATCCCGACCTGAGCCCACAGGCCCTCAGGCCGCCCCCAGCAGACACAACAGTACGGCTGCTCGAACAGACGGTCCTCCAACGGTCCATACACGCCGGCCTGCTCTCCGTTTCGTCCAGCCCTCTCTGCCTGTTAATACCCTTTGCTGGCTCCTGATTTCGTTCCAGCCCGAGACCTGGTTAGTAGTGTTGTTGTTGTTCTTGTTCTTGTTTCTGCTCCTGTTCAAAGTTCTTCCTCAATGCCTTTGCCCGTCTCTATGGGCTTGCTTGGTTGCGTCATTCTGCCCTCGAACAAGACTTGACAGACACCGCTCTCCACACCCGTCTCTGCCCAGCATGCCGCTGAGCAAATCGTCCCGCTCTTCCAAGAGCAGCCGGCCCTCGCTTCTCTCACTGCCCTCCGTACACAGCCTGCTGTCGAACTCCTCCAATGAGAGGGACGTCAAGTCCCCTGGAGGCTCGTCGGTAGCGAGGGCGGGCTCAGTCGACACAGTGGGCGATGACGAGTCAGGCGCAAAGAAGCTACAGAGGAGGAAGTCGAGACTCAATGTGCTGACGTCCTTCTTTGCGAACCCCAGCTCCCGTGGCTCGACACCCACCGAACCCGTCCCCAGCCTGCGCCCCAAAACAGCAACAGAGGCACTGCCTCCTACGCACTTAAGAACAGAACCCATCCCGCGGAGACCCGTCGCCTCGACCGTCGAGCTCGCAACAAGGCCCGCCTCCTCCGACGGCAGCCCAAACTCCTCCTCAAACCCCCACGACTCAGTCTCTACCATCGACAACTCCCCAGGGGCAGGCGGCCTTGGCATACAGACCCCGGTGACCCAGGTCTCCGATTACGACTTTGATTTTGGCGTCGAACGTACCGAGTCTCCGGAGACAGCTGACACCGGAGCCGAAGCTCACTCCGGCGCCGACATGCCACAAGTCATACAGAAACAACCGAGGGCGGTGTCCGCCGAGGGTGCGCCCCCACTACCTCCGAAGGACCTTTTGCCACAAGAACAACCACCAACGCCTGTGTCACCGGTTGCACCAAGATCCAGAGGAAGCGCAAGGAGCAGCTCTGCTCACCAGTCTTCTCCAGACAGGAGAGACGGGCCCACGAAATTACAGTCCACCAGGCGCCCTTCGCCCTCAAACTCGACGCCACGCGTGAGAAGCAGCTCTGCGCAACCCTCGACGCATAGGGAAGTCCTGGGCGATGGCCCTCAGGCCACCTCCAATCCGGCAGATGCCGTCACATACCCCAGGCCCATGTCAAAACAGTCGAATGATGGCGGTGACAGCCGAGGAAGACTGCGAAGGAGTTGGTTGCCAGGAAAGAGCTCTGGCTCCAAGGACCTGAAGAAGATGTCTGCGAGCAAGGCATGGATCCTATCGGCTGACAACCAGGCCGACTATAACACTGCGTTCCTCGCGAACAACGAGAAGGTATTCGGATGCTGAGAAACCGTAGCACCAGAAACTAGATGCTGACAGTGATGACAGGTTCCCGAGCTCTGGACTGAGAGTGGCGATGTTCTTGTTTACCTCTCCCCCAAGGCCAGCGGGAAAGGGCCATCTTTCAAGGTCTCATCACAAGCAATCGAGGCGTCGATAGTATTCCACGAGTTGATCCAGGGAGAGCTGGAGGCGAGCAGGACCGCGAGGGATAGGTCGAGGAGTTTCGATGGGCGCGACAACTTGATGGCCCAGGACGCTGATCGCCAGCCGCAACAACCACTGATGCCCGAGCCCGCGGACGGGGCAATCCGTCTGTACCTCCCTCCTCCGGCTCCTGACCAGCTTTCTTCCCAAGACCCGAAGACACAACCCGAGCTGCAGCGCCTTGTAGCGATCCGGAACCTCTTCGCCTTCCTGACGGGACAGCCGCTCGTCGCCACCAAGTTCCGACCGACCATTTTCTCGGCATTCCTCGAGATCTCATCACTGTTGAAGGAGTTCGATTTCATGAGCATGGATGGCACGACCTGGGGCGAGGGCGTTGACCTAAGCTTTGGTTTTTACATGTCTCAGCTGTCACTTGCTGACGTGCGGCACAGCCGTGAAAAGACGCTAGAGGCCGTAATCCTGGGCGAGCGCATGAAGTGCTGGGAGCTCTACAACGAGGCCTTCACGCACGCGGTTGGAAAATGGCAGGCAATTGTCTCCCTGAAGTCGCCACTGGCCAAGCAGGTGTCTCCCGAGGTGTGGCGCCGTCTCGAGCGGTCGAACCTGGACCTGCTGAACCGTCAGCACAACGTCAACTCGAGGCTGGAAGAGTTCGAGTTCCCGGCTCTTTTCTCTGGCGTCGCAGGCTCTTCGGAGTTCAAGGATGTGCGCTTCAACCGATGGAAGTCGGCCTTCTCGAGGATGCGGGGTTTCACCCTGGGGTACTACAAGTCCCTGTTCGGTGCCTGGCCGCCCAAGGCGAGGAGCAAGAAGAACCCATTCTCGGAGAGCGGCCTGAACAGACTTGTCCTCAAGACGCTGTATGCGGATCTGTCATCGCTCTATGACCTGCTGGTGGACCGCGACTCGGTCACGCCCCGCGTCATCGACCAAGCCGTCGAAGATGTCTCCGACAAGGAGTCCAACGAGCACATCAGGGCCCTGCGGAAGCTTCTCACAGAATTTGACCAGTCCTCACCACCGGTCCTGCCTCCGATTCCCTACGATATCCCCATACTGCCGAGCATGAAGACCGTGCAAGTCAAGTACGACGAGATGAAAGAGAAGGATCAGCTCAAGTTCGACCGCAACATCAAGGACTACGAGCTCCAGCTCATCATGCACAAGTCGTACAACTTCGACACCGACAGCATCAAGTCGCCCTTCCTCCTGCACTTCAAGGAGTTTGACCACGACCATGCCAAGGGCAAGTCTCAGGCAGAGCTCTTCGACAACCGCCTCGGCACGTGGCTCTTCCTCTATGTGGTCATCCAGTCACTGCCGCTGCTCGTCATCGACGCGCCCGACCTGCAGTTCACCGAGGGCGTCGAGTACTTCCTCTGCCAGCCGCCGATGGGCAACCCGCCGTGGCTCGAGGAGGCAGGTGAGGTCCGCAAGGCCTGGTACCAGCTCCCCGGGTCACAGGTCAAGGTCGAGCTCTCGGCGGACGTGGTCATGTTCTCGGTAGAGGGCACCTTCGAGCGCTCACACTGCTGGGAGGTCGCCAAGACGTGGGAGGAGGCCAAGGTGAACGGCGGCACTGCCGGGATGATCGGGCTGCCACCACCACCAGCGCTCGCCGAAGGGGCTGCCGGCTCCGCGTACTCACCACTCGAAGCACCGCGCGCCGTATTCGAGGACAACGACCCCGTGATGGGCATGGGCGGCACCGGCGGCTACCACAGCAGCAACGGCAACTCGCCCGTGAGCTCTGCGCCGGCGTCGCCCGCCTCGGGCCCCCAGAGGCGCGTCATCTCGCCGAACAGCGGGCTGGCCGCCGGCCGCGGGGCAGGTTCCAACTTCCGCGCGAGCTTCGCGGGCCTGTCCGCCCTCGAGCCGCTCGCGCCGCCCCTTGGTGCCGCGCCCGTTGACCGCCGCTCAAGCCGAGTGTACAGCTTCCAGGTGGCGCAGCGGCAGGACTCGCTCGGCCCGGAGCGGCCGCAGAGCTCGGGCGGGGCCTCCTCGCCGGGCACCATCCGCAATGCCAGGTCGGTTGACAACATGCGCGGCGAGGCACCCGCTCGCAAGCCTGTCGGTAGCGGCGCTGGCAATGGCCACAACCACACCCTCAGCAGCACCTTCGATGACATCCTCAAGGACATGAGCAACCAGCAGAAGCCGGCCAAGCAGAAGAAGAAGTTCGGGTTCTAGGCGATCCCGGAGGACCTTTCTGAGCACGAGCACGGCGGGAGGCCTGGGGTTCGAGGATGGCGAAGCAGCAGCGGCGTCGCTGTTGTTGTCGGTGGTAACAGCCACGACGAAGCAGAAGCAAGAGCGCGAGTGGGAGAAGAAAAGCACAAGGGCCGAAGCGTGAGCTTTCAGCTCTGACTTGGGAATTTAAGCGAGGCGGCGGGGAAAAGGGAGGTAAGGGGGCGTGGAGTGGAGTCTGATAAGGAAAGGGAGCAGGACAGATGCTCGCTCATTCCTTGTCCTGGCGTTCTGGGGTCATGATCATTTACCGTCATTCATCGTCCCTTATCGTTTCCCTTTGCACATTTCATCTAAACTACACCAAATCAGAAAAGCATGGCGGCAAAGTGAGGAACGGGAGGGAAGGGTCTTTTCATGTCTGCTTTTGCAGAAGTACAAAACGAAGGGAGCGTGTCTTGGACGCATCACACGTCACGCATCGCGTCAAAGATGAGGAGTTGGCTTATTACTTGTCATGGCATATTGTAATACTCTAGTACAGTGGATTTGTATGCGCCTGGAAATACCTGTTGGTTTTGGGATGCGGACATCCAAGGCAGATAGAGCAAATGATATATTATCTTTGCACATCGAATGGCCGGAGGCGTGACAAGCGACAGGGTCCAATCAGGTGCAAAGCTTGGCCGAGGGCCGGCGCTTGCCGTTGAAGACCATTGGTGAGCTGGCGCTGAGCAAAAGTGAACATCTGTTGAGCGCAGCGTCGTTCAAGTGTGATGCATACCACACAATGGCGAATCGAAGGCCGGTTGAGCCGACCATCATTGTCGCCATCATGCCTTACGGTTACGTGTCAGCAGATACCGAGACCTACGGTCTCAACTTACCACCTTACTCAACACACAAACTGCGTCTCTCATGATCAGTGTCCCCCGGAATTGGGTCATCGTCTCCATCTAGCGACACGCCCCCACCACCGACTGGGTCTCCTGACACTCTCACCATCCCTCCAGTGCCGCGGAGGTATACCTTGAGAGACCAGTCGTGCGCAGTCAGTGCAGCAGGCCGTGAAGAGCGCCCTGTCCTCGAGGAGCTCGACGTTCTGCATCACGCATCGCCCAGGCCTGCCGCCGCCAAGAGTCCTGGCACCGAAGCACAGCTCGACGCGTCCGGGGCTTGGCGCCCAATACATTGGAATGCTGCAGTGTTTACAGTAATGACGGGGTTTGTACTCCCAACAGCACATTTGGTTACGTGTGGGTAAAGGTACCTACGGATGGAGCAAGATTCCTTGTTGCCTGTTTGAGAAGGGACAGGGCTTGTCTGCCGTTTCTTGCTTCTGAAAATATCCGTACCGGGGCAGCTCTTGTGAGCTATTTGTTTCGCTTGGCCCAGAAGGCTAGTTGAGGCTCGGCGGGAAGTGTTTCTGGTGGTCAATGTGTCTGTTTGCTTCAGACGAGGTTCGTCCCAGGGCGAGGCAGTGTTGGTGAGAGATAGATTCGATATCGACTTCGGTCTGGTTATTTGCGGCCTTCATGATGAAATTGTGGGATTCTTTCCTTTATTTAGACGGCCTCAAAATGTTTGTGGACAGTGACATGTAGATTGCATCAAAGCGACTGAAATAGAGTCGGACGGAGTCGTTGCGGAATCAGACCTGTCAAGGTGTCTTGGCAACACACATTGGATATGGTGGCACCTGTCGAGGATGCGGACGACGACGCGTCGTTAGAGGTTTGGATTGTCCTCTGCCGGGCATTCAGCTGCAGGAGTCCTGCTCAGCATGACTGTGCCCGGCCCTTGACAAATCTCTGCTGCAACCACGTACAATGAGTAACGGGCCTCGAATCAAAGCCACTGCCGATATGCCGCTGTCGACACGCACAAGCGATGCGAGAGGCGTGATGTTGTCCGGCCGATTGCACGTACCGGTGTGCTTTTGGTGTGCAGGTGGCACATGCTTGCGAAGATCTTCGGCTCGCGGGTCGTATCCAATTGGCGGTGCTGATACAAATGTCAAACACCAACCGATGTCCGCAATGCAAGTCCGGTGGAGCTTGCCACACAGCTGACAGGCGAGTAGCCGGCCGTCTGAGGTACCAGTGACTCTTTCTTGCCTCTGCGCAGTATTCCAAGGGCAAGCGAGCCGAACATTGCCTCAGTTGTGGTGGAAATGCGTAGGATGGCATTGCTAGTTGTGGTGACCAAGAGTCATTTTGAAGCACATTAGTGCAGGTTAAGTGGTAGTGTCTGAGACGTCAAACGACAAGCTTATTTGGAAAGAGCATTGATCGGATTTATAAATAGTGTTGCTGTTCGACCAAGGCCAAGAACTGCCAGCCCTACGGAAATGAAGCTTTTCGGGCGAGACCACGAAGCTTGAGGGGGGGGAGGGGGACCCATTGCTGGGCGACAGGCCACAACTGCTGGAGAGAAAAAAGGCTTGGGAGCGTCGTGCAACCTTCTTGGCCATGCCCGCGCATGCGCGTGCCGTTGCGTGGATCTGGGACGCACTGCATGAGAAGTGAGGAAAGCGCGCAGACAAAAGGAGCTAGAGGAAGCCAAGATCTGGAGCAGCCAGATCGGACCATTCAGTCGATGCTTCCAAGATTAGCAGAGTCGAAAAAGTCCGCGCCTTGTCCGCGCCTTGTAGAAAGTAGCCCTGACCAGTACCAGTAGCCTTGCTGCTGGCACGCAAGGGTAGAAACAACGCTCCCGGATCCCAGACTCGGTCGTTTCGAGTCTGAGCGGATGTTTCTTGAGGCGCCCAGACCCAGAGGCATGTTGACCCCCGTAATTATTTTGAGCGTCACGGCGACATCATGGACGTGTTTTGTTCGCGGGCTCTGGCGACGGGGCGGACCAACAATGGCACACAGGCCGGAGCTATTGGAAGTGTCTGCCCGCCTTGAGTTGGTGCCCGGGTGGAACGCGCAAGGAATTAAGGTTTCCAGTGGTGGGCCCTCGCTTCAATGGTGAGGGCGACACTGTTCGGGGGGCGCGCGATCAATGGACGGGTTCTTGTCGGCAGCCCGACAATTTTTAGACTCCAACCAGACATTGAGGCGGAGATGTTGTTAAAGCCAAACAAGCAACTCAAGGTTTGGTGACGCGTAAGACTGGATCGTCAAAAGCCCGCCTTGGTGATGACGATCGGGTCGAAAAAGGGCATGGGGATTTCAACACGGGGTCCCTTGACTCGACAACCCGGCAGTGGCCATGCCGGGCCCCGTTGAGGCTCTGGTGGGGAGGGCGCCGGACGATTCACTGACAGAATCCTCCTCGACGACGCCCGAGTACACACTACATGGTGCATTCATGACTTGGGTGTTTCGGAGCAGGTAACGGCTTCAGGTCATGGCTGTTGGACGGCGTGTCCCGATGAGCGCAACGAGGGCCACGGAGTCAGTGTGAGGGTGAGACCAAGATGGGACGATGGTTCATTCGGTGGGCGGTCTGATGGTCTTGGCCAGGAGCTGGCAGGATCAGTCGCCCTCTCTCCCAGCCTGAGCCTGCGATTGTCAACGGCCGGGACTGGCCTCCTGGCCAGGCAAGCTCCAGTCGGCCAGCCAGCCTGGCCAGCCAGCGTTGAAGCAGGCTAGCAAGCAGGCTAGAAGGTTTGCTCTCAAGCTCACCGCGGTCCGTGGTTGCGACGCCGAACCAGGCAGGTCTGGAACAATTGCCGGGAGAGGGAGGGACCCCGGGGAGGTGGGAGACTACCCAGGTAGCCTGGCTAGGTATCAGGCTAGTAATTCAAATACTATTGGGCTGCTGACATGCTGATTTTCCCCTCAAGTGTCTCGCAAAGGGTGCTGGGTGCTGGGTGCTGGGTGCTGGGTGCTGGGTGCTGATGCTGATGCTGATGCTGATGCTCGTCGCTGACTGCCCTCTGTCGATGGCTTTCCATGGCTGACGGGTTTGAATGACTGACTGGCTGCAGGAAGGTGGAGGAGGAAGGATTCGCAGGGGGGGCAGGGGGCGCGCCCAAGCACTGTTGCCCCGCGATTGTGCCAGGTTCTCGAGGTAGGTACGAGGCACGAGGCACGAGGCACGAGGCACGAGGCACGAGGCACGAGTCCCAGGTACGAGGTACCTACGTGCCGGACCAAGCGGACGGACAGACAAGACGAGGCAAGTGCAACGCACCTGTGCCCAGGTATTGCACGCATGCGCATGCGAAGGAGGCACAGTATCCGTACCTAGGTAGTGCAGCACAGCGACGCAGCGCGGAAAGGACGGGGTAGATCCGGCTCCTCCCCTTGTTTCCGAAGCGCCGTGAGGAGCAGGAGGCAGCAGCATCAGATGCAAAAGCAACCAGCGGCAACAACAGTCCGAGGAGGAGCAGCAAAGAGGAGGAGGCGTAGGCGGGGACGGGGACGGGGACAGAGAGGCAAGGTGCAGCAAGACACAGACAGGCTGTAAAGACAGACGGAGATGCGGGTGAAGAAGCGCAATGTGTAATGAATGCAATCCGTAGGTGTAATGTCATGTAATCAAATCATGTGCATGAATGAATGGCATGGACTACGTAGACACCAACTGCACTGGCATTGCGGAACAGTCGGTCGGTGGTGTTGACGGTCGACGGACCGTCCTGTCCTGTCGCGCGGCTTGTTTGATCCCAAGTGTTTCTCCCTCTCTTCACCACTCACCATCCACGCTCACTGTTCCGTCCTCGCCCTCTTCCCTCCCACTCACTCCCTCCCTCAATCCCTCGACCCCGTCGCCCGTCAGTGATCACCCGTGCCACCCCTCGAATACTCGCTGTATCAGGTTTCACTTGGACACTCTCTCCATCAACATCCCCCTGCACAACCCCAAACAATACCAAACCCACCCAGCCAGCAAGCCCGCCCCATTTCCCAAAAACCAGCCTGTCGCCTCGACCCGTCCACCCGTCCAGGTCCTACACGCGGCTTTCCGTCCTGACAGTGTACTTCTTTCCCTCTTGGCAAGTCTTGTCTTGCCTTGGCATGCCGCTCAACGAACCCATTCCTTTCTTCTATACATCATTCTTCCCGGCACTCGGCAGCCCACGCGAGCCTCCTACAAGCTGACCGACGCCAACTGCTCTGCCTCAGCTGTGTGCGTGTGCGTTGTGTGTTGTGTGTGCCTGTGTGCCTGCGTGCGTGAGTGCGTGAGCGAGTGTGTGTGTGTGGGTGTGTGTGTGTGTGTGTAATCGCGCGCGAGTGTGGCGGCGTCCTGTCCTCACCCCTCCCCCGATTCTCCTCACCCTCGCCATCACTGGCCACCGCTGTCTTCGTCGCCTCCGGTGGCTCAGCTCCAGGCCAAGACTGTGGAGGGGACATCCGGCACTTTGAGAGCACTCGACATTTCCTAGCTGTCCGTCCGTCCTGTTGTTGAATCTACCTGAATCACCCAACCCTCGCTCATCGTCCAGGGCGATCCACCGCCCCTACGGAGCCCGACCGACACGATACCAACAATAAGCCCAAACCCGCCCAAGCCCGACACCCACCCACTCCAGTCAATCTGGAACCCACCGACACCTTCCGCAAGGCACGGCACGGGGACGACGAGGCCACCCCGTCGCGAGCCCCCCCGTGACCCCCAGTCCTGCACAGATGGTAGCCCTATCCGGGACCAGCAACGCCTCGACCACGCTGGAAGACCAACACCAACCCTCGAGCCGCTCCTTCTTCTCCAGGTTCGCCCTGCCCATCCGCTCCAGGAGCACCCGCAACGTCGTCGACTTCCACATCCGCCCGGCCGAGCCACATCGCAAGTACGGCGCCGGCGACAATGTGAGGGGCGCCGTGGTCCTGGCCCTCGTCAAGCCCATCCGAGTCACCCACCTGACCGTCGCCCTGCGTGGCTACGTGCGAGTCTACAAGAGCCCAAACGCCGCCAACGAGCCCATCAACCCTTCCGAGTTCGACTCGGATGGCATCTCCCAGTTCAGGTTTCTCGGCAACGGCTACGCCTCGTTGTTTCAGGATGAGCAGGTCCTATGCGCCGACGGGAGGCTGGAGTCGGGCAGATACGAGTTCAACTTCGACCTCTTATTCCCCGAGAAGGACCTGCCCAGCAGTATTGATGTAAGCGCTCACGTTGACAAACAGGTGTCCTTTTCGGAGGCGCATTGCCTGCTCTTGACATGGAGTATCATTTGCTAACTCGTCGCAGTTCGAGCGAGGGAGCATTGGATACACAATCGTAGCGACACTAACCAGACCAACACCCATAAATGCGACAACAAGTTGCGATCGCAAAATCGAACTGGTGGAGCAGGTGGATGTTGGTACTCTTCAGGCGCCCCGTCCCCGAACCATCTATCTGCAGCCCATCTCGAAAAGGTCTAAGAAGAAGAAGCCAACCGGCTCGACCGTCTCTGAGAGGGGGACAGCAATCACAGCAGACGGTGCGGGCGAGTCTTCGTCGGATTTCGACTCGACAAGAGCGGTAGAAACATCAACAGAAGGGTCTCTTGTCGCAGACGATGCAAACCAAGATGCGCACCACAATCCGAGGAGTCCTGTCAACAGCGACCTGAGGAGCGAAGTGAGCGGGGACAGTGCTGTGAGCGGCAGCACCGGCCTAAGCTCGAGAGAGCGCGCCGACCCAAATCAGTCAGGGAGCCTTGGAACCGTCCAGGCCGGCGTGCCGAGGAAATCAGTATCGTCCAAAGACAAGACAATAACAACAACAATCGAGCTCATGAAGAGCGGGTGCCTACCCGGCGACACAATATCCGTCAAGGTAGATGTACAGCATACGAAACGAATAAAGAGCCTGTACGGAGTCATCGTCACTTTGTACAGGCAGGGCCGCGTGGATTCGGCGCCACCGGTCGCCCTGTTCAAGAACATATCCAAGGAAGAACAGCGGAGGCTGGAGAAGGAAGAATATTATCCAAAGTCCAAGACCGGGCTAGGCGGACTGTCATTATCATCGGCTGGCACATGCAGCGTGTTCCGGAAAGACCTCTCGCAGGCATTTAGCCCCCTGATTATCGACCCTGCCACACTGACCGCCAGCGTGACGACCTCTGTCAGGGTGCCTGAAAACTCGTTCCCCTCGATAAGAGGAGTCCCCGGGGAGATGATCAGCTTCAAGTACCGGCTGGAGGTGATCGTGGACCTGGGCGGCAAGCTTGCAAACGCGATACAAATACAGCAGAACCCAAGGGTTGGCCCGGCTGCTGGTGTGTTGACGTCAGGCAGGGAAGGAGCAGCTGGTCTTGCGTCGCTTGACGGCAGTTTGGTCAACACGGACCCCCTGAAGCGGGAGAAAGGGGTCATATATGATTCTTTTGAGGTGGTAGTGGGGACCACGGACACCAGCCGTCGAGGCAAGGCGGTCTCGTCACCGTCAAATCTGGGGCAGGACGGCGGGGCGTACAACGAGAACGGGGCGTGGCCTGCAGGATGGGAGGATGAAGCTTACGGTGCAGAGGAAGCATACACACAGGAATACGTTCCATACCCCGGCGAGCCCGCAGCTCAATACCCATACTGGAACGGAGGGTCCCAGGAGCCGGTCGACCCAGCACCACACTACATACCACCACCGCCAGATTTTCCAAATGAGAGCGGCCTCTCAGAGAAGGAGAGGGTACGACGAGCAGAGCAGAGACTACTGCCCAGCCAACCAGAAGCGCCAGCACCCACAGCAGGACCTTCAGCACCAGCAGCCTATGGCGGCGACGACGACGAAGCGGCCCCATCAGCGCCAACGCTCGACGACCTAGCAGCTGGGTCATCCGGGCCGAATGGCAGCTCGACGGACGACAAGCAGGAGCTCGAGCGGCAGAGGTTACTGGCAGAAGCGAGCGCACCGCCTGAGTTCCCGGTGGAGGATGACGCCGGGGTCGGAAGCAGTTTTGCGCCAAGTGCACCGCCGATGGCTGACGGGCCTTCGGCACCGATCCTCACAGAAGAGGAAGAGTACGGAGCGTACTTTGCACACCAGGCCCCTGCGACCTCCTCGTTGGAGCCTCTGCCGGCGTATCAGCGATGAGGGATGAGGTAGTGTGGTAAAGCTAGGAGCCATAGACTCAGGTCCATGAAAGAATATGGACCGAGCGATTATTCCTCGGGGGTGGTTGTCACATCGACATGATGGCGTTTTCTGGCGGGTCATTTACATTGCATATAGGCTTCAGGCTTGCGGCCGTGTGGGGTTTAAAGATATCACGGGCAATTCCAAGGGCAGGAGGCGTAGCGTAGCATACAGGAGTAATGTAATCCAGCGCGGACACAACCATGCTTTTTGGGCATGCGCAGCATCTGTCTGTCTTCTGATGAAACGGCTTCCAGTTCTGTACAATTGCGTCGTGTTGTGAGAAAAGGACATAGGCATGTCGTATGTTGGCCACACTTCGTTCAGCACTGGTAGGCTTCAATCCTCGGGGCTGCTTCCGTGGCTGGGCGTAGCCGGGAGCAGATGCCGGCGCGCATGCAAGACTGTGTGACAGTGGGCAAGGGAACACCGGTTCTCGTCCACAGAAAGATCGGATACTGTGGCACTGCAGAAAGGGGGGGGGGGGACAAACGACTGCCACATTGCCGGTCTCCGGTGCCAATATCCGGGTGACCGCTGGTAGCCGCCGGCTCCGTGATCGGCTGGGGGGTCTTGGTCGGGCACGTCCTCCGCAATGGCATACTCCTCCGTTCGGTAGGGATTGACCCGCCTAGTCAGTCAGTCAAATGAGAGCCTCCCCTCACCTTGACCGAAGTTGCTGTTGAGTGTTGTTCCCGGTGTACTCATCTTCTCTCCTTTGATCAGTCAAAGAATTCAAACCAGACTCACTATTAGCTTTTGTGGAAACGCATACACTCAACATGGCGCCTTCTAAGATTCCCCCAAGCGGCGTGTGGTGCCCTGCCGTAACGTGCAAGTCAACCCCATCCACTCCAGGCAGAGCAGTAGCTCGCCTTGACTGCACGGCCCATAGTCTTGCCGTGCTCGTGGCAGTCTGTATCTCGTGAATGTGACTGCGAGCATGAATTGCTGACTCTGCACGTGCCAGTATTTAACCCTGAGACGGACACCCTGGAGCTTGAGGACCAGGCAAAGTACTACTCCTACCTCGCCAAATCAGGACTGACCGGGCTGGTCATCCTCGGGACAAATGCAGAGACATTTCTCCTGACCGTGAGTTCTCAGACCTAGAGCCTCAGTGACGATGTGAGCCCCCGCTGACACCTGTGTCTCACCGTCAAGCGGGAGGAGCGCAAAGAACTGCTCGCCACGGCGCGCAAGGCAGTCGGGCCAGACTACCCCATCATCGCGGGCGTCGGAGGCCACTCGACGCGGCAGGTGCTCGAGTTCATCGACGACGCGGCGGCGGCGGGGGCCAACTACGTGCTGTGCCTGCCTCCCGGGTACTTTGGCAAGCAGACGACGCCGGCGGTGGTGGAGCGCTTCTTCGACGACGTGGCGGCCGGCAGCAAGCTGCCCATCGTCATCTACAACTTCCCGGCCGTGTGCAACGGCATCGACCTGGACTCGGGCACCATCACGAAGCTGGCGCACAGGCACTCCAACATCGTAGGCGTCAAGCTGACGTGCGGGTCCGTGGCCAAGATCGTGCGCCTGGCGGCCGTGCTCCCCGCCGAGGGGTTCGCGACGTTCGGGGGCCAGTCCGACTTCCTGCTGGGTGGGCTGTCGAGCGGGTCGGCGGGGTGCATCGCCGGGTTCGCCAACGTGTTCCCGCGGTCCATCTCGCGCATCTACGCGCTGTGGCAGGAGGGCAAGACGGACGAGGCCATGGCGCTGCACCGCAAGGCGGCGCTGGCGGAGCAGCCGTGCAAGGCCGGCATCGCGGCCGTCAAGTACGCCGCGTCCGTCTACTCGGCCAAGCTGGCGGGCATCGGAGACTCGGCACACAAGTTCAAGCCCCGCAGGCCGTACCTGGAGCCGTCGGCCGCCGAGAAGAAGGTGATCGAGGAGACGCTCAAGGAGCTGGCGGAGATTGAGGCGGGGCTTGCGTGAGGTCCATGGTCTCTTTGGGTCTTGGGTCCTCTGGGTCATTTCCTTTTCTGAGCCATCATGGTAGAGTAGATAGAGTGGCGGAGCATGCAGAAGCAATGCCGACGCGAGATACTTCGTCATTTTTGTAGCAACCAGAGGCCAGGTCCTCGCCGTGAGACGGCTCCGCTGCATATCTCTCGTGGGCGCTCCTCGTCATATCTCACCTCGTACAGCACGTTGCTCGCGAGAGACTGCAACTTGACCGATTTAGAACAGACACTCGTGCTCGTGATGCGCACGCGTGTCTTTGATATGGATCACTCTCGTCACTCTCGTTCAGCAACAAGCGAGACGACCTCTGTCCTTGGCCTCTAGGCGTGTTGGTCTGTGTCAAGACGGAAAGGGGCTGCGACAGGTGCGATGGAAAGAGCCCCGGTCTGACCTCACCAACAGCTTCCCGTTTGCACTAGACCATGCCGAGCATGCTTGCATGCGGCAGGAGGGGGCCAAGACAACAGTAAGCAGACGTGCCAGCCATTGAACCGCAGCTTTCACCTTGCACCTCGGGTGATCTGCTTATAAGCCGCTCTGGATGGGGTACAGGTTTGTCACTGACGAGCCTTGGCCGCATGCGTGCAACCCAGGCAGCCACGAAGAGCTGGACGGTGAGCTCACCCGGTGGGTAGTGCTGGATCCTGCGACAATCTCGCCCGCTCTGTGTTTGTGTTTTGTGTTTGTGTTTGTGTTTGTGTTTGTGTATGTGCGTCCGTGGAGGGGGCACAAGGACAAGGAGAAGGAGAGCTCACCTCCGTCTGCTCCCTTTCAGTTCCCCTTCCTTGGCTTTTGCTTGTGCACTGCCCCTGACACCCCAGACGGAGCCTGAGCACCCTCACTTCCACCTTCCTTTGAGCCAGGAAGCCACTTGGCCCTCCTGCCAGGCCGGCACTCCCGACCTTGTTCAAATATGAAGCAGCCCTCTCGAAGCCTCTGGAAGCTCTCGTGTGGCCAAAGACTCTCCCTGCAGACGACCGTCATGACCACCACCACCACGACGCCTTCCTCCCACCTGTCATGATCATCCCCTCCCGACTCCTCCTCCGGCGCCTGCGACAGAGGAGGCGTTCCATCATCGCCCTGCTGCTCTTCTTCTTCACCATCGACGTCATCCTGCTCCTCCGTCACCGACCGATCACCTCCCGAACGACCCTCCCCTCCCTCAAGCGCCATGGACTTCGCAGCAGCGGCAGCAGCAGCAGCACCGACCTTCACGGGCCCGGCGCCGCCGGCAACGAAACCTTCTTCATAGTCTCGGTCCACCGCAACACGGGGGCGATCCTCCCAGGCTGGGGCACCGCGGTTCTCGCCCTCGTCGACTACCTCGGCCCCGCCAACGTGTACTTCTCCGCCCTCGAGTCCGGCTCGCAGGACGACACAAAGGACAAGCTGACGGCCCTCAAGGCCCAGCTCGACGCGCGCCGAGTCCCCAACACCGTCACGCTCGGGCAGACGGTCTGGGAGCAGCTCGACGACATGTGGGCCCGGCCGGCCCCGGACGCCCCGCGCCAGGAGGGCTGGATCTGGAACCAGGAGGACAAGGTCTACGACAAGCGGCGCATCACCTACCTGGCCCGCGAGCGCAACCGCGCCATGGAGCCGATGCGCGAGCTGGAGGAGAAGCAAGGCGTCACCTTCGACAAGGTCCTGTGGATCAACGACGTCATCTTCGACGTCGACGACTTCGTGACGCTGCACAACACGCGGGGCGGCGCCTACGCCGCCGCATGCAGCATGGACTACAAGCACCCGCCGGCCTACTACGACACCTTCGCCCTGCGCGACGGTGAGGGCCGCAAGACGGCCAGCAACTACTGGCCGTGGTTCCAAGCGGGGCCCGCGCGGGACGCGGCCTCCCGCTCGGAGCCGGTGCGCGTCGCCTCGTGCTGGAACGGCATGGTCATCTTCGACGCGGGGCCCTTCCGCGCCGACCCGCCCCTGCGCTTCCGCGCCATCCCGGACGCCCTCGCCGACCTGCACCTCGAGGGCAGCGAGTGCTGCCTCATCCACGCCGACAACCCGCTCAGCGCCGAGACGGGCTCCGGCGGAGGGGTGTGGCTCAACCCCAACGTGCGCGTCGGCTACAGCGACCCCGCCTACGAGGCCGTCCGCGCGGTGGACGGAGAGAAGTTCCCGGGAGCATGGGCCACCGTCGTGGGTGCCTGGGCCCACCGCTGGCTGGCGTGGAGGGCCGGCCTGTCTCACCACGTCGAGAGCGCCACTGTTACGAAGAGGCTGCGGCAGTGGGTGGCTGATGCTCCTGAGGGTGAGCCCCGGCGAGAGCCTGGGGTTTCGTGCCTCATCAACGAGAAGCAGATCATGTGGATGAACGGGTGGCGGCATCTATAAAACTCGAGCATCACATAGGAAATCCAAAAACACTTGAAACCAGATCGACCTCGCCACGAGTTTGCGGACTCTCAATGCTGCTTGCTGTCTACGTCTATACAGGTGTTGTGTGATATGCTGTCCCAACGTCGGAACCGGGTACTCTACGTTTACTTGTTCCACCTGCGCCTATTCCGCCTCCCCATCCCCTCCTACCATCCAAAGCCAGATATGAGCCCTCCCAAAACGCCTAAATGCTGTACAGTAACACACCAAATCGTATCATGTCGTCCCTCCGCGTCTTGCCTCGACTCTAAGTGCGCCGAGTCGTCTGCCCGCCCCCACCTATTTGTTATGCCACGCAAAGTTCCTCAGCCCGTCCCAGTGGTCGCTCTGCGCGTAGATGTAGCTCATGCTAGACCGCAAACTAGGCTGCAGGTCCTCCGGGTGCCAGCGGAACAGCCACATGACCATGCCCCAGCTTGCGCTCGCAAACACAGGCCAGGCGTAGTAGCTGACGGCATCCGCGGCCTTCCCCTTCGACACCACGGGAAGCGCGAACGGCGAGCCCTCCTTCACGGACAACTTCGCCAGCGCCAGGACGACGCGCGCGAACACGTAGATGCAGATCTGCTGGTTGACGCTCGAGATGCGGCCCGACCGGGGCGACCGCCGCCCGAACACCATGTACCCGCCCACCAGCCCGGCCACCAGGCTGTCGTGCGTGCCTTCCTTGCCCGGGGTGGGCCCCAGGTGCTTGAGGATCAGGCACGTCAGCTTGTAGATCGTTGCGAACTTGGCCAGGTTGCGCGCGTGCGTGCGCGTGGCGCGGAAGATGAGCCAGGCCTTCTCGCGGACGCTGTGGGTGGGCGTGTCAGCGGACTTTCGTGGTTCTTGTGTGCAGCTGCTGGTGGTGATGGTGGTGATGGTGGTGTGACAGTGGAAGGGAGAGGGAGGAAAAGGAGGGCCCACTTTTGAGTGTGTACGGTGGTGGGTGAGGTAGGATGAGCGTCCCTTGGATGTGATGAACAACTTACGTGCCAGACCGGAACAGACATATCATGACCAGGGCGTGCGGAAACCGCACCTTGGTGCCGTACACGGCGCCGTTGCGCGCGCCCTTGAGCACGGCGAGGACGTCATGGTACTTTGGGTCGAGGATGACGCGCTCGATCGCGGTCTGCGTTGGGGTGTCAGCGCATGTCAGTTTCGAGCTCATGCTCAGGCCCAGTGCGGGTCAGGTTCAGATCGGCGCAGCCGTCTGCGTCTCATGCGCCGAATTCATGTCCAAACCCCGAGCCTCAGTCACTCCACCACCAGGGGGGACGCGCTCACCTGTATGCTCTGTAGTGAGGACGACATGATCGAGAAATGTGTTTATGTATGTGTGTGCGTGTGCTCGCTGGCCGTTGTTGTGAAAAGGGGGAAGTGGCTGGCTTGCTTCAGTCCGTTACCTCGGCACACCGGTATGGGCGCTGGCGACTGCCCCGGCACTGCGGTACCCCAAATGCGGACGACGTTGCGCGCAACAGCAAGCAGAGTAAGGGAGAACCAACGACAGTGTTCCGGAAACCTCAGCGCGTTTGAAGAGACGACCAAGAGAGTGAGAAGAAAAGGGACAGATGAAGTCAAGGAGAGAGTAGCGATATGTTTTGTGTATGTGTGGATGTAAGAAGCAGGTCGGCAGATTCCTTGAACAATGTCGAGGAGCGGCAACTGGTGTTCCGGGTCAACGAACAAAGTCGGCCAACGGGCACATGCGGTCGGCTAGGCGTGCTAGGCTGGGCCAGGGTTCCCCACGACCCGCGGCCACCCAGCATGACGCAGGTTCTCGCCGCCCCTAAGCTTCCAACGACTCGAGCCGCCGTCCCCCGGATTCGAGGCCCCTAGGACCAGAGGACCAAAGGAACCGAACCCTCTCCCCCCCACCCTGGTCCGGCCCTGCTCACATCAGATCTCTGGCATGTGAAAGGCGCCCAGCCATCTGGGGACGCGGTCTGAGAACTGACAGAGCACGGCCGCCCGTAGACACTAGGGCATCCCGAGGGAGATCCAGATCCAGATCCAGATCCAGCTGGATCTAAAAGACGGGCGCTGGCGATGGCATCATCATACAAGCAAAAAACGCACGGTTCCGTGGCTTAGGTAGGTATGCAGAAATGTGGATATGTGGATATGTGTGTATGTATAGATATATTTGATTTGAATTATATGGCCCTGCGCTGCCCCTCTGATCGGAGCTGACAGGAAGGGCCAGGCTGACCAGACGTGGTTATACATCTTCACAGTACATCTAATAAACGCGGCTTCGCGATGCCTCGTGTTGGGCCCTCCCCACAATAACCGTCCGTAGACCTGGACACAGATCCAACAACATCTCCGGGACACCCTCCCGCCACACAACCCCCCCTCCCCACCCCGTTTTGATCCTCCAGTCCGTCGCCTAATGTTCTCACAACTACTGTTGCGATCCCAAAATGTCTGGCCCGTCCGGCCAGGTAGTAATAGCAGTTCCCAGGAGAAGTGTCTATACGTTCCGCCGTCCTCCCTGCCTCCTAGGACTGATGCGGCCCGTCCGTTTCTTTTTTTTAGACACGTCGCTCCCATACCACCACAACCAACTGTGGACAGACGCCTGAGTGAAGTTACAATGGGTATATGCAATCCATCAATCAACAGAGAACCGAGCACACACAACAAAGTAAAAAAGGCAATCCGGTATGCCCAAGTCTCTCTGACTACTTCTCTCTCGCCACCGCCAGAAACGTAAAAAAGAAAACCAAAACCCAAAACGTTGGAATGGGCACAGCCCGTTCGGCCGCCATATCCGCCGCATCTCTTATTTTCTTTCCGAATAGACAAAGGAAACCTGCACGTTGGTTGGTGCAGGGAAAGAGGAAGAGCAGGGCGACCCTTGGCCCTGGACAGGTCGTGTCTGCGAGACGCTTTGCCGCAAGGGACAAGCCTTGCGCAAGCCAGAGCGGAGAGGAGTGCTCTCTGCCACAACAAAAAGGTCTCGTAGAATCAGGGGCCAAGGCTCATGGATCATCCAAGACGCCGGGTCGCGTCTATGTTCGTGAAGGAGTTGTCCACCAGGTGGTCGAGGGAATGCCCATGAAAGGTATCGTCATTTCGTGCGCCATCAAATCATCCCCATTGTAAAAATTGAAGTGGGCGATTCTGCCGAAACAACGCGCTTGTGTGGTCAACAACATTGGGAGTCGAATCATTGCCGTCTAGTACTCGCCGCCACGGTTCAACAGATCCAGTCGCGCACCGTATACCACAGATGGGGTCATCCAATGTTCAAAGCATTATTCGTGTCGGTTCCCAGGACAGCCATCGGCGCTGAAGGCCACGGCATCACCAAATGGCCCTCTAATATCTGACATCAGGTGCGCGGTAGCCGGCGAATCTGGGCTGCTCGTACTGGACACCAGCCATGGACTCGGGAGCCGTTGGCACCTCGCCGCTGAGCGACCGCAGGGGAGGCAGCTCTGGGCGTTGGGCGTCTTTTTGAGCAAATGAGCCGGTAGGGGGTGCCGAATTGTGGGAGCCGGCGCCCTGACTTGACGACACGGCGCTCAGCTCCCCCCTCAGCTGCGAGTTCTCCATCCTGGCTGCAGCGAGCTCGCGCCTCATCATGTCCACATCACTCACGATCGTATGGTTCTGTTGCTGCAGGTACTTGATAGTATCAGTCTGTCGTTGGTGCTCGGTGATTGCTGTAGAATGGTCAGTCATGAGGCCTCCTCCACACACATAAATTCTTAGCTGCCGACTAACCTTTGGACAGGATTTCCCACTTGGACGCCTTGGAGCCCCGCTCCTGCGGCATCAGATCCCTCAGTTGCTCGAAAAGCTCTTTCATCTCCGTCCTGCGCTTCCTCTCCGCGAGCTTGTGGCTGACACGCAGCTCCGGGGTCCTGCTGTATGGCTGTGCACCAGCCGCCGCAGCCGCATCCTCGGCCTGCAGATCCCCCAGCTGTTTGTGTTGTAGCGAGTGGTGGTGGACCGCGGGGAACTCGCCCGAATTGCTCGACATTCGCTGGTAGTCAGGGGGCGTGAGGCCTTCGTCCAACCTCCGCTGACCTGGTGGCAGCCTAGACTCGGCAGTCCACTGGCTGCTGGCGAAAGACTCTGCCACACTGCTCCTCCTAGAGTCGATCAGTGACTGGGCGCCCGAGGGCATACGATGTAGTTCCTCCTCCGGAAAAGCCCAGGCCTGGCCCTTGGTGGGCTCGGCCGCGCGAGCGATGGTGCCTGTGGTGGGGCCCGTGATGGTCGGTGCGGTTCGGACGACCTTGATAGTGCCATCGATTGGGTTGCGCTCGGTGCTGGGCTGGTAGCCATTCGAGATGCGGTGGACTGACAGGCTCTCCATGCCTCCTGTCCTGGGATTCCGCTGTTGCTGCAGGGTGTTCTGGATCGAGGTCGTGGAGTGGTTGTTGCTCGCGTAGGGGGATGCGCCGAGCCTCATGCCCCCAAAGTCCTGGTTCATGCGGCTGTCGACGCTCTCGCGCCTGGACATGGGCTCACCTGTCTCGACGGCCAATGTTGCGCTGTTAGGGGCGGAGTCGATGGACAGGTGGCGGTCCAGGTACCGTGCGTCGGGGCCGGCAGGGCTGGTCGGGGACACGATTGACGCAACGCTCATATTGCTGGTCACCGGGGATATCAGAGGCTGCGGCAGCAGGTTGGTGGTGGTGGGCGAGGGCGTCTTGTCGTTTTGTGACTGGTGGAAGCCGCCATTCGTAGGGCTGAAGACATTGACGGCATGGTATGATGCGGCTGAGGTGTCTACAGGCACGAGGGGGTAAAGGTCAGCTCTCGGGTCAATTGACGATCACAGGCACGACACCGCCACCGCGTGGGCTCGACTCACGTTTGCTAGATGCGTCGGTGCTCGAGTAGTAAGCCGAATCCCTATTGTCGTCGGAGGGGTTCAGAACACCGGCCAGCCCTGCGGGAAGCTTCTGCGAAGCGGGACGGGACTGTTCGGTAGTAGCCATGGCGCATTTGTTTCCTTTGGGCTCAAGTCGGATGCTTGAATCCCGGAGAGATTACCGCGGTGGTGCTGTGTGAAAGAAGACGAGTGAAGAGGCCCAACAGTAAGAAAAAAAAAATTGCGTATGGCGCCAGGAAGACGTGGCCGGTATTGCGGGGCGGGAGGGATGACGTCCTGGGGGTATAGAGACTGAAAGCGGGATGGGTTGATCTCAGTCTCGTGGTGTCCTGAGGTCGCGGGAGTTTGAGAGATGATGCGCGCTGTTGATGAGGGTGGCAAGGGCCAGCGTGCTATTACACGAACAGGGCGGGGCGTAGTCCCATATAGCTATAGTGTGGATGCGTGTATATGTATGTCCAACCGGGTGGGGAGGAAATGAACGACTTTAGAATGAACGACGTGGTTGATGAACAAAGAGACGAGATGGACTGAAGGGCAACGGCGATCGAAGCCAGGCGTGGGTTCGGCGGGACTGGCTAGGCTGTGTCTGTTCTGCGCACTCTCAGATTCGATTCAGATTCAGGGCCAAGCCGACGGGGGACGGGGAACGGGTCAGGACCAGCGAGGATGGGTCGAATCGATTTCGCACGGGCGCGGAAGAGTGTAAGGGTGTGCTGGTGGTGGGTGCGGGTGGTTGTGGATGTGGGTTTTTTTAGTTGGGCGACGAACGTTGATGGGTCTCGCACGGAACCTGGACTAGCAGCAGCAGGCTTATTATGACCGAGAGCCTCACCAGCTTGTGCCGAACACTAACATCCGAAGGCGGTTACCAGCCCCGTGATCCGTACCGGCGAGTGGAGTATATTGGACGGATAGGGCAGGGCAGGGCAGGGCAGGGCAGGGCGCAGGACACAGGGTCAGGAAGGGACACAGGGACACAGGGTCAGGAAGGGCCACGAGGAGAAGGAGGAGGAGGAGGGAGATGAAGTCGAGAACGAGGGCAGCCAGTGGAAGCGGCAAGAAGAGGACGAGGAGGAGACCGAGACCGTGGGAGGATTCAATGTCCAGGTAAGCACAGTAAGCACCTTGGGAATTGAGTTTTTGCTGAAAGGGTCAAGTCCCAGGCCGTGAGAATCAACCAAGACTCGGGCCTTTGATCGAAGGGAAAGGGAAAGCCGGGGGAGTTAGGTTCGCCTTGATGGTGTGCAGGAAAAGACATTGGGTCCGGAGGGGGAGAAGGCCAATAGGAAGATTGGGGCCACGCGGGACGGCTCTTCCTGATTCGACCTGACTTGGACTTGACTTGGACTTGGCCGCCAAAATTGACGAAGGACGGGAGGACAAGAAGAGCACATAGCCTACTGACACTGACACTGACACTCGCACTCCACACTCGCACGACGGCACGCGCACGGGGCAACGAGGCACACTGCAGTCGTTTCCTCATGTCACTACTTATCTACTGCTCCTAGGTAGCTACCAGATGTGTACACAGGGTGATTGATTGCAACATGATGTTAGCAAGAAGAAGAAGGCCAGGCCCCCGTTCGGAGACAGACAAGTATCAGACCAGCTGTAGGGTACGGGCGGCGTGAGGTTTAGTTTAGGTACATGCCGTAGGTGGGAAAACTGGGGAGAGACACTCCTGCGAGAGGAGACATGGATCGAGTGGACATGAGGGAACGGGGCGCGAGACCCAGAAGGGAAGGCACAATGAGGGAAAGGGCTCATGGGGCAGGGACAGGGGCAAGGGCACGAGCAGCGGCAGCAGCAGAAGGAAGCGTGGGCAGGGGCAGGGTTCGTGGGTCAAGGGCAGGGAGTGAGCGTGGGCGTGGGCGGCCGAGAAAGCGTGCTGCAGGCGGGCCATGGGGACTAGGAAGGGCAGGAAGCGTGGCATTCGAAGCCGAATGTGGTTCTGGCTCGATGGGGAGGGGTGTGGTGTGTGGTGAGTGGTGGGTGGCCAGTGGGTGGATGGTGGGTTTGTGGTGCTGTGCAGGGGCCGGGGAAGACCTGCATCACTGCAGGACTGCGGTGCGCTCTCGTAGGAAAATGGAGATCTCTGTACACCGGTTGCAGCACGTCCTGACCGTGGTCGCTCCCTGATGTGGACTACACAGCAGCAGCAGGAATCGACGGTACAGTAGCAGTAGTCAGTTGAAATGGCCTGCTGCTGCTCGTTACCCGGGTACTGTACCGCACGTATGCGGTGCCGTGCGGTGCTGTGTACCCCGTACCAAGGTACCCTCGTACCTCCGACGATCCATCCGGCGGGACTCGCCCACACGCACACACACATGCCCACATACCACGCATCACACCCCTGCCATGGGGAGTTGGAAAAGGTTGGCGGCAATGTGCAGGTCTGGGCTCCAGGTACCCTATGTATTTCGAGATCAAGAGTCATGCACGCGGCCGGCGCAATCGGCTAACAGCCGGTACCTGTCATGCACATCTTCCGCTACTGCGAGCCTTTGTGCTTACTGCTCGCACTTGTTATTACTGGACCGTGCATAGAGTTTTACGAGCAGAAATGCCACGAGGCCTTCTCGCATGCTGATGTTGCTCCCGCCGCACTCGAGTGGAGCCTTTGGCCCCCCTCATCCCCTTCCCACCCACCCTTCAACAAAGAGCGCCTGCCACCTGCCACCTGCCGCCATGCCTGCCCCATGTGATGATTTGCTGCTCTCGTCCCGTCCTGGAAGGTGCATCCAGGCTTGCTCCCAGGAGCCACGATGCACCGTTCCTTCAAGGTTTTTCTTTTGCCCCGACGCGTGGGGCCTGGCCTATTGCGATCTCTGATCCGAGGATTTGCCCAGGACGGACCTCGGAGCTCGTCGCAGCAGCGGTAGCAGCAGCAGCAGCAGCCCCAGACCGGTAACAAGAATAGTAGCAATGGAGAAGAACGTGCAAGGAGGACGACAAGTAGAAGAAGGAGAAAAAGACCGCAGGTGGGACACACATGCTCGTATCATGCAACGGCAGTGGCAGTGGCAGCGGCCACGGCACCCTTCTCGTCCCGTCGAGGCCTTTTCTGTCTCAGCCTGCGCGCAATCTAGTACCGTCTAGACAGTAGATATGTACCACAAGGTAGTCAAGTCAGTCTGATGGCCCTTTCTTTGTCGCCCTAGTGCAGAACGCAGAAAGCAGGCCCCAGCCGCGCTCCTCATCTGCACTCAGCTTACTGTGCGACCGCGTGGTGGGCGTGTCTAGGCTTGCCTTGGGCATGTACCACCAGCCAGCCCCCGGCAGCCTTTCAAAGCCCGAGGGATGCAGGGGATCGCGCACTAGGTGGCTTAAAAGTACCGAGTATCTCCGGGCTACTGCACAGCAGCGAGTTTGCCCCTACCACGTGTTTCATTATACTTGCCGCGCCGGCTGACTGCGGCCCAGTGCAGCGCGCCTACGTAGCCTGTACGTACAGCAGATACCTACTGGCAGGTACTGTAGGTACATGCCTCTTCAGGCCCGGCCGGGTTGGTGTGCTCGCGTGTGCTGTGTATTTTGTTCCTCCTCCGGGCTACCCTGGCTGGCCCTGGCTTGTCCCATGGACACTGATGCTGCTGTCTCTCCTCGCCGTCTCTCACCTTTTCCCTTTCCGACGGTTGTCGGGCGCTCTGAGAAAAGGGAGCGTACAGCGTGCATGGCTTGTATGGCGTGTCTGAAAGCAGCAACTTATTGGAATCCACGGACATTGCTATCGCCATCTTTCCATTGTGGTCTCCATCATCACCATCAGCACCGTTGGGCCCCGGCCGAGAGGAAGGGCCAGCCCACGCGAGGCTGGCTGATACACACTTCTCACCCGGCTGCCTGCTTTGCCTGCCTGACTGACGGGCCTCGTGGGCGGTACACTTTCATTAATTTTGCACACTACTCCGCATTCTGGTGGCTTGACCCTTCTGCCCCTTCCCCAGGCTCCCATGTCCTTACCGGGCTTTTAGGCATAGACTATTCCTTCCGCAGTGTGCCACCTCCCGCATTTCCCGCCCCCGTCAGCGCGCACCGCCCACAGACCACAGACCACAGACCACAGACCACAGACCACAGACATGATTGTCAAGCTATTCCCGAGATCTGTCCAATGCTAACGTGGGATAGGGCCCTCGCTAGGCCCATCGACACCAAGTGCCAAGTGCGCTCGACGCCAGGAGCGGCGAGCCACACCCTTCCCAGGGATGCCAGGATGCACACACTCCTGACGCTGTGCTGCCACGGCCTGCATAATAAGCAAGGGCAATCATCTGCGCTCATCAAATCCCTTTCTTTTTGGCCCTAAACCATCACCAGGCTCGAGTGCTACCTCCTGTCGTAGCTGACCGGACCTGGCCCCATGCTGTGCTGCACGATGGGCTCGTCCTCCTGCATGCCAGATCCCTCCGCCGTCAGCCAGACATCCAGACCTCTCCCAGGCATCCAGATGTCCTGCCCCAGCACCAGGGCCAGCCGTGGCTCCTTTCAGCCCTTGTGCCCTGTCTGCCTGTGTGAGAGATTTGGCCGAAGAGCCAGAGGAGACCTTGGCGATCATTTCCGCTTCCGGGATACCACCCTCCTTTTGCGGCCGAGCATCGCCTTCCGTGCGCCTTTGCCGCTGTGTACGTCTAGGAGAGCGCTGCCGGTTCTTCATTTTGCCAGTGTGCCGCTGCCCGGTGCGCTGTCTGTCTGAGGCTGTCATGCCTGCTGAGCCCGGGCTTGGGCCTGGGATGCCCTCTTGCTGATCGGGCGTTGGTGTGACAGGCGGGCCACTCAAGCCTCCGGAGACTTTTGCGAGTGACTTGCTGCGCAGAACCAAATTCGTGTTATGGCGGCCGATATGCCTATCTGACCTGTCTTGTGGCCGGTTACCATGCAGCTTGCCCTGCGGATGATACACAGCAGCAATCGGTGGTCTCAGCATGATCTTGCGCGAGGAATCCTTCGTCCCATCATTATCCATCTACAATATTGTAAGGGGACGGGAAGGGCATGGGTGCGGCCGAACTTGTCCCGTCGTCTCCCTCTACGACGACTACGTCTTGCCGCACAAAGTGCATGCACATGCACATGCACAAGCAGAGGTACAGGCACAGACAGGCACAGGCTTTCATAAGCGAGAATAAGACGAACCGCAAGGTCCGTCAAGGGGGACGATGAACGCCTGCTCCGTGGTAACAGCACAGCCGAGCTCAGCCGTCACCGAATCGCGTAGGAGAGGCGTTTCCCTTCTCTGTCCAACGGTCCCACAGAGATTGTCAAGTCGACCGTCGCGCAGGATCGAAAGACCTTTTACCCGTCAAAGGCAGCGCTCCGATACGGCCTTTAACCATCTGTGTCTCACCCGATTCGTTTCTGGGGCTGGAGAGGTGGGAAGCCCACGAAGTATGTCACCTACCGGCAGGGCGACTCCTTGGGATGGTTACATCGATCTGGTGTCGCGACCGCCTGCCTGCAATGCACTCCAGCAACGGTCCTCTTTTTTCATGCAGGTTCGTCTACCCAAACCCCCTCGCCCCCATCCCAAGATCGGCTGCAACATCACGAACGGTTCAGACCCCGAAGCTCGCCAAGTCATGAACACGGTTTTGGAATTCCGTCCTGCGGAGAGCCCAATCAGCTGCCCTCGCGACCATATCGCCCACGTGGGAATGATCAGACTGAAGCGGCTCTCCTCGCAGGCGCGCAGCGCTCATCATTTCCCGTGTGTATTCGGCCCGTCAGGGAACGAACGGTGCAAACTCGTGAACCCCTGATTTCCCTTCGGTGATTGCAACGGCAAGGAAATCGGTTATGGCGGTCCTGTCCGAGGTTGGGGATCGTGCACCACGCTGTTGGTCGCCAACTTGTTGGAACATGCTCGATCAAGCCACACGTTCCCCTTAACACTGGCGCAGCCACATGGCTCCCCCGTTCCCTCAGTCGCGTGCGCTATGTTCTGCACTCACCGAAAATGATCAACACAGTGGTGAGCCAAGGGAGCAAGGGCTCGGATTCTCCGCGTCACGTCTTCGCTTTTAAGGGTCCAGGGCTGCAGCGGCGGGCTAGTGGGAGCTACTGGGTGACATCGAACACGTCGTTGCTTCAGTGGAATCCCGGTCACCAAAGATTTGTTCTAACTGATGCTACCTTGCACACAGCGCTCGAGCCGACGGGACCGTAAGTCAATCAAAGTTGCGTGGCCGAGTCCGTATCACAGTCGACCCGGCTGTCGAGGTCGGCAAAGCCAGGGCTGTTGATATCGGATCACGGCTTCAGACCACGACTTCAATGGTAGCGGCATGGCGCCGCCAGTCTCAGCACTGGAGATCACCGGTTGACGTGCTGGGCAGAGGGGTTGGACGAATGCCATTCTTCCCAAGTGGACAAGAAGCAAAGCACCGCCGTTGATTCCCACGCTGTGTCTGCGGAATGGAGACCGCACAACGTCGTGAGCGAAGACAAGGCCTACGATTTCGTTCCTCGCGTGGACGAGAACGGGCTGTTGCACATTCCATTCTCCGGAATCTGCTCACTTCACGGCTCGAGGAGACGGCCGCGTCGAATGTTTCGGCCGTGCCGCCTGTCTCAGCGAGCACCTCCCATTCGGCCCGCAGAGAAATTCTTTCCCCCCCCCCTTTTCGTGGAACACGGCAAAGCAGGTCTTTGGCTTGTATATCCGTTTCTGTGTACCACATTCACCCACCGCGGGCCTGGACTCTATGCTCGGACGTGCTGCATGTCTGATCTGCTCTGGTCATTTCCAGGAGACGTGATGCTCTACGCCAATAGCCTCGAGCCTGTGCCTGAAGACGGCCTGGGATTGCACGGCCGTTGCTCTGCAGGTGATTTTAATAGGATACGCCGCGGCCAGGCACGGTGAGTTGTGAGACTCACAGGTGTTCTTGCAGATACGGCCCGGCCTACGATATGGCGGCTAGCTGGTGGACTGGCCTGTCTGAGGAAACACTGGCCTTTGAGCTCGATGTGTCTCCTGATCGGGGCTCATGTGACCACGTCAGGACGGCGCGTATGTAGGAATTAGTGGCTCATGGAAGAATATGACACTGTTGCTAAGCATCGTGAAGCGCGCAGGAGACAGTCCCGTGATCTTGAATGTCTCAGACATCCTCGACAGGTCCAGACATGAGAGTTTGCTGGCCTGGCGTCTGAATGCACGTATGAGCTCTCATTTGACGGCACAGAGATAAGCAATCTTGACACCCGGTGATGCCCTTGAAGATACTCTTGCTATCAGGTGCACAGACAGGTCTCGGTCGTGGACGACAGGCAGCTCGCAATCATTCCTGTGGAAGACACATCACGATAGACCATCAAATCAAACACCGAGGCAGCCGACCTTGGCCTAGATCTAAGCGCTTGTCACGTACTTGTTGATGCAAATTCATGGGTATCATTCTTCTCGCAAACCGATCCTGGTCTATAGGTATGCCGCTCTACAACTCGCTACGCGAGCTCCCAGCCTGCGCCCTCTCTGCCTTCCTCTGCTCCTGCAGACGCTTCCACAGCTCCGCGCTCCAGTGGTCCTTGTCCGCCTTGTGCAGCTTCGCGAGGGTCTTGAGCTTGTAGTCCCACTTGTGGTCGACCTCTCCCGGCCTCGGCCAGACGCCCAGGGTGGCGCCCATGCTCTCGTCCAGGAAGTTGTCCAACACCAGGTTCGCGAGCTTCTGCTTCGCGGGCACCAGCTCGGGCCTCTCGATGGACAGGACCTCGAGAATCTGCGCCATGCCGCCGTTCGCGAGGAAGTCGTCCCGGATGACCGGGCTCTTGATCAGGCCCCTCAGCGCCGCCGTCTTGGCTTTCGTGAGGCTCAGGAGGCTGGCCTCGGCCCCGGTGGCGGCCTCGCCCGCGGACATATCCGGAGTCAGCATGTTGAAGACTGCCTTGCTGAGTTCCCTGTCTGTGCCGGCACATTCCGTCTTGCTGATGTCGTCCCAGGCGCTCTCGACCTCTTGGAGCGCCTTCTGGTTGTTCTGCAGGGACGACCCGACGATCGAGGCCGCCAGGCCCGCCTGCTTGACCACCTCGTCCTCCCCGTTCTTTGAGAAGACGTCCTGCGAACTCATCATACACAGAAGCTCCTTGATCGCGCCCGTGTCCTCGGCGATCTTGAGACCGTAGTAGATGTCGTGTGAGATGTCGTCCAGAATGTCCAGGGCCGCGCCGATCGGCCGGTCGTTGAGCGCGAGGGTCTTGAGAACCGTCAGGGAGTCGCGGAAAGACTGCTTCTCGTCCTGTGGCTCCTTGATCTTCCCGACGGACTCATACTTGGGCGCGCCTTTTGGGATCTGTGGTTTGCTTTCCGCGTCCAAATCTTCCTGCCCTTCGATAACCACCACCGACGAATCCACCGGTAGACCCTCGAGCGCGGGATCCGCCTCGTTCGGGTCGTTGATCTTTGCCTCCCTCTTTCCCGTGTTCACGTCCAGCCTGACATGTAGCCCTGGCGGTATCTCCTGGTCCTCATGGACCGTCTGGAACTCATCCGTTGGCTCAAACACTCTGGGATAGCAATCGGATGGATTCTCTGTATGGCAGATCAAGTCGCTCTTTTCTCCTTTTTTTGATGTGCTGCCTTCGGAATTTGTGCTGGCCGATGCGCCGAACGTCAAAAGGGCGAAAATGAGAAACAGGAATAAGGCTGCACTTGACCCGGCCGATAGCCGTGACGGTGCTTTGTGGCTGCTCATTTCTCAATATGATGATAACAACAGTGTGAGAAAGTAAAGAAAAAAGTTATAGAAGTGTGAGGCCCTCGCCGATTTGTGATGCGTCTCCGAGTTAAATGCTGTACAATTTGCGACAACAAAGATAATTAAGAGGCTTGTTGGAATGTAGAAATGGGAACGAAGCATGAAATATTCACCATCTGAGTAGCCACGTTTACAAGTCAGAAGATGAGTCAAAAGATAGAAATAGAAGCCTTCAGAAAGGACAGATTCCCATGCCACATCGCCTCCCATTCAAGCCCTCAGAGAGGCAACTTGGCAAGTGGGCACGGCTGACCAAACTGGCCAGCTCGAGTGGCAGGAACGGGTGGAGCACGGACCAACCAGACACACCCCGAGACCTGCTGACTCAGCACGTGGGGACTGCGGGAGGGAAGCTTTGGGTTGCCCAGCATCGTCACAACGAGAGCAATCAGCCTGAAGAGAAGACGAGCCAATTGACAGCGCAAAATCGACCAGACTTCAAAATGCTGGCCGTCAGACAAAGAGCGGCCTATGTCGCCCGAAGGGCTAGGCCGGCAGCCATCGCCCCGCGACAGGCCACCCGATCGTACGCATCCGACCATGGCCACGGCGACCACCACGACCACCACCACGCCCCGCAGGTAGAGGAGTCGCCAGGAGTACGTTTGCCCATGAGTTAGAGCTCTTTCCTGGGCATCGAAGGAGTCAGGGTGGAGAACCAGTAGCTAACATTCTCCTCCCAGCTGGGCCTGTACATCTCCCTCGGCGCCATCGGCCTCTCCATGTTCGCCTACTCCATCTCCCGCGACGAGAACTCCAGCCTGGCCAAATGGGTGGACAGCTTCAGGGCTGAGTCCCAGCAGACGTGGGAGTACAGAAACACTCTCCGCTCCGACATCAAGGACCAGGCGGCCCGGGACAAGCATCTATTCGCGACGTCGCAGAAGGACCCGGGATACGAGCTGAGGACACCAGAGTGAGTTGGATTCTTCTTCTATTTTGGGGCCCGTTTGGCTGGTCAATTCTATGTGCCTGGGGTGTCCTCGACATGCGGTGGCTAATTTGCTTCAAAACAGGCTCATCGACTCCGGAAGCCCCAACAACGTCCCGGCCGGCCACTACGCCAACCTGGACCAGGTCATACAGCACTACCAAAAGCAGCATCTGGACGAGGAGGCAAGGAAAGCGAAGAAGCTGGGGCTGGCGAAGACGGAGTAAATGAGGGACGTGGACGAGGGGCACTGCGAGCCTTGTATCATATGGGTCAACGAGTGCAGATAGATCAAGAACGCAGTCAATTTTCCAAGCAGAGTTCTACACGTATGAGGCAGACTTCTCTGTGAGCATGGGGTCACGGCAAGGGCTACTCGAACCCTCAAGTGATCGATCTCCTGGCCGTAATTGTGACACACAACGATTGTTGGTACTGCTCGCCATGCGCAGAAACTACCGGGGGGTGGCCCACTGGAGCCTCAAGATAAATTACATGCAGAGCCGACCCTACGAACACCAATACGAGAGCACAACGCACTTGGCATGGCACGCCTAGTTGAAATACGTCCGATTCGTAAGACACAGTGGGTTCTGACCTCTGCATTCAATCGCCTCAACTTGATAAACTGGCTCGCCCCCCGACCTGAGCCGTGGGGTGGTCTTTCTCCTCCCCACGTTGTTGCCCGATTCACCGGAGCGGTTTCTTTTCCCTCACGGATCATGGGAACGACGTTGCTTCCAATTGCACTTTTTCATGTGCTTCATTCCTTCACTTATCATGCTAGATAGTGGTTGTGCCCCTGCCGTTCCAAGCAAAACCATGACCATTCGCCGAGACCGTTTCGACACAATGCAAAGAACCCGCAAAAGACCGCATCCATGTTACTTCAGAGGGATAAAACGAGAAGAGTGCGTGGCACCAATACCGGGACGACCGTGCTTGACAGGGCGGCTGAAGCGGTTTGTTAGCAAAGTGTGTGAAAGGCCCCTCCTCGAGAAATAGGGTATAAAATAGTCCTAGGGATGAAAACGTACTAAGAGATAGAGAACTCAGCCAGGTAGTGGCCGACCATCTCGGGCTTGATCTCAACCTGGTTGAACTCCTTTCCAGAGTAGATGCCGATGACGCTGCCGATCATCTCGGGGACGACGAGCATGTCACGCAGGTGAGTCTTGACGACGTCGGGCTTCTCGTTCGGCTTAGCCTCCTGCTTCGCCTTGCGGAGCTTCTTTATGAGACCCATGGGCTTGCGCTTCAGACCACGGTTGATCCTTCTGCGGGCACGGGCGTGGACGACATCGCGGAGCTGGTCGGAAGAGAGATCGAGGAGCCTGTGATTCGAGGAGTCGTGTTAGCCATCCGTCCCTCTTCTCGTGCTTGACGGCCCTCCTTGTCCGTGTTCTAAGTCGTGGTGATGGGTGTCGCGACGAGAGCATCTTGTCGCTTTCTCTTTCTTTCCTTCCATCGATCGAGGAGAGTGTATTTGGCCACATACTGGTCAAGGTCAATTCCACGGTAAGAGAACTTGCGGAAGGTTCTCTTCTTCTTGAGCTCAGCGGCGGCCTCGGGGTCCTGCATCGCGAGCGAGGTCAGCCATCACGCCGTCATCATTTTTCTCGCAACCCTGTCCGTGGGCAGGCTCGTCGGGGGTGGCATCGTTGTCTGTCGTGGGAGGGAGACGTACGTAGTCGGCGTCAGCCATGATTGCGGTTTGGTCTGGATTGTCAAGATTTCGCTGTCCGATAGGGTGCTGGTATCAAATAGCGAAATTTCCGCGATGGTCGTCTTTCGAGGTGGTTGAAAGAAAGAGATGGAAGTGGGACGTCTCTGGCGCAGGCCAACCGAGCCCAGTCGGCCAACGCTAGCTCCGCCAGAATTTTGATTGTGCTCACCGCAGGCTGGCAGGCGGGGTCACGTGTGTGGTCACCTGATTCCGGTAGCACCAGTGTAGGGGAGCCGGACTGCTGCACTACCTGGACGGATAACCTGCCGACTTACTCTTGTGACAACTTCAGACTTGTCTGGTTGCTTTGCGACGCAATTCATCTTTTTGAACAGGGTTGGGAATTCTTAGCCCTCATGGCCACATCACGGGCTATTGCAGCGGTCAGAGGCCGGTCAATGCATCAAGTGAGATGAGACTGCGACGGATATGAACTCAATAATTCAAAGTGACTAGGTATGCTAAGTCGAAATCTACAACATCTTCGCCGCCCGAATTGCGCCAACACACTCCCAAACACACAACCGCACGCTCACTAGCCCGCCTTGCAACTCGCCCAGTACCTTTCGACCTCGACCATGACCCTGGCCCACCTCTCGAGCCCCTCAGGCCTCCAGACCTGGGAGCGGTCGTAGTACTCCTGGAACTGCGGCTTCCCGTCGCTGATCTCCACAAAGGGCCGCTTGCTGCGCACGTAGATGTGCAGGTCCGGCTCGACCAGCCAAGCGCGGTCCAGCGTGCCGCTCTTGACGAACCTGACCGCCGGGCCGAACGCGTACTCGCTCCACACCGCCGCGAGGCACCGGGGGCACCGCACGATGGTCTGACCGGCCCCGGACTCGGACGGGATGGCTACGCGGAGCAGGTCGTCGGGTGGGGTGTCGTCGTTTCCTCCGGCGCTGGGTGCTGGAGCGGGAGCGGGAGCGGGAGCGGGCCCGGCCGGTGGTAGCGTGTCTGGTGCGCCGCGGTGGGCGGGCATCGTTGGGGCTGCTGGTGCCAGGCGCGTCACGCTCGACGCCTCGATGATGATGTTGGGCGAGAAGGCCGAGCCCGTCTCACGCTGGCAGGCAGTGCAGTGGCAGCTGTGGGAGGCCATCGGGGCCTGATCGACAGAGTACCTGACATGGCCGCAGCAGCAACCTCCTTCCATTGGGAAGGCCGAGGGGTTCTCTGAGTAGTGGGGAGTTGTTGCGGACGGTTCTTGGTTGTTGGAAGCCATCTTGATGACTATTAGCGTCTCGCGGTGTCTTCTGGGGTTTGTGTTTACTCCCGTGGTCCTTATGGGCACACTGAGGATTTTGAATCTGAGGATCAAGGCAGAGGGGTTCTTTCCCTATAAATGGCCCACAAATGCATGTAAGAGAGAGGGAGGGCGCACGTATTATCTAGTGCCGCATCGGGCAGGTGGACCCGCTCGAAGACCAATCACGACGCAGGAAGAGAGAGAAGGAGCAGGACAGCGGATCCTCGAGCATCAAACCCGCTTACACCGGAGGATGCACTTGATTGGGGAGAAAGCAGTGCGCGATGTGCCACGTCGGCCTAGGTGAGCCCGTAGAGATGCCTGCTGAGGTGTACATACGATGGTGCGTGTGAGGGTCGTTCCGAGGATGAGCCGGCTGAGACTGTCTGCCTCATGCTTAGATGAGACGCGGTCTACGATTCGTCATAATGAGTCTACGCAAGTCGCGCGAAGCGAACGTGTACCAGGTAAGAACAGTAAGAAATTGATTGCTATGCTGTGACCGCTCAATCGGGGCCAGCCAGTATATGCTGTGGAAAGGAGTGTGGTATCGTGCTAGTCCGTTACAATCTGTACACCTCAAAATACCTCCAGTCACGCTGGAACAAAAGAAAATCCCTCCCCTAGAACCTTGTTTGGGACTTGAGGTTGTCGCACTCCTCCAGGAAGCGGTAGATGCCCTCCAAGCCCTCGAAGCCCTCAGAGACGTGCTCGGCAGAACTCAAGACATGATCAGACATGCTCTCGTATCCTTCCTCGGCCTCGACTTCTGGCTCCGGGGTCGACAGCCAGGGGTTCTCCTCGATGTACTCATCAACGTACTCATCAAAAAGAGCCTCGTCTTCCTCGATCGAGGACAGGTCTGACAGCTGCGATCTCAATGAGCCACCAGGAGAGGTGAGTGTCTCCTCCTCGTGCGCATCAGGCGCGTACGGAAAGCGCAGTGCCATCGGGCTGCCGTAGCTGGCGTCGAACTCGGGGTCTTGCTTGATGACACCTCGCTGAACGCCGGTGTCATCACATAATCGTTCCACCGTATCGGAATCAAGACCTGGGAACCGAACTCGCAGGGTGTTGTTCTTCTCCAGCGTGATGGGAAGATCACCAAGCGCCGCGAGACGCTTGAGATCGCTCATGACGGCCGTGAGGTCCTTCAGCTGCCGCGCAAAGTCGGTCGAGAGGACGTCGAAGAAGCCATCGGCATTGAGAGTGGCAGCGCCAACCTCGTGCTTCGCGTCAGAGCTGGTGGCCATGGCAGCGACGGCAGCCAGGGGGCTCAGGGCGGTGACGGTGGGGCTGATCTGGAAGTCGACGAACGAGCCGGGCATCATGCGCGGCATGCTAGCCATCTTCCTGCCTGCGGACTCCTGCAAAGAGGTCACTGGCTTGTATCTCTTCTCGCCGTTAGGGCCGTGCCCGTCGAAATGGGCCCTCTGGCCGGAGAGCCAGAAGGCACGCATTGCTTGGGAGACGTTCTGGACGACCTGTGCCTGGGAAGTGGGTCCGTGGCTGAAGTATCGCTGGCCTCCGACACGTCCCGAGCCGGGCATTGCGTAGCCGCCGGCAGTCCGGGGCATCGCGCCGCCGGTGAGGTTCGGTCGCAGTGTGTGGGCGAATGGGGCTCGTCCAGGGAACTGGGAGAATGCGCGTCCGACATTCGTCTGGTTGAAGGCAGAGCGGTCGATTCTTGGGGCGGCGCGTAGCTCGTTGGCTGCGGTAGTGATGAAGCGGCGGACGCTAGCGTTGAGACGGTTGTAGGCGGTGGAAGATGTCCATCGCACACCTCGCTTGGACTGGCGCAGGAAGGCGGTAGGGTGGATAGGCTGTCGTCCGGTGGAGCGAACGGTGACATACTGAACTTCTTTGCTCAGGGGCTGGGTCGCGCCGGCAAGCTTGCGCTGGAGGACTTTCGTCATCTTGGCGGTGTTGACGACCGCGCTGCGGAGGGCGCGCATGACCACAGGGGCCAGCACTCCTCCGGCTGGAGACATGGCGGTGGTTTGACTGTGTCTTGTATTCTCTGGACGAGAACAACACAGAGAGTTGACGTTGTGACGGGAGGGAAAGGAGCGGACGGAACGCTGGCTCGCGGTGGCTTATAAGCTCCCTCCCTTCCCCTGCCGGTAGACCCCGGGATCTACAAGCGGACTTCGCCACACCTGCCGCCAGATCTTATCAGCTGGTCTGAGGTGCTGAGATTGCGCGGTGTGGCAGCTCCCCACCTGTTAGCTCCCTCTCCAACTGGCAAAGCCACATCGGGGGCGCTTGGACTGCTCGGTCGCCAGGCCACTCCAAACCAGCTCCACTGCTGCTGTGAGATTTTTCCGACTCCGCCCAAATTTTCTTCCAACCTCTACAACAAAAGCTTCCATGCAGAGCTCCAGACACCACCAACACTCTTTCTTTCGCATTCATTCCACCACAGGACTTAACTTCAGGCAAGGTACGAAAGCTCTCCTCTCCCCTTTCAAAACATCTGCTGTGACGAACACACATCGAACAATCCAATTCTTACTAGCACCATGGGGACTACAATTTACTCTAGAATTACCCTGAGCAAACACACTCAGCACAATTGTTTCGACGGCAAGCCTTTGCGAGTTCGATCGCTAACGTGTTGATGATCAGATTAGTGTCTTGCCCCCTTGCCCTTATTCATCTGCCCTTCAACGCGCGCCGGTCGTGCTCAAAACATCCAACTGAAAAGGTTCGTTGCAACATCCCTTCTCGCGCTGCCCCCGTTTTCCATGATGCATACACTACATTCAGGGATTCCTCGAACCGAAGACCAATGTGGACATAATGTTTTATAAGTTTCAGCCTTGTCTGATTGGATACACTTGACTTGATTCTTGCTGCTGCCTGTTTTCCTGCGGCAACATCTTGCTGACTGTCACCGATCAGGTACATTTCCCACAACTCTTCCACGCCTCTAGCAACATGATGAAATTTGAACGAACGGGCGGACAGATCGGAGCTCGACGGCCCGTCTCGTCAAAAGCAGGGCTGTACACCTTGTGAGGCGGGTTCGCGCGGGTCACCTTGTTGAGAATTCGTCACCTGATCTTGCTATCGCGAAACGCGTCCTGTCGCCGTCACGGCATGTCTGTTGTCGAGGGCTCTGGCTAACTCCGAGGACAACAGGTAATTTGGCTCTCCCACTTGTTCCGCAGACTTCCTGTACAGCAACATGATGAACATTATTCACACTGTTTGATCCGTGCCTTTTGGCCGGAGATGAACACTAAACAAAATCTGATTTAATGAGGTACGTCGACCACAAGCAGCACGCAACGGGCCAGGACCGCGAGCTAACGATCTCCCACAGACTGACAGCTGTTTGCCTTTGTCGAGCAAGTTTCGCATTCGAGTTGATCCTCAAGCTGACAAGTCGCCAACGGCAGGTGATGACTTCCACGTAGAGTCCGGCTGCATTCCTCAACTGGTGAGTTACTTTCTCTACTCGACCCGACCCGGCCTTTCTGATGATTACCTTGCTATTTTGCCACTGAGTTTCTGTGACGACGCAACCATATTTTACCTTATCTATCACCTTGGAGAACTGATCAGGCCATGGTCATGTCGATTTTTACACCTTGAGTGTTTTGAATTCTCGCTGACAATGCTGTCTCCAGCAGGTTCTTTTTGACCAAAGACCGGAGAGTCTACATCTATCTATTAGTGTTGATGAATACTACATTATTACTCAAACGTCATGTACCATTTCCTCCTGTGACATGCCCGGTGCATTCCTGTGACCCTGTACTGTCCCATCCGTTTCTATCCCTTGAGCTGTAACCTCGCATTCCACGCGACGATGCACCGTATCAAGTCCCAGTCTCCATCGTGGCCAACCCAGTCCGTAACAACGATGCCCGTGCCCGCATCCCCGACGCCCAGCTGCGCCGGCCCTTTGCCCTCCTCGGCGTGCCTCACACAGAGGTACTCGATGATCGCAGGGTTCACCTTGGCGGCAATCTTCTCAGGCCAGCAGCTGGCGTTGAAGAAGTTGCTGGCAGTCAGGAAGTTGACAAAGAGCGGCGGAGGCGGCGGCGCCTCACCGTTCCCAGGCCCAGGGGCAGCGGCATAAACCTGCTGGCCCGCCCTCTCGAGGTGCGACCGGGCCAGCTCGGCCTTCTTCTCGATTCCGGCGCTCTTGCCGACCTCGTAGAAGTCCTGGACGCGGACGAGCCCGCTGTCCACGGTGCCGTCGGCGCAGTTGTCGGGCCACGCCGAGGCGTCGATGCCCCAGCCGCGGCCGCCGTGCTCGGCCTGCAGCGCGCCGTCGTTGTTGAACCGCCGCACCAGCACGATCTTGCCCCTCGCCTCGCCCATCGACGGGATCCGCGGCTCCGTGAACCAGCGCCGTGCCACGTCGTCCTTGTTCCCGTTCGCCTCCTTGCCCTCTTCGCCCTCGTCGCCTCCCTTGCCGCTGCCGCCGCCGCAGTACCGCTTGAAAAGGTGCTGCGACAAGTCCTGGTCCGTCCCGCGACCCGTGCCCTCCCTCTTGAGGCTTATGATGAGCGCCTCGGACGGGTTGTCGTCCAGGAAGGCGTACAGCTCGTCGAGCAGGCCCGCCAGGTACCTGTTGCCCCCTAGCGAGACGGGGAACACGCTGTGCACGAGGGCGAGGCTGTGGTTGCCGTCCCCCTTTGACGCAGACACCCGCAGGTCTAGGAACCGCACCCCGTTGTCCAGCTGCTCGCGGACGCCTACCGCCTGGCACCGCACCGAGGGGAGCGCAACGTGGCACGTCGGGCTGTTGTGCGTCCCCGGCACGGATAGCGCAGACAGCGGCCACCCGTCGCCCAGCTCGTGCATCCACCGTGACAGGTTGGCTGAGCTGAGGATGGATAGGTGGTGCTCAGACGGCGTGTACACGGTCGTCAGCTCCAGCGCGTCGCCCTCGTCCCCTCCTTCTCCCTCGCCCTCCTTGACCCTCTTCATCACCACGGACCGCGCCCCAGGGGTTGGGCAGTCCACGACATACTTGTGCGCCCCTGCTCGGAACGTCAGGCGTAGGACCGACCTGCCGGGCTCCGGGGGCCGAATGTCCGTGGCCCTCGTCTCGAAGGCGCCCACGACGACTGTCCCCGCGACGTCGACGCGCTCGCTGGGCTCCTGGCCGTCCTTTGGCGCGAACAGCGCCGGCGTGGTGGCGTTGCTGGTGAAGAGCCCCGTGATGCGGGAGAAGCCGCCGCCGTGCGCGGGGCCATCCCTGTCGAAGCGCTCCACGAGCACGAGCTCGAGCGGGTTGACGGTGACGTTACGTATCGTGAGCGAGGCCATATCCGTTCCGGGTTGGGGCGAGCGGGAGCGGCTGCTGCGGCCTGTGTGCTTGGGGGCTATTAGGGATACCATGGCTGCTGTGAGGGGGCTGTTGACATGGTTTCTCGGCAGCCAAGCTTCGTGTAATGCGCCTCCTTCCCAGCCTCTGCTTTTCTTGGCCGGGCTTGATGGGACTTGGTTTGCAAATCTCTTGAATATCTGCGCGAAGAAACAGAATTGTTGAGAATGTATGTGCTGACGATGAATGAAATTGCTTTTTGAGCGCTCTGAATGACTCCAGGGGCTCGCTTCCGTTCATTTCGTGGAAACGAGCTCAGTGGGGCTCACTCATCAACGCTCATCAGTTATTCGCAACAACAACAACAACAACAACAACAACAACAACAACAACAACACACAGAACACTCCGGTCTTGTTGTGTTGAAACTACAATTTCAAAATCACAATCATGATTGGCAAAAGATAGATTTACAACGGCATCGATGTTCAATTCATCGCCTGTTTTTGTGCGTGCTTAGTTTCAATCACACAGCCCAAAGTCCCCAGTCCAAAAAGTCGTTCCGCAACACCATCTCTCCCCAACGTATGTACTCGTTGACCAAGTTGTAGTCCCGGATGCAACCATGAAGTGAAGAGCCGCGAAGAGACTGAACTTCCGCAGTTTTTTGTCCAAACGCCAAGATGATTCCCCGACGTGCTCGTAACTCCCAGCCTGTTCCAAAGACGACCAGCCCCTCGTCGTGAGTCCCGAGAAACAACACCCTATGATCAGAAGCTGGACCTCCGCGGGCGTCTCGGCGGAGGAGGAGCAGCAGCACCGTCGCCTCCCTTGTCAGCGACCGCCCCGTCCCCGTCTCCGTCTTCGTTCCCGCCGTTGTCATCCCGCTTGCGCTTCCTGCTCAGAAACAGCAGGACGTGGTCTGCGTTGCCCAGAACGTTCCCAGAGCCCTCAATGTTCATACCCGCCGCGACGTAGATCTTGAAGGGCCTCGGCCTGCCTTCCTCGTCAATCATTGGTATGCCACCATCCACGCCCCCAGCCTGGCGGATCGTAGCAGTGACGGCTTCGGCGATGGCCCTGGCGTGCTCTGCTGGTGAGGCCGTCAGTAATATGGCGTTGTTGTCGCCCTCGACTTGCACCGTGGTCATGATGCGCAGCTCGATGGGACTGCGGTCATTGTCGTCGTCGTCCTCGTGCAGGGGATCGAGATTGATGTACTCGCGGTTGTCGTGGTTTGCGTTGTTCATGTTGCGCAGATGGGAGAACTGGGCGACACTTATGGGGCGGGAGGGGTCGTCCGCGACGCGTCGGGCCACTGCCTGCTGTCGTAGATGACGGGCTGGGGGACAGTACGCTGGCGGGGGAGAAGGGGCACTGTGTGAGGCTTCCTCCTTTGGAAGACCGGTCAATGGGTCAAGAGAAGCCTGACTGGATGGGTGGGCCATGGTTCCCAACGGAGGAGTGTTGGCAAGCGGGTGAGTTAAGTGTGTCGATGAAATGCGTTTTGTAGTAGCTGCCTGGCCTTGATATGCGCTGTTGAAACCATTCACATCCACAAACAACACAACAATGTCAAGTCTCCTTCTCTCAGGATGTGAATAGACACGTTCAGCTGGAGCTAGTCGTCCGTCTGATTGTAAAGCAATGAGGCTCGCAACAGAGTCTGACCTGTAGTCTATCAGCCAGCGCGTTGCTGCTTGTTTGTGTCGAGGAGTGAATGAAGTATGGGTAACTCAGGTGTGAATGACGGAGCAACAGAACAAAAAAGCATTTGGCAGCAGAGACAGGCAGGAAGCTTTTATTCTGAAGATGGGATAGAAGGAGAGTGAATACCCATGGACCTACACTCTTATTCAAACACCCAACAGGCTAATTCAAGTACAATAGCGAGCACTCCCATGCCGGAAGACATTGTGGTGACCCTGATGGTGTGCCAGAAGGTGGCAAAGCATGGGTCAGTCGTTGGTTCCATCAGGAGACAGGACCAATCATTGCAGGCAAAGTGAGATTGTAGGTGAGACTTCCCCAGAGACAATCAGACCAATTTCTGCTGGAAATGGAGGTGAATAGACTGAGGCTGGGATTGTTCGTGGGGAGGGGAGAAGTGCGCTTCCTATTGTTGTCCCATTGTTGTTGATGGAAGCGGGTCCTGGCCGTCATTGCGTAACGCTAGGCAGGCAGCCTCATTGAATGCCCGTTTGGGGAGTGGCTGCTCCTTCCCTTGAGTCCTTGAATCAATGAGAACCATCGTTCAACTCGAACGAGCCAGGGCATGCCAGCTATCAGTTGCGCTGCTCGATCAAACCCCAACTGCCACTTGGCAGTGCTGGATGGTTCAATCTACGGTTTGTCCATCGCAACAACAGTCATGACAACTACCACAATTTCGGTCACCTGGCACAAGAAACAGATATACAGATCACAACTCGATCATATTCATTGCCGCTTCGTTGAGCGAATCTAGCAAAACTCCGACCTAAATGCCCCGTTGAATGGGTATCTTGCATGCCTTGTGTTGAAAGACGCCTTCCGCCCCACGCGCTTTTTAGCTACCCATATTCCATGTTGTTGAAAACCGTACGCCAGTTATTGACCCAGGATTGTGATTAGTATAAACGATTTTAAAAGGTACTTGCTCTAGAACTTGAGAGTCTTGGGCTTCTCCCAGTTGAAGTCCTGGTTGGTGCCAAAGTGGCCGTTCTTGGCCGTCTGCAGGTAGATGGGCCGTGCCAGGTCGAGCTCCTTGACGATGACACCGGGGCGCATGTCGAAGTTCTTGCGGATGATCTCGACGAGCTCGTCGGAGGTCTTGGAGGAGGTGCCGTAGGTGTCGACGAAGACGGACAGGGGCTCAGCAACACCAATGGCGTAAGACAGCTGGACCAGGGCGCGGCGGGCGAGGCCGGCGGCGACCAGGGACTTGGCAACCCAACGGGCCAGGTAGGCGGCGGAACGGTCGACCTTGGAGAAGTCCTTGCCGGAGAAGGCACCACCACCGTGGGCACCCCAGCCACCGTAGGTGTCGACAATGATCTTACGGCCGGTCAGACCGGCGTCACCCTGGGGACCACCGATGATGAAGAGGCCAGATGGCTGGATCTATCGGGCTGTTAGCGTCGAGTTCATTGGGGGAAGGGATATGGGCCCAGGCTTACGTGGTAGACGGTCTTGTCGTCAAGAAGGTTGGCGGGGATGACCTTCTTGACGATCTTCTCCGTGATCTCCTTGCGGAGCAGCTCTGTCGTGATGTCCTCGGAGTGCTGGGTGGAGATGACGACGGTGTCGACCCTCTTGGGGATGACGGCGCCGTTGTCGTGCTGGTACTCGACGGTGACCTGGGTCTTAGTATCAGGTCGGAGCCATGGCAGGGAGCCGTCACGGCGGGCGACGGACAGGGCAGAGTTCAGCTTGTGGGCTAGCAGGTGGCTGAGAGGGTGCAGCTCAGGGGTCTCGTCGGTGGCATAGCCGAACATTATACCTTGGTCACCGGCACCGAGCTCCTCGAGGGCCTTCTCGTAGTGCAGACCCTGGGCGATGTCAGGGGACTGCTGCTCGATGGCCACCAGCAGGTTGAGGGTCTTGTAGTCGAAGCCCTTGGCGGAGTCGTCGTAGCCAATGTCCTTGATGGCATTGCGGACGACCTTCTGGTAGTCGAGGTTCGCCTTGGTGGTGATCTCACCAAAGACCATGATCATGCCGGTTTTGGTGGCAGTCTCACAGGCGACCTTGGACAGAGGGTCCTCGGCCAGACAGGCGTCAAGGATGGCATCCGAGACCTGGTCAGCGATCTTGTCGGGGTGACCCTCACCGACAGACTCGGAGGTGAAGAGGAAGGTGCCCTGCGGGTGGGCGGCATGGCCGTTGACTCCGTTGGCAGCCATTGTGATTGTGTGTGGTGATGAGTGAAAGGGGATGGTGGAACAAGACGTCTACTGGGCGAGAGTTAGTCTCATGTGTATATGTTTGTATATGGGAGAACCTTGTGCCGAATAGGGTGTTGCGGGATAAAGTTCCTCGAGTCTCGAGGTTGGGGAGGGGCAGTGATTTGGACAGGTTTTTGGGCTGAGGAGGAGTTTTCAATGGCACTGAGACGGCGGGGTAGGGAGGGCGCGATGGATGGACGGATCGCTGGTGTCTCGGGAATGAGACAGCCAAGTGTGAAGCTAAAAGATTGCGTGCTGGCGGCGGCGGATGGCTTACCTGTGGACAATCTGGACGGATGAATGGAGGGAGGAAGGAAACACGACTAGGAGACGGGAAACCTAAGGGAGAGAACAAATCGAAACGTCTACGGGAGAAGAAGTCTGGGGAGGAGGAGGAGAGGGAGGGATTGAGGCCCGGGGATGGGACGAGACTTTATTGAGTCGGTGTGTTAGGTAAACTGCGGCCCTGGACTTGCTCGTCAGAAGAAGGAGCCGACAGTCGGGGCCCGAAACTTTTTGGGAGGGCTGGAGGGGAGACTGGAAGGTACGACTAGTCTGCTGGAAGGGACCCTTGCAATGTTCAAGGACCTTACATCAACCGTCCGAGGAGGGGAAGCGCAGGGTGTGCCCCCACCGCCCGGTAAGAAGAGGTCGTGGCTACCTGGCGAGGCCATTTCACTTGCCCGAGTTATCCAGTACCGTCTACCCGCGGCTCAACAGGCTCGACGAGCCCATCGATTGCGCGATTGTAGCTCTGGCAGTCGCATCTGCAGGAGCAGATGCGAACCCGCACAACCGGCGGCCAGACATGCCCGCGCCCAGACCCCGGTGTCCACCACCCACGACTCGGGCGACTCGGGGGTTCGCAGAGGACAAAAGCGATTCCTGACGGGCGGAGGCGAGCTCATGCCATTGCCAGTGCCAATGATAAGCTGTCATCATGCACATGTGCTGACATGGCCCAGGGGCGCACCTAAATCCTGACACCGTCTGAGTGACCGGTCCCTCACCACCGAAACTCCGGGAGGGCATCCAGTCCTCCTGTAGGACAACCTGTTGTAAGATAACCCTCTATGAGATAACCTCCTGTGGGATAACCCCCTGTGGGATAACCTCCTGTGGAAGAGATTCCAATCTAAAGGCAGTCCATAGCACCAGTATCAACCGTCTTGACCACCACCTGCCCCTCCGGGTAGTACTACTTGCTGATCTTCAGCCTTGTATCTCGTATTTCAGTCCTAGAGTCTTCCTCTCAAGCTGGGGGAACTCGTCATGCCAACCATTGATACCAATTAGCCATCATTGCGTGCCATGTACTACCAGATGGCTGTCGAGTGCTCCAATGAGGGAGATGGTGCTGGCGGAGGAGGGCAGAGTCAGACTGGATGAAGATCTGCACCCCGGTGCCCTGGGGAACTGATAAGATAAGGAGCCTCGCCTTCCCGGGCTGAAGCTGCCCCTCGTAGTGGGGGAACATCCCCGTCAGTTTGGGGAGACCACGAAAATTCTAGGGTGCAGAGCAATGTTTGGCACTTGGCTCCCAACCCGAACTGTCTCGACCGTCTTCTCTTCAACACATAAATCCAGTCGCTTCCGAGGGCACACCGCTCACAGCCAAGATGAGTAAATACGGCGTCATGGTCATGGGCCCAGCAGGGGCGGGCAAGGTGCGTCGAGCCTCGCGGCATTCTGGTCGCTCCCCTCCATGCATCACCGCCGCAAAGTGATGCACAACGACTGACGAGAAAGAGCGTCGCAGTCCACCTTCTGCTCAGCCCTCATAACACACCTCCAACTCAACCGCCGCTCCTGCTTCTACGTCAACCTCGACCCGGCTGCCGAGTCCTTTGACCACCAGCCCGACCTGGACATCAAGGACCTGATCTCGCTCGAGGACGTCATGGAGGAGATGGGCCTGGGCCCCAACGGCGGGCTGGTCTACTGCTTCGAGTTCCTCATGGACAACCTCGACTTCCTGACCGAGGCCCTCGACGGCCTGACCGAGGACTACCTGATCATCATCGACATGCCCGGCCAGATCGAGCTGTACACCCATATCCCCATCCTGCCCGCCCTCGTGCGCTTCCTCAGCCAGCCCGGCGCCCTCGACATCCGCCTGTGCGCCGCCTACCTGCTCGAGGCCACCTTCGTCGTCGACCGCGCAAAGTTCTTCTCCGGCACCCTCAGCGCCATGAGCGCAATGATCCTGCTCGAGATCCCCCACCTCAACATCCTGTCCAAGATGGACCTGGTCAAGGGCCAGGTGCGCAAGCGCGACATCAAGAGGTTCATCACCCCGGACGCCACCCTGCTGGACGACGACCCCGCCGAGCAGGTCCGCCGCAACACCCTAGGCGCCGGGGAAGCCGAGGAGGGAGAGGCAGAAGCAGAAGAAGACGAACATGCCGACCCGGCCGAGAGGGGCGCCGTCATGCGCGGCACGAGCTTCAAGAGGCTGAACCGCGCCGTCGCGAACCTCATCGACAGCTTCAGCATGGTCAACTACCTCAAGCTCGACTCGTCGGACGAGGAAAGCGTCGGCGCCATCCTTAGCTACATCGACGACGTCATACAGTACCACGAGGCGCAGGAGCCCAAGGAGCTGAAGGACGAGGAGCTCGAGGATGAGCCCGAGGAGTAGTATTCCGGGTAGTTCATCCTGACTTTCCTTGTCTGGTTTCAAAAAAGAATGTGGATGTGTGTGTGAAGCGAGGCGGGTGTGTCTCGCAGTCATCTCGGATTTCATTGCTTGCATAGCGCCGGAGTTGTGGTATCTCAAATTATCATGAATGCTATTCCAGGTCCATTTACACAACGCTGGTTCCCCCAAAAGTACGCCGGAGGTAAACCCTCGACCGGCGCCTGGTGCCCGTAAAACCGTTCTTGCAGTCATCCTGTCTGTCATGTAATCATCGGTACAATCATGTCAAAGAGAGGTGCTTGCTCAAGGCCGAACACCAACACCGTATAGATAGCATCACCGCTCACCACTCGTGCAGATTCTCAACTCGCCCACTCCTCCGTCCAAACTCACCATCCGTGTAGATCCACCCACCCATCCACGCCCCTCACAGCCCACCGCGAGCCGCTCTGTTCTGGAGATAGTCCTGCGCCTCCCTATTCCCAAAACTCTGCTGCGCCTCGTACCGCTCATACTCCCTGAGCCAGACGTCCCTCGTATACCGGTACAGCAGCGTCGCATAACCGCTCACCACGCCCACAAACGCAGCCAGGTCCCGCGCGGCCTGGTCGGGCCCGCGCTGCCACACGGCAGCCACCACCGCAGCGACGCATGCCCAGAAGACGAGCCGCACCACCAGCGCCGTGAACCACGCGACCACGCGCCGCACCCACAGCAGCACCTGCAGCGCCAACAGGAGGACGAGGACGGCCGCCGCGAGGACCACGACGTCGGGCGAGTTGATGAGTGCCTGCGCGGCGCGGTCGAGGACCGGCCGCAGCACGGGCGACATGATCTCGTTGTAGAGCGTCGAGAGGAGGTCTACGAACTGGCGGCGGAGGGTCTGGAGGGGCGACGAGGGGCTGAGGACGTGCTGGTTTAGGAGGGCGAGGGTCTGCTGGGAGAAGAGGGCTGTGGTGGCGAGGTGGTTAGCGGATGTCGGTGTGGAAGGTCGAGTGTGTGTGCGCGCTTGAAGATGTGGCCTGTTTATTTTGGCCGGGGTGCTGTCTGTGGTTTTGGTATGGGGGCTGGATGTGGCGTCCTAGGGGAATCTTTTGGAAGATCATTAAGGACATGGGCCAGGAATCGCGTACCTTCGCGGGCAAAGTTCAGGTTTTGCCAGAGCGTGTCTTGGAAATTATCTCCGCCGTCCATCGCAGGCTACCATCCAACCGTATCCGTCTGTCGGTCTGCCGGTCGAGCTGGGTCCCCGTGGTTTCCTTCGCACACCCTGTGGACAGCTTCTGGTTTGGAAGCGAGTACGATGCAGACGGGGAGGGACACACGAGGTGTGAAAAGCGTCAGCTGCGGTTGATTTCCTGCAAGAAGCGAGATGCCAGAATGTTTTGCTGAAGCGAGTGGGCTTTGCGGATTTGTGATGTGTTGTTGGTGCAGCAGCAGCATGGGTATAGGGCGCGACTCACGGGGCCCCAGATGCTCAATTGTCCACTGGAAGCAACCCGCAGCGGCAGGGGTTCGCGCTTCCCGCTGGGAGTGCACGGGCCAGTGGTGTCACAGGCCGAGGATCTCATTGTGATGTAGTCTTTCTCCTTGCTGATCCCTGCTGAAAACATACAGCGAACGGCTTCACAGACGGGACGGGGATATAGTAAAAGCATCGGGTCTTTTATCGTGGGTTTACGTGTTTCATTATCCATTTTTCGAGTATTGCGCGTTTTGTCTCAAGTGCAGCGACGGACCTGAAAGCTCCTCGGTAGACCACCCGCTGAAGCTCTTGCATCCGTATCCCTCCATGAGTAACACGTCTACATGTGAGACACTCCTCACCTCGTGACGAGGACAATGTCAACTACAACTACCCAACAAAGAGGCCGCTTCATACTATAGTGTGTCTACAGAATGAGGCTAAGCAAGAAGATATTGGTTGATGGAGCTCTCTTTCACCACACATCCGGCCCACTCGCGAAACGCGGTCGCTCCGGCGTGGAACACGGCCTCACACAGGGAACCAACACTGCCGTCGAGCATGCCGTGTGCTCATTATGCGGTACGTGACTTGCGCTCCTGTAGACGGACAAGTATCAAAAGCCTTGCTGGGCCCGCGTTTTGACTTGTAGCAAGATCCATTTCCGTATGCACGCATTCCGTGTATTTGCTCCAATTCTGTACCTCATACGAGACTCAAGGGCCAGCACGTCCGTCCCAAGGAAACATGCCTCTCGCTTGAAGTGATTCATATCATAAGACATTACTTTTTACCGCCCTCTCTCTAGAAACCATGTACAGTCGCTACCTAGCCGTCATGAAATAACCTCGTGGGTCGAGCTCCCAGTTTAAATACAAGAGTCCACCTCAGCCTGGTATGTTCAAAGAATTAGTAGAAGAAAAAGAGAAGGAAGAAAAGAGGGGTATCAAATCCTGTGCAAGCCCATGTGGTCATCAACAGGTGTAGTCGGCCTCGGAAACCCAGACCCAGGGAACCATTTTCGTCTTTGTTCCTGTCCCGTTTGCCTCCCCTTTGGAATACCCTCCCGAGCCTATCCTCACCGTCCCATCCTCCCAGCCCCAGAAAGGAGCATCTGTGTACGAACATGTGGAGAAAGAAAGGGACACCGCTGATTCAAGAAAAGAAAAGGAAATGTAAAGTCTTGGGCAGAAAGCCAGGCTGAAGTGACTGAAAGCTGCCGCGTCTGATATCATGGGTGGTGCCGTATCAAGCGGCAGACCAGAAGAAAAATGAGCAGTAGCGAGAGCGATGAGCAACGTAGTCACAGAGCAACTTCTTTCCGAGGTGAGGTGGAGCAGATCACGACTGGTCCGTCCCCTCGAGGATCCTCCTCGCAGCATCGATCCTCCTCCTGTACATCCGGCCCTCTACGCTCGCCCGGCCGCTCTCCGTCAGGCCGAGGACGCACCGACCCAGGCTCGCCACCGTACGCTCGACCAGAAACTGGTCGTCTCGGGGCAGCGTCTCGATGCCGGCCGTCGTGCTGCTCTCCTGCATGAGGCTTGCCGTACTGCTGATGCTGATGTTGTGCTTGTGCCCGCCGTGGGCGGCGGCGTCGTTCTTGGCCGTCTCGCCGTTCTGCATCTCCTGGCAGGCGGCCGTCGTGTCGCTCATGAGAGACGTCGTGATCGACCTCACTGCCTGATCCGGGGACCCGCCCTCGGGGGTGAGCATTCCTGTGCTTGACGTCTTGCTGCCCCTATTGACCAGTGGGAAGCTCCGTGTCGTGCCCGTGGAGTCGAACGAGGACACGGAAGGCCGGTGTGTTTTCGTCGCTGCGTTCGAGCTCATCGGCCGGCGGATCGTCGAGTACATCACCTCTCGCCTTGCCTGCCCTTCCGGACTGGGTCGGCCGGAAAGCCCGTACAGAGGCGAAGCGAGCCCGGTAACTGTCGCTCGCTTTTCCGTCTTCGGGCTGTCCATCGTCTCGGTAGAAGGAGTGCTAGGAGTGCTGCACTCCTCTGGCAAGTCGTCCAGGGTGTCGGCGTTCCTGCTACTATCCATGCTCTGCCTGCTTGACAGAGCCTCTTCGGCGGTTGCGAAAGACTCGACACTCGATATCGATGCCTCGCTGCCTCGCCTGGAATGCTGTGGTCTCTTCTGTTGATTCTCCGTAATCGGACCCCTGGTAGTCTCGATCGACGATTCTGAGGTGTAGCTGGCGTTACTGTCGCGGCGGGCCATGCGCTGGCTGATCGTACCCATGGCACTATGAAGAAAGAAATGCTCGTAATCGAAGGCGTCCTCTCGGTCCTCGTGTGAGACTTGGTGCTGCACAGCCTCGTGATAGAGCGAGTCCCCGCCTTCGCTCACTGAGTCAAAAACTTCTTCCAGCTCGTCCTCGTCTACATCGCCGTTCTCGGTGAACATGTCGTCGTCGTCTTCCACGTTGACGAAGCCATCCGCCCGGAGTGCGGCTTCGCTGTCGCGGTCCAGTTGTGCAGCTTGGCCATGGCCCGCGTGTTGAACATTCTCGACACTGTATATACTTCCTCCGTCGTCGTCGCCTATTTCGCCGACATTCACGGCACTGTCCTTGCCGACACTCGCGGTCTCGTCGCTTGAATGCCCCAGCTTATCAGGGTCACCGTCCGATCTGGTGTCAGAGCCCACTGTCGAGTCCGACGCCCCTGCCCACTGGCCAATTCGAGAGTAGGTAAAGGGACTCGGCGTGCGTAAGCTCTGCATGCTCCTCCTCTTGAGGCTGTCAGCCCGCGCTTGCTCCCGCAAGCTGGAGATCTTGCCCTTGAGGTCGTTGACTTGGTCCTTGATGTCCCTCATTTGCGTTACCGAGGCGGACCGGGCGAGACCTCGCTCGCTACCACCCCCATATGTCGGACTCGTGATCGAAGAGTGCCTATATGATGGGTCGAGGTGGGCCCGACTCGACAACTGTGATGCCTCGTCTTCGCTGAGCGGTTCGAGTGGTGCCTCACGCACTATGTACGACGCCCTCTTGTACTGGCCGTTCAGCTGATCCGCACTCTTAGAAACGGTCAGCGGCTGCCTGGCACTGGGGAGCCCAATGACACTCGACGACCTCTGCGGGTAGACCTTGATAGGCAAGCCGATGCGCAGGGAATTATCACTGCCCTTTCTGCTGTGACCCGAGAGAGCGGGCGATGAAGGAGACGTTGTCGACATGTAGAGTGCAGACGTCGCCCGTGCTATTGGCGGAGAAGGAGTTGAGCCATTGGAACCGGACGAGTAAGTTGCAACAGCCAGTGAGGTCCGAGCCCTCGTGAGATTGTCCTCCATAGTCTTCAAACGGCGAGTTAGAGCTGTGGGATTGCTTGTCTGGGGGGCTGTTTCGCTCTCAACTCACCGTCAATCTCCTTTTCGCATTAGCAAGAATGTGCTCAGCCCTCCTGCTCAGTTGGGCGGTCGAGTACTTTTGTCTGCTCTCATAAGAGAGGCTCACTGGCACACTACTCTGCACATCTGACGCGCCAGTAACGTCCGATTCCTCAACATAGGAACTAGCCATGCTCTCCTCATCGTCGCCCTGGAAGACGCTGTCGCCTCCCACACTGACAGCGTCACTAAAGTCTGCAAATAGGTTGGCCTGGTCATGGTGGTCGGTGACTGTGCTGTCGCTGCCGGTTGAGGAGCGGCGGTCTCGTTGTGCTGCGGCCTGTTCCTTTGCCTTCTTCTTGATAGCTGAAATACTCTCGCGCTGGCCCATCGTCGGTGAAGATCGTAGAGCAGCATCGCTCTCGCTATCTCCCGTCCCGTAAGGTGAGACCCGGACAGGGATGTGCCGAGGAGGTGAGGGCCTCCCGGGCGTGCTCTCAGCCTCGGTGACCTCGCCGATGTCTGAGAGCATTGTCCCGTTCCCGTAGATGATTGGCGTCGCGGGAGTGGCAGAAGCAAAACCGGTGAACTGTTGGTTGTACAGCATGTTGTTGATGTTGTTGTTGTCGCTTGATGATGCACCGGCGGCCTGGGCGTTCCTCCACATGGTCAGAGGCGACTGGGGACGGTTTGAGTCGAGGCGAACTGGCGAAGGGGACCGGTCGTAGTCGGGGTAGTCGGGCAGGATCATGTCCGGGTTAGTGAGGGTTGGGGAGGCGGGCAGAGATGGGTGATGGGCAGGCGCGGATCCTGTCGAGCCAGGTCGCGATCCCATGGTAGCGGCCATTTTTGCACTTTTTGGGGCGGTAGGGCGCTTCCCCAGAAACACAGTTGCATGCAAACGGCGGGGCCAAGGTCGAGGAGGGTAGAGGCCACGACGGGCAGGCCCTGCCTCGGAAGGCTTACTGCAGTTCCCCGGGGCCGAAGCTGGTCGTGCCTATGTCATGGGCGTGTGTGATGGAGAGCTGGAGGCGATGGTCTATAAGAGCGACTCTGGTCTAATCAAGAAGGGTGGCTGCCGGCGGCGATATCCAGTCGGTTGTGAGAGCAGCACGCTGAGTTGGGCCGGCGTATGGTCGAAGGTGAGGGTGCGGTTGCACGTCGCAGCGGGCATCAACAGGGCACGCACGGGGAAGTGTGCAAGCAATGGGCCGAGTACGTGTGAGTGCAAGTTTGGCAATTTCTGGCGTTACAGTCGAAAAGAAACAGACTCGGTGGAGGCCAAGGAAACACGAGGTGCGCGCTTCCAAAACACAAAGAGAAAGAAGGAGCTGGACGGGCCGGGGTGCGCAGAGCAAGTGGTTCTCTCAAGTGTCGATCCTGGCTCCAAGTGGTTTGGACGAGGTAGTTGGGCTTAGATGGGTTTGCCCCGAGTTTTGTTTTGGTGTCGCGGTCAGATCCGAGCAGGTGCCAATTGGTGGAAAGCGAGTGGACGTGGTGCAAGTGCATGCACCACAGGGCAAAAGGCGGGAGGGACGGAGCAGAGACAAGAGGCAGAGAGAGAGACAGAGAGATACGAAAGTCTGGTTGAGGGCCGGGAAGCGAGCTGGGATTGAGTTGCGAGAGGAGCAAGAGCGTGCACACGGCAAATTGGCTCTGCAGGTGCAACTTGCAGTGCAGCCAGAGCCGGGGCCGGGGGAGGGGGGGGGCAGGGACCAGGAGGGACCAGAACCATGAACGGGGACTGGGACCAGGACAAGCGGCTGGAGTGGAGAGTTGGGGCTGTAACAAGCGACTTGCACAGCGCTTGACCACAAGCATCTCCCTATCCGGGCCAAGATTTCAAGTATCGTGGTGGGTACGTACAGTAGCAGGCAGGTAGCTGGCGAATCAATATACATGCTGTGTGCCACGGCAGATACTGTAGTACCTGGCTGATAGGAGAAACGGCAGTGTTGCGCCCAGGTACCGGCGAGCTGGGCGACCGACGGGGCGCATTTAATGACTACAGGCAGTATTGCGCAGCAGCGTGGCATAGCATACTGTATAGGGCAGGCATACAACATGGCATAAGACCGCCTAAATACATCACCAATCTCGCTCTGTCCTGCCCTCGCTCCTTGTGGCCTGCGTCTTCAGCTGGGCCGGAGCCGGACAATGAGATTGTGTTTCCTAATGCGGCAGCCCATCGTACCGCACCCTCCTGATCATGTCTTGCCCATCCACCCGGGCCGCTCCCCTGCCTCTGACGAGGTCGGCTATAGCCTTTCAGCTGGGCTGATCGAGACAGGTGGGAACATGTGAAGGAGGCCGAGTCTCGGCCGTGCGATGCACAAGTTACTCTCTTGCCAACCCATCGGTGCCTAGGCAGGTAAACAGACAGACTACGGCCCAACCCAGATGCCAACCAAGATAGGAAGAGAGGTCGATGTAGCCCAAGATCTCGGCCCAATGCGGTCATGCATTCGAGCAGTGGCTATCAAGATCTGCCAGGATGTTTTCTGTGGTCCAGGCCGTCTGTGCCATTCAGGCCGTGGTCAAAGAGTGTGGTATTGCCCCTCGAAGGATGCCACAGAACCTTGCCGGAATGGAGCGCAGAGCCTCCCCAGAGTTGGGCCAGGTCGACCAAGTCGGGCGAGTTGGCGTGCTGGCGTTGCCGAATACTCACTCACCCACCCACTCACTTCCTGTATACACAGTAGTCTGATCTGTACAGTATCACAGGTGTGCCCACTGTGACGGCGTTTGCATTTAGGAAAAAAGGGGGCACGTTCCCACTGGTGATTTTCATTGGCGTCTGGTCAATTGCTCAATGCTCTGGTTTATTTGACGTTGCACCCAATTATGCACCTTCAGGGGCCCCCTGATCGTGATCAAGATTGCTCCTTTCTCCACGCGAACCCTGTACCTGCTTTCGCCTCCCGCCGGTAGGGCGCGGCAGACCTGTTGGGGCTTCTTCTTATTACTCTTCATACTTCGTTTATCCTTGGTCATCACCTGATCCACAGGATCAGTATCAGACCGCGTTCATGACGACGTCGAGATTGGAGGACTCTGTAAGTATCACACCAGCCGGTTCCTTCCATCGTAGATTGAAACTAATCCTCAATCCCCGACCGTCTGGGTATCCCGAACGTCCCCTGCACGCGCCTAGCCTGTGGGTCTTTTCGGCACTTTTTCGCTAACATGTCATTGGCCTTAGATGCGACCTGCCCTGGTCGGTCGGTGGAATGAGCCATGCCCTGTCTGCCCTGCGCTGCCCTGCGCTGCCCTGCGCTGCCGTGCGAAACTCTCCTGGACGAAACAAAAATACCTTCAATATTCAACGCTGCGGGACGGAGATGACTCTCGCGGCTGCAACGGTGTTCCCGTCCCCCGATGGGGCCACGGAGCCAGGCTGTGAGAAGCAGGACATAGCTGTCAGGACCTGGAAGCTTATTTATGCTGCCCATACGGATAATTCCCTCGACCGGCGGGACATGATACCTTTCGAGGCGCATCTCCGCCGGGCTTCATCTTGCCGTCATGTCGAAATTCTTGCAACCTTCGTTATGACTCGCAGAAAGCGAAACCGTCGATCATGCCTGGATCACTGTTTCCAGATCACACCCAGCGGTATTGGATACTTGGGGTGAGGTATAGCAGTCGACCTATTAATGCTGTCATGGCCTTGGGAACTATATCTGCAGGTGACCCTGGAGGATGAGGATGTTCTGCAGGCCGTCAGAGGGTGCGTCAACGCACGCCACTGCTGCAATTCAACCTGTCATATAGAGTAGTAAGCGAGAGGATTTGCAGTAAATAAAGTATCAGACACAGCCGTTGTCGTCAGTCGTCCGGCTCAAACGGTAGGCCAGACAGGGAGGACCCACCCACGTTGTGCGACACGACTCCTGCAACTCCTAAAATGAACGAACTGCAGTCCCTAGCGCCTGCCGTCCGGCCCAGCCCACCGTATCTAATCTAATCGATAAACCCAGTCCCGCCAAAAATTTGAGAGGCGCCGGCTCTGGATTTGCTATGCGCATGGATGCGATCAGCTCTCACACTCAGTTAGCAAATCCTCCACCAGCAACCTACAACACCACGGTCAATCGCAAAGATGCTGCGACAAATGTAAGTCCACGGAGAAGATCCCTCAACACTCTCAAAACTAGTTCTGACGAACACTTCCTTGCAGAAAACCCCGTAACGCCCGCTCCAAGCGGGCCCTCGAGAAGCGGGCCCCCAAGGAGAAGGAGAACCCCAAGACGTGCCTCTTCCTGCGCGGGACGACGTGCTCGCAGGTGACGCAGGACGCCCTGGCGGACCTGTACTCACTCCGACAGCCGCTGGCCAAGAAGTTCACCAAGAAGAACGCGATCCACCCCTTCGAGGACGCCACCTCGCTCGAGTTCTTCTCCGAGAAGAACGACGCCTCCCTGCTGGTCTTCGGCAGCTCCTCCAAGAAGCGGCCCCACTGCCTGACCCTCGTGCGCACCTTCGGCCACCGCGTCCTCGACATGCTGGAGCTGGGCCTCGACGCCGACTCCTTCCGCCGCCTCGCCCAGTTCCGGGGAAAGAAGCCCGCCGTCGGGCTGAGGCCCATGCTCGTCTTCGCAGGTCCGGCCTTCGAGAGCACCGTCCCGGACAAGTTCACCATGGCCAAGAGCATGCTCACCGACTTCTTTGCCGGCGAGAGGGGAGCCGGCTCCGACAAGGTCGACGTCGAGGGCCTGCAGTACGTCATCGTTATCTCCGCCGACGAGGCCGAGGCCCAGGCCGCCACCGCCACGGGCCTGGGCGACGGTTCCGTCAGCAAGCCCGCGATCCACCTGCGGTCGTACCTGATCCAGACGAAGCGGAGCGGGCAGCGGTTACCGCGAGTCGAGGTGAGTCCGCCCTATTTGCCCGTGACGAGATACCGGCGAGACTGACATGCGTTCCCCCAAACACACAGGTCGAGGAGATGGGCCCCCGGATGGACTTGCGCGTGGGCCGCATGAGGGAGCCCGACGAGGCCATGAACAAGGAGGCCATGCGGCGGACCAAGAAGGGCGAGGAGAAGACCAAGAAGAACGTCACCGTGGACTCGATAGGCGACAAGCTCGGCCGCGTCCACATGGGCAAGGTGGACCTGAGCGCCCTGCAGACGAGGAAGATGAAGGGCCTGAAGAGGAGCCGCGGCGACGAGGACGAGAGCTCGGCGGAGGAGGAGGAAGCGCCCAGCAAGCGGAGGAAGTGAGCGAGCTCGACTACAGTAAGGCCTGTTGCTTCTGGCGCGCGGACAATTTTGCATTAATGGTGTATGGCGTTGGCGGGTTCACTCATGGCTCAACTGCAGGTCCATTTCGGCTGGTAAAATACACTTGTGCTTCTTGTCTTCCGGGCTGGATTCATTGATGATACCTACAGCCCTATCTATGATACGTGATATACAACATGTACATCGAATCGCCCAAAAGGCCATTCATTCATTCAGTCCATGCCAGTCTGTTTTGACCAGCTACCCACGGCCTGGGCCCACGGCACAACAGACAATAATAGCTTACGGCACCACAGTGCCATACTCGTGCTGATGATGCCCATTTGATGGCGAGAGGCTTCACTTCAGTAAAGCGTTCTCGCACGTATGCGGTATGTTGTCGTAGACTCGTCAAGAGAGCGTGCCAGGCGGAATAGTATCCGTTCATGCCTTTTCCGCTCACATCCGCGGCGGGACCACGCGATGCCGCCCCGGTCCAGGTCCAAGGCTCGTGGCCTTCATTTGGCTTTGACTTCGAGGGGTCGTTGGTTGAGCCCCCAACCTTGCCGCTCCGGCTTTGAAGGGGCGTGCTTCCCTGTTAGACGCCCTCGACCGTGAGCGTTATTTGCGACGTGATCCCGGAGAACTCCCAGTCAGCCAGAATCACTTCCCTCGCTGGCAACAAATATTGACCCAGGACGGTAGACCTGGTCAAGCTTCCTCCTCATCGTCCCCGGGGTTTCGGGGCCGGGCGGCGTGGCAAGCCGGTAGCTCTGTTTCGGGGTATGCTCCTTCGGCCGTTCCGCTCGCCTGCTTCTGATGAGGAAAGACCTCGAATTAGCCACCGTCATCATCCCCGTGCATAACCCGCAAAAGCATGCATTGGTGAATCGGCAGGCAGGGGCGGGAAGCTCGAGTTCCACATAGACGGTTCGCATCCCCTGTGCATGGACCTTTGGGAGAAACAAGAGCACGCGTCAATTGACATCTTTCTCCACAAATGTGTGATAGAAAAATCAGGAGCATTCGAGAAGCAGGGAAGGGAGGAGGTGTCAGCTCACGTGTCGCTCGGCGGCGCGGGGACGGGCGAGCTTGGGTTGACAAGCTCGCTCAGCATCTCGATGTGGCTCGTGAAGGTGAGCTCGCTCGGCTGCTCATCGACCCAGCCAGGCCCCCACATGTCGACGGGTATGTGGTTGTGGCCACTGCTGCCCGTGTCGTACAGTGCCAGGCGGACCGCCCACTCGAGGTGCGGCCACCACTTGCGTTCGATGTCCGGGCCGAAGTAGTCGGAGTTGAAAAGTGATACGATCCCCAGAACCTCCCTCCTGGACATCCCTTGCAGCCACCAGATGTTGTCGAGCACTTTCAGCAGGGCGAAAAAGGAGGCAAGAATGGCGAGGGCCCGCGGTCGCCTCTCCTCGACGAGCTCGACAAAGCGCTTCGAGACAGTAGCTGGAAACGCGAGCGCCCCTTTGCCCGGCTTGCTATGCGCCCAGTTCAGGGTCGCCACTGCGTGTTGGTATGCCTGCCGAGTGCTTGTCGCTAGGTCCACGGGTTCGTTTCCAGGGAGGGCATAATTCGGATCGTGCACCGGGGTTACTGGCGCAGACGGGCCGAGCGCCGCGATTTCCTCGTCCAGGTCGTCAAGCAAATGGCCAAAGAAACCCTCTGTCGCTCGGCTAAAGTTTAGGTTTAAAACTGGCTGGGAGTCAATGATCGCAAGGATAATGTCGTTCTGCTTCAGCCAGGCCCACGAAGCCGCCACGACCGTCTTGACGCCCTGAAAGGAGTGGAACCAAGTCAGTGGTGGCTGATACACGCTTCCAGACGCTCCAATGTCCCTCCCTTCGTAGCCTCCAGCGTTCATCAGGGCAAACGGAGACTCGTCCTTTGTGAAAATGCGGGTAGCGGTGCTCTGGAAGGCGATAAGCGTGGAGGTGAGGAACAGCGTTGCGGCGTTGTCGGCGTTGATGCCGTTTTTTAGGCTATTGCTGTAATTGTTCAGGCACGACGCCATGTACGCATGGCCGGCGCGAATCAGTTCGGTGTCGTTCGGGCACAGACTCCTCATGTGCAGCGCGGACACGGCGAGGATGGCATCGACCAAGTGTGTGGACCCAGCAAAGGCGAGGTTCGGAATGGCGACGCCCCACATCTCTGCGAGCTCCGGAGAGGTGATGGCGAGTGTCTTGTATGTGTGGTTCGTATACTGGTGCATGAGGCGGAGCTCGGTCAGGCGGCCGATGGGTTGTGACCCGGGCAGCGGTTGTGCTGGCTGACGGTACAGCGGGATGGAGAACGCGGAGGATTGAGCAGTGGCGGGAACGTAGCCTGCCGGGCGAGGCATCGAGGCTTCCGAGAGCAGATCATCTAGCGAGGCAGCCTGGCCGCTGGAACCCGGCGAGGCCGTCGAACCGGCCAGGAGGGCGTGGAGTTCCTGGGCAACATCGGGGTTCTCGAAGTCGCAGGGTACGCCATGCTTGACGCAGTTGCCACAGCGTGGATGAACCTCATCGCACTGGAGTAGGTCTTGTGTCAGTCATTAGAACGTACGTACGTGGCGAGGCCCGTAGGAGGACGCGAGGTCGACGAGGACGCTAGAAATGGATAGGGGGGGGGGAGCTGGACCTTTATCTTGCGCGCCTTGCACCGGCGGCACCCCGCTCGACTCTTTTTGTGGGACCTTCTTGGAGGCATCGGGATGTCTCAGGAGATGACGCTCTCAATTCTCCTCTTATAAGGTAGGCAAGACCTTGGCCAAAGGCTATCTGCGTCCTTGCTACCGAGGCAGCAGGTTCATGGCGAGGCCTAAGTGGCTTGTGACCAGACCGAGACGCGAAACGGGGGAGCGGGCCGCTGTGTTCGGGTCCGTGCTCTTAGTCGTCAGCTCTCGGCGGAGTCGGGGGAGGGCAGGAAGCAGCAGTAGGCCCGGAGCAGCTGTCTCGGAGGAGGAGAAGGTCGGGAAGAGGACGTGTCTAAGGTCGCGAGTTCGAGTTGGAGGCGAGGGTTGGGAGTGGTATGAAGATTTGGCGAAGCGGAGTGGCGGGCGCGGAGATAGATCTACCAGATCTGTTGTCTGCTCAATCTGGGTCTCGCCAGGCGTACCAGCAGGGGGTCGAGCGTGCCTTGCTGGGATGACATATGCTTGCTTGCTATTGAGAGCTGAGACTGATGAATGACTTGACTGATTGACTGACAGAAACCTTGGACGTGAATTGCGGGATCAGGGGGGTGCTGGGGTGTTATGATTCGGGCCACTGGAAGGGCCCGATTGGCTCATACTGGGCCTGTGGTCGATCCGGAAGACAGTCGGTGCTCCCGGACCCGTCGACGGTTCTCTCGAGTGGCCCAGCCCGAAGCAGGTTGGCCTGGGCCATGATGGCCCAAGATGCACTAATGGTGCACACTGCCACCGCTCCGCCTTACGGGCGCGCGTAACGCAACATCTCGATTCCAGACGGCCTTCAGATGACGATGCTTGCTAGTGCGCTGGAAACCCAGCTGAGACGCAGCCGGCCGATGGTATGAATCGCCCGGGCGCTGGCGTCCGATGACAGGCGGTCACAGGTGTCCAGAGTGGACGAACGGGACGAAGTGGGCAAGAGGAGAAGTCTCATCCTTGCCAACGTTCTCGTTCTGGTTCTGGCAGTTTTCAGACAGGCGTTTCGTTTCCAGCCGCCGAGCCCAGACCAAGGGCAGACCATCGAGCGAAGAGCCACGTGCATGGCTCTGTCTACGGTCCACACTACGCGTGAGAGGGTTGATTCGTCAAAACTTGACAGGCAGATCTGGATCTCCGGAAAGCTTACTGAGGGGTGCAAGCCAACTAAATTTGTACATTGCGTGGGCTGCCAACGCAGATCCGGGGCGTGCAAGCCGGGATTTGGCCCCGTCATTCCTGCAGCCTCGCACCGGATTGACGAAATTGGTATGGGGCCGAGGTGGCTCATCTGGTGGTGCCTTCCAACTGGCGTGATAACACCAGCACCACCCCAGAAACCAGGACACACTTGTGATGCTATCGCGGCGAGCTTTGATATAGTGGTTTTCTGCCACGAGCGCGCGGCGGATGGATGCGTAGCGTCGACTATGGGGCAGGGGGGACGGGCAGCATGAACCTCACCATTACTCGTATCAGGCGAAACGGCCAGAATGGGCCAGGCGTCCCTACCTCCGTGGCCCAGAGTGTCACCCCGACCGGATGGCGGACGAGCGTGTGGCTGAGAGCTTCCCCCAGGTGGAGGGCAGGCAAGAGAGCTGGTCCCTGCCGGGGCGGTTGGCGCCTCCTCGCAAGTCCAGCATGTGACGGGACAACAACTCGCCGTGTCACCGTGGAGGCCACGGGTACCAGCAATTCTGATGAGCAGAGTTGTTGGCCCTGGTCATCACCACTATAAGACGAGATGTCATCCGGTCAGGGGAGAAGCGGTTCTGATTGTATGCATGAATCTGAGCTTCAAGCTGAGGCTGAGGTTGAAGCTGGTTTCCAAGCCTCGTGCCTGGTAGGGCTCGATTCCGAGTGCGTGGTGGTGGTTCTCGTGTTGAGGGATAGGCGTCGTTTATGCTGTTCACGTCTGGAATAGCGTGGACTAGATATTACCTTGCTACAAGACAGTCGGACTGGTGCTCGCAACTCAGATTCTGGTACTTGGCACCGCCGAAACTGTAGTCTGGTGTGCTAGAGATCTGGGGAATTGTGCGATGGTAGGACTGATTGGAATGGGTCCTATCTCGTTTTACATGCCAACAGATGTATTGTGGTTGCGAAGATCAGAAACATCAGTGTGCATGTGTGATGGGTCTGGGGGTGGCTCGGTGCTGTCTTGATGCAACGCATCCGGTCTGCTTGGAGTCTGAGATGGTATCAAGTGCTACGTACTGATCGTCCATGCACGCAGCATGTAATGTACGACATGGCACAGCCCCAAGGCGCACACATAGAGCTGTCGGCGGCGTCAAGAATGCCTCATCTGGGTATGCTGGTATCTCCGATTCGGGCATGTCGGAAGTCGGGATGATTCCAGAGGTGCGTACTCCGTACTCCGCAGGCCATGGGCTGTGGAGAATCCGAACCCGGTGGTGGGTAGGACAACGTCCGCTGTCACATCGGCCGAAAAGTTTACAACTGCAAAAAATCGTCGATTAGGTAAGTGGGGACCTGTGTGTGTCAAGGCGGCCGGGCAGGGCATTCTCGTATGATTTGGTTGACTCAGGATGTTTCATTGCCGGCGGCCAAAGGGTGTTTGTGTTGCGCAATCACTTGGCCATATTCCGAGATGCGATCCATCCAAGAGGCTCGCTCCTTCCCTCTGCGGGTAGGCTGGCAGACTGCCTACCTAGGTAGGTAGACTAGTAGTCCAGGTGGTGGTGGGTGGTGCACTATGTCGAACTGGCAGGTCGACACCACCACCACCTCCCGCAACCCACAACCCACCACCAGTGGCACCACCACCCAGTTCGGGCCCCTGACTAGCACCAGCCCCAGGTGGCGGCAGCAGCAGGCGCCAGATGCTCAGATACCCAGGTGTCTGGTGCCAGATAGTGGTCCTGGTGGCCCTACTGGCCCTGTCGCTGTGGGGCATGTTTAGGGCCTCTGGGGGTGACTTGCATCGATTGACCCGGTGTCTGATCCACCCTGCGAGCGGCTTCAATCGGCCTCGGCCACCACCCACTGGTTCCCACTGGTTCCCACTGGCACCCAGCTCGCAGCTTGCAGCTCCCCGGGCTGCCAAACTCCACCCGCACCTGCTTCGTGATGACGTGAAAACATTTCACCGTCCACAGTAAGCCGACCGACAGGCGGGTTCTGGAAGGGCGCAATGGTTGGGATGCATCCAGATTACCACCCGCCTGTCCCGTTTGTCCATCTGTCAGCAGGCGAAACAGCCAGAAAAGCATTCCCACTCGCATCCAATTAGTCAGTGGGCCCTTTTGTCTTCGATTGCGCCATCGCCCCTAGCGGATTCTCTCTCGTCATCACCGCCGTTTTTTCCGTGACTCTCTGCCGCTGGTGAGTCGATACCGCGGTTTGCCCTGTTCGCGTAGACTCTACACCGTGATCACATCTCCACACACACACATATATATATATATCCATCCATTGGCCTCACCTCGCCCTGCCGGACCTCTTGGCCTGGACCTGGCCCTGGACCTGGAGCGCGACTGACGATCCATTGGACTTCCTCTGCCTCTTGACCCCTCCTCCCAGCATCAACTACCGCCTCTTCAACCCACCGGCCCCCGAACATCAACAGTCCCGGTCCAGCCCCACCCCGTCGCAGTCATGACCGTCCCCGTCCTCAACGGCCACGCCAACGGCACCGGCCACGCCCATGACCAGCCCATCGAGACCCCGCCTCGCGCGCCCTCGCCGGCCCAGGGATTCGGCACCCTCGCCGTCCACGCCGGCTCTCCCCATGACCCTGCCACCGGCGCCGTCATTGAGTCCATCTCGCTGTCCACCACCTTTGCCCAGAACGCGGTCGGCAAGCCCGTCGGCGAGTACGAGTACAGCCGCAGCAGCAACCCCAACAGGACGAACCTCGAGACCGCCGTCGCCGCCGTAGAGCACGCCAAGTATGCCCTCGCCTACTCGTCCGGCAGCGCCGCCACCGCCAACATCCTGCAGAGCCTGGCCGCCGGCTCGCACGTCATCTCCGTGTCCGACGTCTACGGCGGCACCCACCGCTACTTCACCCAGGTCGCAAAGGCCCACGGCGTCAAGGTCACCTTCACCCCGGCCATCGAGGTCGACATCAGCGAGCACATCACCGACGCCACCAAGCTGGTCTGGATCGAGAGCCCCTCCAACCCCACCCTGCGCCTCGTCGACATCCGCAAGGTCGCCACCGCCGCCCACGCCCACGGCATCATGGTCGTCGTCGACAACACCTTCATGAGCCCCTACGTCCAGAACCCCCTCGACCACGGCGCCGACATCGTCGTCCACAGCGTCACAAAGTACATCAACGGCCACTCCGACGTCGTCATGGGCGTCGCCGCCTTCAACAGCGACGACCTGCGCGCCCGCCTGTCCTTCCTGCAGAACGCCATCGGCGCCGTGCCCTCGGCCTTTGACTGCTGGCTCGCCCACCGCGGCATGAAAACCCTGCACCTGCGCGCCCGCGAGGCCACGAAGAACGCCACCGCCGTCGCCACCGCCCTCGAGGCCCACCCCCAGGTCATCGCCGTCAACTACCCGGGCCTGGACTCGCACCCCCACCGCGCCATCGCCAAGAAGCAGCACCGCGACGGCATGGGCGGCGGCATGCTGAGCTTCCGCATCCGGGGTGGCCACGCCGCCGCCGAGCGCTTCTGCCAGCTCACCCGCGTCTTCACCCTCGCAGAGTCGCTCGGCGGCGTCGAGAGCCTGTGCGAGGTGCCCTCCAGCATGACCCACGCCGGCATTCCCAAGGACCAGCGCGAGGCCGTCGGCGTCTTCGACGACCTCGTGCGCCTCAGCTGCGGCGTCGAGGACGCAGAGGACCTGCGCGCCGACGTGATCAACGCCCTGGAGAGGGCGGTCGCCGAGACGGGCGTCAAGGGCAACGGCGTCAACGGTAACTGATTGTAATTATGTTTTTCGGGGGCTAAAGGTGGCGTTCTGTCGTTTTCTGAATGATGACGGGGAAAGGTTCCCCTTGTCAAGGCTGCATCAGCCCAAAATTAAAAACAAGAAACTCTAAAATCTGGGGTGCAAGGGGCTTGAGGCGTTCTACATTGGTCGGGCGTGTATTTGATAGACATGGTGTCATACCAACTGAGGAGCACATCAACATGGGGGGTTTTCCCAACTTTGGCCAATGATGGCCCATAACCACGCGAGCATTTGTCCTTGTCCCACCCATCCATCTCCCACTACGTATGTGTAGGTTTTCTACGTGTGCTACTACTGGTCTTGGTGAGGAGATGGCAGGCGATACTGCAGTTCAGAAAAAGAGCCGCAAATCATTTCCATTGAGTGCGGGCGGGTGGGTAGCTAGACATTAAGCACGCCTTCCCAATGCCGTCCTTTGCATGATGTATGTACCCCCTATGTCTCCCTTTCGACACAAGCGATCAAACCAACCGGCCTTCAAACCCCTCCCTCCGCCCCGATTCCCGAATTCCAGTTGGTTTGCAGAAGAAGAAGAAAATTGGGGAGACAACTAGCCAAGCACACGGTAATGCTCGTGCTCACTCATGCTGTATGTATGGGGTGTGTTTGTGGGTATGCAAGTGAGAAGTGACAAAAAGGCGACGGGCGCGCCTCAGCAGGCGAATGGATGGATGGAAGAGTGTATGAATGTATGTATGTAGGGAGAGGAAACCAAGCGACAGGGCAAAAGAAAAGAAACCAAGAAGCCCTCCCTTCCAACCCGGCCAATTTGAAACATGACAATGACTCCTATCCCCTTCCCCCCTTTATCCTTACAGACGATCCCCAATTCATTTCCGCCCGCGATTTTCCCTGTTCCACCATGTTCGTGAACAGGTGGGACGGGACGGGACGGGCCAAGGGGGAGAGAAGAGGTGGGAACCGTGAGACCATACCAGCAAAACGCCATACTATCAAAATCATCAATGCCCGTTTGAATCTACTTCCCTGTTTTCGGTTTTCAAACGGTGAATGGAGCACGAAAACAATGTCTAACAGGGAGAATCGGGAACGCCGAAATCACAGAGGTCCTGTGTGATGCATCAACGCTGCGCGAGTGGCCCTCCTGTCTCGCATTACCTGGCCCGCTTCTTTTTCTTCTTCTGGTGGTACCATCTCTCCACCTCCTACAACAGGTTCGATCAGTAAACTCGTTCACAAAAGTAGGCCTCAAAGTAGGGAAGGCTCGGGTTAGAAAGAGTCAACAGCTTACAGTCGCGAGCGCCAGGAACCGAGTGACCGTGGGCATACCACCCATGGTCGTGACACGCCAGTTAGCCATGCGGTGCTCGACCAGCTTCCTCGCGCTGCGGATGTACTTGAGCGGCGCCGTCCCGAGGTCCTCGTTGGTGATGTTGGGGTTCTTCAGCTGCCAGAGGATGATCTGCACCCAGCGCTCCAGCGCGGTCCACTGCAGGAGGTGCCCGCCCAGCGCGAGGGTCTGTTCGGCGTGCAGCCTGAACACAAAGTGTACGGTTCCGGATGGGAAGAACACTGTCTGGCCTGGCTTGAGGATCACGAACCGCCAGTTGCCCCCCGTATAGTTCAGCGGGTCGATCATCCAGTCCTCTTGCTCCTTGTCGGTCGGTCGCGCAAGCCATCCGAAGCCAAAGTTGCCCTCCTGGATCGTGATCCACGTCGACCATCCGTGACTGTCCATGTGTGGGGCTGTGTTGTGGCCGCCCTCGGACATGAGAACCCACTCGAGCAGCTCCGTCCACTCGTTCCACTCCTCTCGGGTCGCCTTGATCCTCTCGGCGCAGTGGCCCTCCAACAAGGCATCGCGGATCCGGGGAAGCAGCTGGCAGTTTTCGCCGGTCAAGAAAGACGGTAGTATCGACGGCGGAAGGGGACTTCGGAGGTCCAGGATGTTCCACGGATCCCTCGACGCCTGGCCCCGGAGGAAGCGCTCCCGAATCGCGCTTAGACTTTTTGTTTCGTAAGATGGCAGGTCAAAGTTGTGAGAAGGTATTTGCACGGAGACCTGTCTGCTCAGATCTTCCATGCGTTTGAACAGTTGTGCTATTGGACGTTCGCTGCTGGTCCATTTGAACTGTTGTTGACCTGTGGTGATGATTGGAAGCCGTTCGGTACCCCTTTCTAATATCGTAGAAGCCTCTTCCGAATTCAGAAAGCCGACATCAATGGGGCCCTTCCTGACGTCCGTATTTGGGTGCTCGCACTTTGACAGTATGGCGTGAATGTATCTATTTGTCGTTTCACCTCGAGACCAGTCGTCCTCCTTACGGTCGGTGAATTCGTATTCTAGCTCGACGAGAACCTTGCGCCTGAACTCTTCGTTGAACACCACGTCGGGCGGGGGTCGAGAGTCGCTAGAATGTGATTGTGGTTTGTTCCAGAACTCAGCATTCCCCGAAGGCGACTGCGCCTCAGTCTTGGACAAAGGCTCCTCGGCGTCCAACCGTCGCCTCTTTGGGGGCAAGTCAAGCTCAATTTCATCGATTCCTGGGATCGACGTTGCGCGCCTCCTCCGGGGCACAGCTGTCCATCTCGTGCCGGACCCCGTCTCCTCAAAGCTGAAGGTGTGCTGATCCATCTGCGGCGCCCTCCCGACTGTCGGCTGGGGCGTGACAGCCACGGGGGTCGCCGATCGTGTTGCCTCAAGGGCATTGGTAATGAGCTGGGCATATGAACTCAGATGCGAAGCGCACAAGTCGTTCCGGCACGCGCCGTACAGCTTCGCCAGGGCCTCGATACTAGAGCAATTCCCATCGTCCAGCGCCGACAGGAATGCTTGGGGCACGGCGCTACAACCACAGCGCCCACCATGCACCCGCGGTATTGAAGATGATAGAATGGGTGCTGATGGGTCATACGGCCGGCTTCTTGGTGACTGCATGCCCGGCCTGGGTCCTTCCGAGGGCACCGTAGGTGGTTGCGGCACCGGAGGACCCGGGGTCGTCCCTTCCCCTGGGGCGTCGTCGAGGCCATGTGGAGCTGCGCCGTTCGTACTTTCTGGTTGCGGCGCAGCCGTCGAAACCCTTTCATGAGAAGGCTCGTGGCGTGGCGTGAAGGCAGGCCCGGGCCGCGGGTGGAGACCATCAACTTCCTCGGGGCGGTCTACTTGCGGGTCGGTGATGGTGGTGTCACTGTTATCACCGAGGGAGAAGTCATCAGAGTGCCGGCCAGCAAGCTCGTCTGAGGACGTCGACACGGTTTGGTGGTCAGCTAGGGCTGGCGCTGGGCGTGGTCCGGGCGCCGGGGTTGGTGCTGGGGCCGTCACCGGTGATGGTAGAGGCAAAGGTGATGGTGCCTGGAGCAGATTTGGTTCTCGGCCTGTTGCAAGATGAGACTTGTGGCCGTTGACAGTCGGGGTCCCATGCGCAGGTGCATGCGACGGGGCATGGTGGGCTGGAGGAGTCAGGGTCGTGGGCGCAAGGCCTGACCTCATCTGGATGAGCCCCTCGGCCATCTCGACCTCGGCAGGATTGATGGGCGACATTTGAGCGCCATTGGAACGGGGCCAGGGGTGTGTGCAAGACTGGCTGGCGTTGTGAGATGCAGGTGCATGTACGGTCGCGGGCGCAGACGCAGGTGCGGGCTCAGGTGGGTTGTTGAAGGCAGTGGCTGCCGGTGTCGCGCTCCTGGAGGGGTCATCGTCAAGTGCACGGAAGACAGCCTGGCTGTAGAAAGGCTCGGGGGCGGCGTGAGGCTGTGGCATGAAGGCGCCCGCCGCGCCGGTCAGGTAAGCCATGGGGAGGTGGGTACTGAGTGATGAGGAAGGGGGACGGGAGCAGGAACAGGCATGAGGTCAAATCGAACCGTCCACCCAATGGGCCGTGAGGATGAGGCTGATGTACGGAGGTCTGAGGTGCAGGAGCTCGCTGTGTCGCCTCCCGCCTCCCGCCTCTCACAGCCAGCCCTGGGGGCGCCTGCGGCTGGGCAAGCAGGCGTCTGGTGCTGCCGCAAGTAGTGCTGGGCTGGAGCTCGGGGGCAGGCACTTTGGGGGGGCGCGCCTGGGCAGACGCGGCCATCCAATGGCGGTTGGAGCAACCCCACCACTCGGGAAGACAATCTGTGCAGTGTGATCTGGCGAGGTTGAAGACGAGTCCTTGGGCCCTTGGGAGGGAACGCGTTGGCACTCGCATTGCCAGCTGCTGATTGAGAACGAGGCTGAGGCTTTGTAGGTGGCCTACGAAACAAAAGGCAGCCTTGACTTGTCCCTGCTGCTGCCCACTGGGCTGGCCTGGCCTGACCTGGCTGGGCTTACTTGCAGTTGGAACTGGGGCTGGGGTCCTTTGTTTGCAGCCCGCTTGAGCTGCACTTGGGCAAAGACCCACGTACGGCCCGAGCGCCGACGAGTGATGTTCCTCGCGCCTTGTCTCCTCTCGGCCGGTTGACCCGAACCTCCTTTGACTTCCTCCCATCCTCAGCCCAGCAACATCCCATGCTGCTGGCCCTGGTTGTGACCCTCACTGACCTCTTGTCAAATGCTGAAACGTTCGACAACTGTGATTTGCAGATTTGCACCGAAGCGATCACCTCGTACCATACTAGTCAGTACCTTTGAACCAACAGAATTCACCACCCATAGCCACGAGGGACCACTCGACGGTCAGAACCGAAAAGAATAGCATATATGAGCACCTTTCACAAAAACGCTTGCCAAGTCTCCAGATCAATACCAAAATCTGTTTGTGTAGAACTCACCTTGACTCCTCTACATTTTTCGAAGCCTTTCTGGTCAGACTGCACGGCTGTGGTCATGGCTTCGGTCCGTCGCGGTCCCCGCTGTACTGGATGAGATGCAGACCATCACAGTGTGATGAAAATGATCGAAATCGGAACTCTGCAGTGCTCTTTCAAAGAAGGACGAATCTGAGGTCTTAACGCTTGCAAAACTTGCGAAATTCGGCCTCGACCACGTCTAACATCACCAGTCCCGTCCTGTTTTGAGAACCAGACAGGCCGATCGATCGCTCGAAACTCAGAGGCACTGTTCGATGAATGTTGAGATGCTTCATTTGGCATACTTTCTTCGCCGTTGGTCGGTCAACTGGAAGCCCTCGAGGGACTTTGGCAGAAGCCATGTCTGTGTTGAGAGTCGAATGCATTTTCCCTCGAGGTCAACGCGGCCAAGGTGCGGCTCTTTAGCTTCGGTTTGGATTGTTTCTTCGTATGAAGAACGTGAGGGTCCAGCCACTCACTGGTTCAGATCAGCCTTTTGCGTCAGGGCTCACATGTCCGAGGAGGAAATGGCCTGTGTCAGCATTCCAGTCGGGGCGGAACACTCAGCCAGGCAATGGGTATGCACCCCATAGGATGGTTGTCTTCCTGCGTGCCCGACCGGGCCAGCGCTTTCTGGAAATGGAGTGAGTTTGGCTCAATTTCGCTGGATCCTCGCAGCCACGCGCTGCGTGGAACAGCCAGAATACGCCCTCCCTTGTCAGATCACAGGCCTCACTCTCCACCTGACCAGGCCTGGTCTCACACAAGAAACTGGTCAGACTTCAGAGCATTGCTGGTAGCCTGAACCACCCCAAACCGCATGCAAGTGGGAACGAATATCCTATACGAGTGGTTGCTCGGGAGGGGCATGGCACCATTCCGCTTCCTGCATGCGGTCCTACGGTGTTTGAGCTTCAAATTGACTCAACGGTGTCACGTCGGTACAAGATGTTTTGTGGGAGGGTCTCCTTGTTCCGGAAGGTGAGCACTGTGAATCCACATGAAATGGTAAATTTCTGCTCCGATGCCTGTGGGACTCCTGGCCCGGCACCTATGCGTGCATCACACGTTAACATCAGCTGGGTTGAATCCCGCGATGTTGGTTGTCGCTACAAGTTGAGCTCAGCTCGGATACGAACTCCACTGCATGCATTGTGCGGGTCAATGCCGCTGGAGTGTCTTCTGACTAGTCATCTCCGTTCATGTCCGTCGAGGGCTTTCGACCGTGGTAGCGCCGTCGAGTCGAATCGAGTCGATCGCCGAAGCTTTGAAATCGCTCGTCAAGTAAACCCTCGGGCTTCCGCGGTCTGCTTTGAGTTCACCTCGGTACGTGCATGATCATCTGAGAAGCAGCCCTGGTGGTATGTATAACACATCCACTGGTTTTTTTTTTGGGTGGTGAGTCCAGTAGCATCCGAGTATTGCTCTCGAGGCTGCATCCATCACTCCTCACTGACACTCCACTTTGCACAACCACGGCCTTGTCAGACGCTTGAGCTGCGACCCGCCTGACCTTGCAGACGGCGGCACAGCGATGTCCAGAAGCACCGTAATTGGTCTGTCGCGGTACTTTTACTTCTTCCGGGGCGGCGGCATGCAACATCCATACATGAGGCAGGACCCACGCGCGATGCATGCGATGTAGCATCACTAAGTGAGAGGAACCCCAGGCGGACCTGACCTCTCGTCATTGAATGCGATGGTGGATTCTTGTTTCCTTTGAAGTCCGCCGGGGGTGGTTATGCGTCCCTATATGGTCAAAGGGCCGCACGGTCTGGCCGCAACAGTTGCCCACCCGTTATTCGTTTTTGCAGATCTTGGTTGATGGAAAATGAAGGCCCCGGTCCTCAACGGCGGGAGGTATTTGGAATGTGTCACCAACTTGACGGGCTTGCCTATCTGTCCCTAGCCGATTGAGGTTCTCTTTGTCTCAGGTCTCGGACTGCGACCGACCAGTCGGTTAGGCGCATCAACACATACATTTCTGGGAGTTCGTGTACCAGGCGGCTGGGATTCATTGTCCGAGACAACCACGTGCTGTTAGGCACGGGAAGTCTCTCGATGATTTCCGCCCGCCTAAAAGAAGCTTTCCAAGCCCTCGGATATTGATGGGTCTTGCTGCGCCGAGACAAACAGATGGATGTCTACTGCACGCTGTCACTCGTCGATTTCATCGTACTGACGGGAGATCAGGGGCGTCTGCTCAGCGTTGCCTGTTTGCCAAGCCCCTGAAGTTGCAAGCCTCTTTACCGTCTCCGTGGGACCGGGTCGCATTTGCAATTTACGACCTCCAAGGTTCGCAGTTGAGCCGCGGTGTCGCATCTATTTTGCGGCTGACGTTTGTCGCATTCCAATCGCGCCAGACCCCCTCCATGACAAGGCCCCGGTCCATGTTAGCGGGCCATGATGTCCATCAGGGTTCTCATCGAAAGATTGGGCCACGGAGAACCAAAGACCACTCCATGTTTCGCGCCGCTTGTGTGTGCTGGACAAATCCCTCATGCGCTGGACTCGGACTTTGCTTTTCCTTCTTTTCTCTATTGGCCTCGGTGTAGACGGGCATTCTTTCACTACTGTAATAAGAGAGGAGATAAGATGGGGATACCGGACCTCATGACCATGAATGCAATGGCGCAGGCAAGACTGGAGCTCTCAAGAACGGCATGCTTGCCGTGGGGGTGGGGTCAGATTGATCTTTCTGACCATCGCTACATGGACGCTGTCATCTGCTGACTCTGAGCTGGGCCGTGATGCACACACAGTCTTCAATGGCAGCCAAGGGTTTCACCGCCCACTGTGCCCTCCTTCTCTGCCACACTTGCCCTCCTCTTTTTTTCTCGTCCTGTGCTCGCCTATGAGAAGGACCCCACAGTCCACCTTGGCTGCAGGATATGCGATTGCTTGGCCCCTCATACGATCAAGGTCTGTTCCCGCGGTCAAGGCTTTTTCTCTGCCCCTCGAAACTCTTGTGGTCAGAGCTGCCCGGCCGTTATTGAGCTAACAAGCTCACCAAGCATTTTCAAGACGATCTCTGGCGGCTTGGTAGCCCCCACCAGCGGAGTCTAGCTCTGATGTGGGCTTTGGCCTGGAGCTTGAAATGGATTTCTTAGTCTCGGTGCCCGATCCGCGCCTAGTGTGTCTGGTTGGCGAGAAAGAAGTGCTGCGCCCTAACAAACCCAAATCCAACAGTCGTCGGCAACGCTGAGAAAAGAGAGGTCTTTCTATGGATCAAGAACACACATTCTGCCCTAGGTCCGAGGACTGACCGAAGACATGAAAAGTCGCAAGCATGCTAACCAGAATACGGACTGCTCCGAAACCTAGATCAACACAGCAGTAGTTGGCGGCAAGCCCTCAGAGCCGAAACAGATGATAGACAGAGATCCAGCTCATCCGATGTTTATTTCTTGAGGGTCGCGATACAGGCTTACCATATTGATGTCTCCCACTGTCGCAGTTGCCTGTTGCGAGCAAATCTGAAGAGGCTGCGAAAGAGAGTGAGGATGGCGAACTGGACGCCCCGTCGTGGTCAGTCCTTGCGTCGAGCATCGCCTATCGTCCATCATAAAGTCATTTCCATCTTGGATGTCTATTTTGAGAGCATGTCCGAATGGGTACAGATGGCCGGTCGTGGGATTGGCTCCATGTGTCAGTGGTGTCAGTTGCGTGTTTCTCCGAATGCGTGCGTGCCTATGGAGCGTGAGGTGAGGTGGGAGGAGAGAATCGGCATGGTCAGCGGGGCAGGATGGTCTGGGTACATGAGTACATCGGGGATGAGCGCAGACCATGTCCATCAAGGTCCTCGCGCGTGTCGTCGCCCTTGCTTCTTTTTACAGCTCACTCGGCCGGTCACCCACCCCTGCGAGGTTTCGACGCCGACCAGGAAATCCTGCTGAGCCAAAGCGAGGACCACATTGACGCAGCCCACATGCCCGCAGATCCCATTGTTCCTCACCCACCAAGCGACCCCCCTGGGGGCCAATCAAGCAGGCCTCAAAGGCTAATCTCACGCATGCGGTTGGGTCTCCTGCGGATTTAGCAGCACAGCAGAGCAGACCCACCCCTCCCAGGTGAGCACCTTGATGGTCATAAGCGCAACTGGCTCGGCCACGGCTCGCCGGTGATAGTAGGGAACGGCTGTGGTGACTTGTGGTAGACTATCGCAAGGCTTTGCGTCTCTGCCCCACGGCGGCCCCATCAAACATGCCCATGCCCATGGCCGTCGCGAGCTAACCACAGTTCCGCACAAAACTTGCCAACCCACTTTCTTCCTCCCTCCCCCTCCCCTCCTACCTTCGATTATCTGAACTACACACCTGTTCGTCGCCTACCCATCACGCATCGATAAAGTCTCTGGTCCATCTCTTGTTCTCGGCGTCTCGCTCTCAGATGCTCTGTCATCCTCCTTCTCACACCTACCTGACTCAGCTTGGCGCAGTCCCTCAAACCTAATCATCCTTCTTCTTCCTCCTCGCCTCGTCCTCACTTTCACTTCGACCTCGACCATATCCGCCGACCGATCAGCCAGACCTCACCCTCGTGCCCCACAAGGCCCCGTCGAGATTCACCATGTCTGCCGAAGATGCGGGTAGCAGTGTAACCGTTGATTGCGGTTAGTCGGCCCCCTCTCACGCGGCCCAGGTTGTATACAACTTCGGCCTGGTGCATCGTCCCACCAAGCAAACGTGAGCGAAACGTGCTGACCCTCGGCATCTGTAGACACGGGCAACGAGTACGATGGCCGCCTGGGCCTTCGCATCAGCTCCATCTTTGTCATCCTGGTCGGCAGTCTCCTGGGCGCAGTCGTTCCCATCGTGCTTGCTAGGTCCAAACGCATGCAGGTGCCCAAGACGGCCTTCTTCATCGCAAAGTACTTTGGCTCTGGCGTTATCATAGCCACGGCCTTCATTCACCTCCTCGCCCCCGCAAACGAGGCCCTTGGCTCAGAATGCTTCCCCGAGGACTCTGCCATCAAGTCTTATTCTTGGGCTGAAGGCATCGCTCTCATGTGAGTAGCTTCATGGTCTCCCCTCTCACTTTTGCTTTCTTGTCTCGTGTAAATTTTCAAGCGTCGATTCATGGCTTCTCGGGCACGTCCTCAGGACTCGGTTGCCATGAATCATGTGTTTGTCTTTCATTTTTTTTGCCAGAGACTCTTGATGGCTGACCTCGTTCCACAGGACTGTCTTTTCCATGTTCTTCATTGAGTTGCTTGCGAGCAGGTTTGAGTGGAACATCAATCTCGCCCACACCCACGACCCATCGATGGAGTTCATGTCGCCGTCCTTTAAGAAGGGAAGCGACGAGGAAAACGGGAGCGGCCGGGTCCCCAGCACTTCGGCTGCGGTCTCAGCCGGCAACCAGCACTCCGGCTTCACGAGCGAGGTCACCTACCCGCCCGGAGGCGAGGATCACCTCGGGCACAAGCGCGAACACATCGATCCCGAGTCCTTTGCCGCGCAGATGACCGCCTTGTTCATCCTCGAGTTCGGCGTCATCTTCCATAGCATCTTCATCGGCCTCACCCTCGCCGTGTCCGGCGAAGAGTTCACCGTCCTGTACATCGTGCTCGTCTTCCATCAGTCCTTCGAGGGCCTCGGTCTCGGCTCGCGTCTGGCTGTTGCCCAGTGGCCCCAGGGCAAGGAGTGGCTGCCCTACGTCCTCGGTACCGCGTATGCCCTCTCGACCCCGATCGCTATCGCTGCTGGCCTCGGTGTGAGGTCGAGTCTTCAGCCGGGCAGCCTGATGACTCTGACCGTCAACGGTGTCTTCGACTCGATCTCCGCCGGCATCCTGATTTACACCGGACTCGTCGAGCTCATGGCCCACGAGTTCATGTTCAACACCGAGATGCGTAAGAGCAGCATCGGCATGACCCTCGCGGCCTTTGGATGCATGTGTCTTGGCGCCGGATTGATGGCCCTGCTCGGCAAGTGGGCGTGAGCGGGCAGACTTGATGATGGGAGGAGATTTGTTAAAATAGGAGGAAAGCGGAACCCTCAACCATCCGACCAGGACTCTCTTCGACTCTGCTCGACTACTGCGGGGTCTTGTCACCTCAATAATTGCATGTTCGTTGGTGGAATTCGTTTGTGATTTGTGATGGAATGGATCTGTTAGAGTAAGTCTGGCCCCACGTCCCCGTCCGCGACACGACTAGAGGCTCGGGATGAGTGGGGGCTAATGCAGGACGGCACAGCTAGACGATGCGATACCCAAGAGCGTGCTTTAGGCCATTCATCTAATGAGAGTATTGAATTTTTCTTGTCGAACCCTATTCAACGAGGCGGACTGTTGCTACCTAAGGTGCAAAGCTTGCGACTGTGACGATGGCAGTGATTTCCCACGCAAGGAAAAAGAAGTATATCATCAACCTGTCCTGCTGATCCGCCCGGCAGGCTCATGTGGCTCTCTCGATGTGTCTTTACTAAACCAAACCACACAACAGCAGGGAACTAGCAACCCGGGATGCGAAAAACGAGCGTGTGGATGCCGAAGCCGAATATCAACACATATCAAGTTTCCATGATGGAGGGTTGCTTAGTGCTGTATGGTCCCGATGTCAGTCTCGGCATATGTTGCAAGGGGGAGGCAAGGGGACGACGGGGCTGAGTGGTCATCGTACCTTGCAAGAGCCGCAAGAGCAGGTGCCAGCGCAGGAGCTAGAGCAGCAGGAGGTGCAGGAGCTGGGTGGAGGGATTCGAGGTCAGCAGAGGTTCGCGGCAGACGAAGGAGGCGTGGACGGTATGTGTCGACCGGGGCGGTACCGCATGAACCGGTGGTACAGTTCGGACGGGATCACACGGCCAACCACTTGGAGGGAGGGGGCTCACCAGGGAGACATGTTGATTTGATGGAGATAAAGTCCTGAGTGACTCGAGGTGTGTGTGTTTGGTATGTGTCTTGTGTTCTTGGATGGGTGGTATTCTTTCAGGAGGTTTGGGAGATGAGAACCTTTGTGGACAGGAAGGACAAGAGGCGAAGAAGAACGGGGGCTTTAAATACCCCTTCCCTCAGAACCTCCCCTTCTCTCCTTCGCACCGGATTCCATTAGATAAAACTACAACCCGGGGCGTGAGGGGGCGCCCATCCTCCATCCCACGAGGTCGCACAGCATGTGCAAGCCTGGTCCTCTGCAGGAAGTAGGTAGGTGATAGCCTTGGGCGATCTTGTGTGGTTCGCTCGCTTGTCTCTCACACACACTCACGCACGTACATGGAACTGTACGTACGTACACTCGCACACATACAGAGACATGCAGATACACACGCCCACAGACACTTACACATGCCACCCACGCCACCCACGCGCGCTCCACACGCACCACACCTCGCAGCTATATGCAGGCATGCACGCATGTGCTGGCTAGCTTTCCAGCCGTATGGATGGATGGGGTGTGTGGGCGTGGGTTACCTTGGCCTCGGCCAAACAAGGCGTGGGGACAGGCCGTCGTTGGGCAGACAACAGCAGCACGAGGCATGCCTCTTTACTGCATAGTACAACCCGGTACATGCCTGATGGCAGAGTAACTACGAGCCCGAAGCTCCGCAATAACTGACTCTGCCAATGCATGTACTGGACCGACCGGCTCGGCGATCCCCCAACTTCGGTCTCCAACTCCCTCGGTCGGCGCGGGCGTTCCTCCTAGCTGGGCCACCCTGGATGTCGGTCGGTCTGGTATGGCACCTGGGCGCAACTTGCCCGGGGATTGGCTATTAGGCGATAGCGATGATTAATTATCAGCTCAACATACCACACTTTGCCCCGTGGGGAGGAGGGCTCGAAAGCTCAGGTGTGTGGGATGGGGGTTTCGGTCAGGCGTGGGTGGTATAGCTAGCTGTCCCCACCCCCTCCTTGCACCCACTGGTCCCGTGGGACGTCCTACCGAATTTTGCCCAGCCTTGCTTGCCCTCCAACTCGTCCAACGTGTCGCGAGGGGAGGAGGATCCCATGGGAGGGGTTGGGAATGGGTGCTCTCTGCTGTGAAACCTATCCTGCGGGCGTGAGAACTCAACCAGCAACACCATGTGGTACGTAGGTGGTATCGGAAGTAATGAGCGTCTTGGAGAAGCTCTCCTATGGTAGCAGGCGGGCGCGTGTTGCCGGGACGTGTGACCGGCCTGATGGCACTTCCCGAAATGGCCTCCCGGCGTGCGGGCGGCTGGGGCGCGCCGTCCCATCATTGGGCAGCTGTCATAGTGTTGGCTTGCCTCGATTCCCTGCATATCATCCCACTTGGCATGTATGTTTGTATCCATGTGTATGCGTGTACGTGTATGCACGCGCCACTTGTGCGTATGTATGCATGCGCCGTTTGTGCGTACGCACGTCTATGTAGGTCAGACAGAAGGCGGAATGGTCGGTCTTGTCGACTCGGTTGGCCTCGGACTGGAGGACGACAGGGTGATCGCCATGCGTGGCATTCGCCTCAAACGATGCGCGCCTTGCGCCTTTCGAAACAACTTCGAGTCGCTGGTGTCTGACACAGGGGCGGGCGCGAGCTCATGGGATTGGCCGGTCCGTCTTACTGGGGCTTCTATCTGAGAGGGTGTCCTCAGGCACGAAGGAAGGAGGTTGGTGGCGTCGAGGAGGTTGGGTCTAGACTTACATCAAGTCTTACCAGACACTCTTGTCTTCCACTCTCGACTTCCGCGTATAGAGGACCCTAACAAGTGACAGCACTGATCGACTCTTGTGTGTGCTGCAACTGAAATCAGACCGCATCGAAGTGCCGTGTTGCCCGGGAGGTTGGGTCTCAAGCGGCCCTCAAGACATAACATACAAGACATGATTAGCTCACCAACAATGCGGGAAAAGGTCTCTGCCATAGGCAAGTGCTCGATAGAATTGCCATCAAATGCTGTGACTCCAAAAGTATGCAGTGGTATCCCTTAACCACAACTCCTCGCAATGCGAATTCAGACGAGGCTGGACCATCCTGGTGGTACGCCTCCCTTGTGTGCTGCTCCCCAAATCACTGGCCCTCCGTTTATGCATCCAGTCTGCTCCCCACGATCCCGTCCGTATTTCGTACACTTCACTTCCAACATGAGAAGCCATGAGGCAGACCGCAACCGAAAAACTGGAATAAGTTGGCATCTTCCTGCAATGAGGTTGGCTTCATGTCTCACCAACCTTTCGTGGGTGACGATGCAGTCCAGGGTGGTCTCTGCTATCACCTGCACTTCCCTGAGTCGTGGTTGAAGACGGGTATCGTTCCACTCTTTCGAGCCGCCGAAGGCGTTTCGCCGTGTCGACGCTCCCTCCTGAATCACTTTGGGTATCGTCCCCGTCTAGTCTCGAGAGCATCAGTCCCACTGGCTCTATTGAAGCGAGGCTTGGATCCCCGGGTTTTCGTACGGGACTGACTTCTCGTCCCCCTCTAAGGTCCATCTGTCGACGCACTTCTTGCCCTGGCCTTGTTAGGCCTCGGGCTCGGAAGATGAGGAACAGGCAGGGCGCCGGAGACGAGATACTCTCTACGCTTTTGCTTCGAATTGGGCCCACGTCGGTTCCGATGCGGCCGCTCGCGGACGCAGTCGTCAAAGTCGGGACGAAGCATGGCCTTAGCATGACGCTGGTACCACGGCCTGACGTCTCCGTCGCTGGCGTTGCTGTTGCTGCTGCTGGCCGGCGTTTTCGGGGCCGTCCGGTTGGCTTTCTCGCTTGTGCCCTTGGTCGTGGTGGCCTCGGCCGGCCCCTCCTCGCTCTCAACCTTGCTGGCACCATTAATGCTGACTTCAGAAGATTTGGTCTGAGACATGTTGTTGAGTATTTGTGAGAGCAAGTCCTCCATCTCCTTGGACCTTTTAGGCGCAGCGGCCTTGCTAGACTGGCTTTGCGAGGTGGCCGACTGCGTGCTGCCAGAAGTTTGCTCCTTCCTCGCCCTCTTTTGCGACTCCTTCCTGGTCTCGCTCACGTCGTTGCGCCTTCTCTTCTTCGAATTCCGGATGTCATCAAAGGCGCCATCAAGACCAATAGAAGGCTTCTCGTCGTGCACGTTGCCGTTCGAGGGGTCGCCTTCAGATGACACGGAGGAAGTAGAGTCGTCGGCCTTGTCCTGGACCAATTCAGACTCGTCATCACTCGAATCTGAATCAGAGTCAGAAGACGAGACATCATCCTCGCCATCTTCTCTTGGCTCCTCTGCAGCTTCCAAGTATGGTCCAAGATGCCGCTTGAACCTCCAGAGCTGGGCCCTGATCAGGTTAAGATCAAGCGCCCGCTCTTCGGAAGGATCCTGATTGTAGAGTGCCGTTCTCTCCTCTAGCGCTTTTGTTCTTGCCCTGATGTAATCCCTCTCTCTGCTGGCCATGCGCTCGCACTGTCTCAGGACTTCCTCACGGGGCAGCCAGTAGTTTACACTGAGCTCGTCGACGGGTCGGAAGGCCTGGAGCAGGAGCGCCCTGTCGAGCTTGTTACGCTTTCGCATCAGGGTTGAGGTCTTCTTCGTGATGATTCGACGGGCTTTCGGGCCCAATGGCTTCGGCAGCTTGGGAACGGCTCTGTCGCGCGCATCGTGAGCCTCGGGCCGGGTGGTCGCCGATTTCGATGCGTCGTGCCGATTGACCTTCCGCTTGTTGACGACGACGCCACCCTCTTTGGAACGTACTGCAGCCATAATGTCGGAGGCTGAGACGCAAGAGGGGGGGACGAGGGGGAAGGGGGCAAGTGACGATGATTTTGGATGCGACGAAGAAGTGTCGAATGGGTCTTCGCCTCGTCGATGACCTCGAAACTTTTCTGCGGGTCGGGACATGCGAAGTGGGGTGCCGAGCCGGAACCGAATCGGCCGAGCAGCTGGAAAGAAGCAACCCCTATGCACTAGATGCGGAAGCAAGTTGTGGCAATTGTCGCGAGGGACCTCGTTGCTGGGTAGTGAAGTAAGAGATCAAGACGCCTCGTCAGTCTGAAGATGACTTCTGCAGTTAACACCATGCACTGATTTGGTGCTGTTCGCCCCAATTGGTTTGGTGCTATTCGCTTCAACGAGTTGCGAAGCTGGATGGACATTGATGCTTCTTCTCCGTAACACAACACAATGTCTTTCCTGTTGTACCGCGACGCGGCAGGAGCTGAGGCTCAAGAGCCAGGCCATGTCAACTATGCCATGGTTGCGCTTGATCTTCCAGCCCGGCATGGGCCACACACACATTGCGCCTTCGGCGTGAGGAATAATGTAGATAACGGCTTGGCCATTTTGTGACTGTCAGGTTCGGCTCGGGAGTGACGACAGCTGCGTGCAAGTGTTTCGACATGAATTCATATGGAGCCCGACCTTTCCAGATTCATACTGCCCAAGCGTCGACATGTAGTGACTGAGGGTTTAGCAGATTGGAGCTGAGCGCGTCAACAAACTATCTATCAGATCCTGGGGAACGGGAACTCAAACGGCCAAACCCCACACCCGAAGTGCCAGGGGAAACCGCCGGACCTCGGCATCTCTGGGGATCGTGGCAGCTCGGCTTGGGGTCAGGGTAGATGTGCGTCTCTCCTCTCTCTTCGATTGACCATTGAGCAGTTCATCTTTTGTATCCGTCACTCGTGATCTCATTTTCTAGCATTTCGTCTTACACTCCATATCAACATCAACACCATTTTCATTGACTTCAAGATGAGCGGTCCCGGCGTCGGTTTCGAGTATCCTCCTGTGCCCGTGGAATGGCTCAAGCGGGACGCACTACTCTTCGCCAACAGCATTGGAGTCACCGCTGATGAGCTGCACTTCCTCTTTGAATTGCACCCTGACTTTGCTGTGTTCCCGACCTATCCTGTCATCCTGCGTGAGTTCGCCTCACCCGGGCCTTCCATGGGGCGACCGGTGTGCGTCAACAATACTGACTGTCAGTCCAGCATTCAAGGGTGCTACCCAGGAAGTCATTGACTTCTACGCGGCCCAGAAGGCCGTCAAGATCCCCGGTGTGCCCGACTTCGACCACACTAGGGTCGTTGACGGCCAGCGCTTGCTGCAATTCTTCAAGCCCCTGCCGCCCTCCTCGGAAGGCAAGAAGTTTGAGATCCGCCAGAAGGTGATCGGCGTCTACGACAAGGGCCGGCCCGGCTCCGTCCTCGAGACACAGACTGACCTCGTTGACGCCACTACCGGAGAGGCCTACTCGCGGGCCATCGGCAGCGCCTTCTTCGTGGGCCAGGGCAACTGGGGCGGGCCCAAGGGCCCTGCCACGGTCAACTTCCCGCCGCCAAAGGGCAAGCAGCCCGACGTGACCTTTGAGGACCAGACCACCAAGCAGACGGCGCTTCTGTACCGCCTGAACGGCGACTACAACCCCCTGCACGCCACCCCGGAGCCCGGCAAGAAGATGGGCTTCGGCGGCGAGATCATCCACGGCCTGTACTCGTTCAACTCGACCGCCCACGGGCTGCTCAAGCACGTGGCTGGCAGCGACCCCAAGAACCTGAAGGAGTTCCAGGCGAGGTTCGCCAGCCCTGTCAAGCCCGGGGATAAGCTGGTGACCTCGGTCTGGAAGACTGGGGAGATCAAGGATGGCTGGGAGGAGGTCCGGTTCGAGACCAAGGTTGAGGGCAAGAAGGTGTGTCTAAGCAATGGCCGCGCCCTTGTGAAGGCCGTTGGGTCTACCAAGAGCAAGCTGTAGATAATACTGAAAAGTGGCCATGCGCAATGAGATCGTACGAATTGAGCGAAGCATGTTGTGAGCGCGTTCCGTTGAACAATGAGTAGAGTACTGCCGTTGTGTTGGTGGTGTGTTGGAACGTAAATTGAGCCCTGTAGTGGCCCCTCTCAGTCCGAAAGGTCGCTGTAAGTACACGGCAAATTTGCCGTGCACCTCAGCAATGAGCCCCTGGCTTACAGGCGGTCCTTTGCGAATCCACCACCTAGGCAACTACTCAAGGAGAAAATCGTCACACCAATTCACCGTTCCTTTTCTCCTTGGCGGTCCTCAGAATACCACAACAAAAATGATACAACATGCCTGCGAGCCCTGATTTTCAAGTCGGCCAGCGCCTTTCCTACGATGGCGCCCTCTGCACCGTTCGGTACATCGGCCAGGTGAGCGGCACCGCTGGAGACTGGCTTGGCGTTGAATGGGACGACCCGTCCAGGGGCAAACACGATGGCTCACACAAGGACGTAAGATACTTCACATGTGAGAAATGCCCTTTCAGGTGCAGGCACCCGAGATGTGGTGTTGACGAACCGTGCAGGCCTCTCCAAGTCCCCAAAGGCCGCCTCTTTCGTCCGCCCCACGAGGACAGCAGATGAGCCGCGGACCTTCCTGGAGGCCCTTCATGAAAAGTACGCCCCAGCCGCCGCCGCGGACCAGGCGCAGGCGTCGTCCGGCCAGCAGATCGTCATATCTGGCAAGGTCGCCGAGGAGATCGGCTTCGACAAGATCCGCAGACAGCAGGCGCAGCTGAGCGAGCTCAAGATTGTCATCCTCGACAGCCTGCGCGTCTCCTCAGCGTCTGCGCCCGGCGAGCAGCCCATCTCGGAGGCCTGTCCCAAGGTCGTCGAGCTGGACGTCAGCCGCAGCTTGGTTGTCGATTTCCGGGAGATCGTCGATGTGTGCTCGCAGCTCAAAGCGTTGCGCCGCCTGGGACTCAAGTAAGTGGGCTGGCTCTGCGTGCGAACGGGGCCTCTGGACTAAGTCTTCAACAGTGGAAACCGATATGAGGAATCATTGCTCGCAGGCCTTCACGTAGAATCAGCACGGGAAGCTTTCAAATCTGTGAAAGAGCTTGCGCTCGATGAGACCCTCCTGGGCTGGGATAGCATGTGCCACATATCTCACTGCTTCCCGTCTCTGGCAACTCTGCACGCCAGCACCAACCAATTGTCCCGGCTCTCACCTTTCGGCGCCACTACGGCTACGGAGACACTGACTACGCTCTATCTCGAATTCAATGACTTCACAGCACTCAGCGACCTGGCTTGTCTTGGCCAATTGCCTTCGCTGAAGAACCTGCATCTCAAGGGAAACAATATCTCCACCGTCACCGCCGATGCATCCAAAGACACACCAGTCTTCAGTCACACGCTCACCCACCTCGACATCTCATACAACAAGATCAGCAGCTGGTCCTTCGTCGACGCCCTCCCGGACTCCTTTCCTGGCCTGAACTCCCTCCGTCTAGCCCACAATCCCGTATACGAAGACCCGGGTTTCGACAAGTCCAGCGCCCCAGCCTCAGCCGTCGGCACAGCAGGGTCCAAGGCCACCGTGACGGAGGAGGCCTATATGATCACCGTTGCGCGGCTGGCCTGCCTGCAGACCCTGAACTTCAGTGCCGTCACACCCACGGACCGCACCAACGCTGAGATGTTCTACTTGTCCCGGATCGGCCGGCAGCTCGCGTCCGTGCCAGACAGCCCCGAGGCTGAGGCGGCGGTCACCGCCCAGCATAGGAGGTATGCGGAGCTGTGCGAGCTTTACGATGAGCCTGTCGTTGTGCGGAGGAAGGAGGTCAATCCCGCATTCCTGGAAGCGAGGCTTGTCAATGTTGCTTTCCGGTTTCGTGAGTCATCGCGAGGTGTGGGAGAGGGAGGCGGTGTGAAGGCGGTGGAGAAGCATGCGCAGATACCCAAGACGTTTGACATCTACGCCGTGAAGGGTATTGCAGGCAGACTGTTTGGGCATGAACCGCTCAAGCTCCGACTAATCTGGGAGACGGGCGAGTGGGACCCCGTGGCGGGCTTCGATGACGCTGGTGACAGCAGTGATGAAGAAGATCAAGATGTAGCCGGAGAGCGGGAGGCTTTGGATCGTGCCCGGGATGCCCAGGATGTACCTACACGGCTGGACAGCAAGACTGGCCGGTGGATCAAACGGGAGGAGGAGCTCAGAGACTCCCCTAGACAGTTCGGCTTCTGCGTTGACGGACTAGATGTTACAATCAGAGTAGAGCCAAGATAGACAACTAGATCTGCAGGTTTGCCTGCAAAGCACACTGAGCTGTCAAGATCGGAAACAGACACGAGCTTATGCAGTTTGCCGGATGTTTACGTGCAAAATGGATCAGGCACCCAGCTTTGGGAGATTCGTTTGGCAAGCAGCCAACGGCGACGACCTCCTGTTGACTGCTATATCATGAGGGAGAAAGAACGGGTCTGGATCTCATGGATTTGAATGCATAGCTTTTCATTTTCATTCCTCAGAAGATCGATTTCACTTATTACACACTACGCCGAACAACAGCTACCATGTACCCCAGCGTAAATCATTTCATTGTCCGTCCTGGCACCGACGACGGCACTCCCGGACCGATCGTGCCCCTCGTCGCTGTCGACCAGCTCCCAGACTGGATGCAACTGACCGGCGTGCCCCGCGAGCTCGACGCGGAGCAGACCATCGGATTGACCAACCTTGGACTTGTCGACAAGGACGACAGCATCTTCGAGGTGCGCTTGCACCATGGGAAGATCAGGGCCATTCTCAACAGCGCGGACGAGAAGACGGATTCGCATTCATCGGGCGGCGGAAAGGGCAAGGCGAAGGCGAACAAGAAGAAGAAGACCGCACCTCACGCTGAGACCAAGAGCAAGTCGATTGAAAAGATGGCCAGCGAGGAGTCACTTCCCACCTTCACCGAGCTTGCCCCAGTCGAGAAGCCACCGCCGCAGGCTCAACCGGCTGAGCGCATGCTCAGCGCCTCTCGCCACAACACGGCCAACACCGCAGTGGGCACCCAGGCACGCCACAACAGCAGCGAGAAACCCCTCCGCCCGCACATGACAGAAGCCACGCGCGACGAGCCCCAACAACCGGCTGCCCCGAAGCACATGACCACCGAGCAAGACGAGCAGCCCACCATCTGCCGGCACTGGTGCCACCACGGGTCGTGCAAGTGGGGTCTGAAGTGCCGCCACCAGCACCGTATGCCCATGACCGTGGACGGCCTCAAGAAGGTCGGGCTGAAGGACTTCCCAACTTGGTACCTTCTCATGATGAGCGGCGCCGGTGGGCTACCAGGCCTGCTCAGCATGGACGCCACGCTCAGCGGCCACGGAGAAGGGCAGCCTTGTCCCGCCCGGCAGCACGCAGCGGGCCAGAAGCAGCCGCCCTCCCAGCCTATCAACCAGCACCACGTCCCCGATCACCCATCGTCCCTGGACCTCCGTTTGGTGCGGGGCCGCATGTCCGCACTGCTCACCTCTGGCGGCGCGGTGAGCAACCGCCAGCTGAAGCAGCTCAGGGAGATGCGCCATCTCCTCCTGCGCGGCGCGGGCGCCCCTGCGACGGGGGCCCAGGGAGGGCAGCAGCAGCAGCAGCAGCCCCGCCCTCACAACAACAACAACGGCAACTACGCCAACCTGTACACCAACGCGAGCGTCGCCGCCAACGCGGCCAGCATCCGGCGCCAGGCGGAGCGCCAGCAGCAGGTCAGGGACGACATGCCGGTGGTCACTCGCGTCCGGGCCAGGGAGGATGTGGAGGATCATCGGGGTCAAGCGATTGTGGCAGGCCGTGCAGGTGGTAGCGAGGAGAACCTTCTGGACATTGATTGATTAGATGGTTTCGGTGCACGCGTAGGGAATCCGGAGATAGCTGCACCAAACGTAGACAGGCCGCGCATTGGCATCTCTGCCTTGCGCGACGCTTCCTGGAACGGTAGAAGACAACTGAACATGTTGAACGATTCGAGTCATGGTGCTCCGAGGCCTTGATCGCGAAGACCACGCGGCATTGCTACCTAGGTCTTGCAAAGCCCGGAGTTTAGAAAACAAGAAGGCGTTATTGTTCACAAGTCGCGAGTCAACTCATCTGGATTTCAAGCTTCAAGTGTCGTTAGGTCGAAGTGGCTGACGAAGTAGCCAAGCAGGCCTCGAGAAGTTGTCATACACTTGCCGAGTGATCTTAACGCCGGACGCGTCCGGCCTTAAGTACCTAGGTAATGAGGTCATCAACAGGACCCGCGCGGGAAGGTTTTAGGCTTTGGGCCGTTCACCCAATCTAGACTACCCGAATGGCCGCTCATGTCGCGACGATCGGAGATAGATGCGGATAATCTCCAAGCTTCACGGGTATACAAAAAGAGCTATTGGACCTGCCACCGGGAAGTCGACTCTGGTCCCACCAACTCGGCAGTGATAGTCCATCTTGAGTCGCAAAGTCTTTCGTCAAACAAGCTCCACACCACACACAGACCTTCACATCTCGTCCCGACCAGTCATGCCTCAAATCAACGGTCAAGAAGTCGGCCCCATTGGCTACGGGCTCATGGGTATGCGTGGCGGACCTACTACACATTTGCAGAAACCCCATACTGACACTCACTCTGATCAGGCCTGACATGGCGCAAAAACCCCTGTTCTGAGGAGCAGGCCTTCGCCGCCATCAAGGCGGCTCTCGACAACGGCTGCAACTTCTTCAACGGCGGGGAGTTCTATGGCCCGCAGGAGTACAACAGCCTTGTCCTCCTGGAGCGCTACTTCAAGAAGTACCCCGAGGACGCGGACAAGGTCGTCCTCAGCGTCAAGGGCGCGGGCGGGCCGAGCGGGATGAAGCCCACCGGCACCGAGGCCGAGATCAACAGGTCCATCGGCAACGTCATCCAGCAGCTCAACGGGCGCAAGAAGCTCGACGTCTTCGAGTGCGCGCGCCGCGACCCGAACGTCTCGATGGAGGAGACGTTCGGCGCCATGCAGAAGTTCATCGACGAGGGCAAGCTGGGCGGCATCTCGCTCAGCGAGGTCCGCCACGAGACCCTGCTCGACGCCATCAAGATCACAAAGGTCGTCGCCGTCGAGATCGAGCTCAGCCTGTTCCACACCGAGGCCCTCTCCAACGGCATCGCCGCCACCTGCGCCAAGCACAACATCCCCCTGGTGGCCTACTCGCCCCTGGGCCGAGGCCTGCTCACCGGCGAGATCAAGTCGCCGGATGATATCCCCGAGGACGACATGAGGAAGCACATGCCGCGTTTCCAGGCCGGCAACTTCGAGCACAACATCACGCTGGTGCACAAGGTCAACGAGCTGGCCAAGAAGAAGGGGTGCACGCCCGGCCAGTTCGCCCTGGGCTGGGTCAGGACGCTGTCCAAGAGGCCCGGCATGCCCACCATCATCCCCATCCCCGGCGCCACGACGGTGGAGCGGGTCAACGAGAACTCCAAGCTGGTGGACCTGACGGACGAGGAGATGAACGTGATCGATGGTATCCTTGAGAAGATGGAGGTCAAGGGCGACCGCTACCCCGATTACGTCCCCGTTGACACTTAGCTATCTCCGCGTCTCCAGCCACTGGGCAGAGAGCCGGATCGGGGTCGGAGTAAACGATGTCTTGCGCTTCTAGCTCCCGAGTATCCCGAACGTTTAGGTAGAACCTAATTCGAAACACCCACCTCCCTCAAGGATTACAAAAGACGCACCTACCTGTGACATGGCCTTCTGTAGGGTGACTTCCTATAGGATACCCTCCTGTGGGCTACCCTCCTGTGGGATAGTCTCGTGTGGGATAGTCTCGTGTGGGATAGTCTCGTGTGGGATAGTCTCCTATGGGATAGTCTCCATGGAATGCCCTCCAGTGGGATACCCTCCCGTGGGATAATCTCCTTCGGGGTGACTTCCTGTGGGACAGCCGCCTATGGGAGGTTATCCCATGTTGTAGAACGACACGTGAATAGGTATTTCACAAAAAGATGTGTAGTCTTGAACACTTGTCAAAGCCCTGAACCCCTGCCAGCTGTAGTTAGCAAATGGAACCACATCTCCAACTGCTTCTGGATGAAGATCGTGTATAGGCAGCATGCAGGTCGTGTCTTCAGAGCCCACCGAGATGGGATGTGATATTTTTCTACAGCGAAAGATGAATCTTCGAGAATTGCAGAATTACTTTTCATCCTATTGACAGATAACCTGAGCCTTGATGACAAAAACGTGAAATTGTAACTCACATTGGTGTTTGTTGAGCGGAGCGGAAACTGTCCCGAGCTACGAGGGGCGCTCTGAGCGGAGCCTAGTCAGTCTTGCACCGGGATTTTCAACGTGAATGCTCGCAGAATGTATCAAACGCTATCCCCATAAGGACGGGCGCCGATGTTGAAGAATCTAGGCTGCATATGTGCTGACGAGAACTGCTGCTCGACAGAGAAGACATTTTTATCCCCACCAGTTTGGCTTACCTAAGACAGTGGCTCCCAGGATCCTTTACAGCCTGTGCTCTCAGTGGTCTACTGTCTGTCTCAAACGAAATGCAGCCCCCCCCTGTCATTTTAACTCGCGCTCCCTTCTCCCCTCCAAAATCTTAAAATCTCCCTATTTACGCTATTTTTAATATACCTATTATAATATACTTAATAATTATAATATATATATATATATATATATATATAATCTTTATAACTTAAAATAAATAAATAAAATATTTTTTTTTATTTATAATAAAGATTTTTATATATATTTATATATTAAAAAATATAAAATATAAATATAAAAATTTTAATAAATTTTAAATTTTAAATATTAATTTTAAATATTATTTTATTAATTACTTTTAATATATTATATAATATATTAATATATAAATAATAATAAATATAAATATTAATTATTTATATAATTTTTAATAAATAAATAATATTATAAGCTTATTTTATATTTAAAATATAAAGAAAAAAATTTATTTTTTATTTATATTTATATTAAAGCTTATTTTTATAAAGTTAAAGCTTATTAATTAATTATAATAAATAAAGCTTAAATTATAATATATTTTTTTAAATCTTTATAATAAATTAAAAAGAATAATTATTTAATTAAAAAAAAAAAATATTATAATTTAATTATAAATTAAATATTACTTTTTATTTAATTATTTATTTATATTTTAATGCTTTTTAAATATATTATAAGCTTAATTTATTTTATAATTTAATATATTAAATAATAAAAATAATTATTTAAATATAAGTTAATTATTAAATTAATAATATTTTTTATAATCTTTTAATATAAATTTATTTATATATATTTTTTTATTTAAAATTTTAAAATATTAAAATTATTATGTATTTTATAATTAATTAATATTTAATATATTAATAATTTACTTTTTTAATAAAGTTTTTTTTTAAAATTAAATATATTTTTATAATATTATATTATATTAATTTAACTTTTATATAATTAATAATAAATAAATAAAATATATAATTAATTTAATTATAATATAAAAAATAAATTATAATAAAGTTATAATTTTTTTTATTTAATTATAAATTAATTATAATAATTTATATATAAAATATATAATTATTAATTAATAATTATTATTAATAAAATTAATTTAAACCTTATATTTTTAAATTTATATATTATTTATAATATATTTATTATATAAATATATTATATATAATATTTATATATATTATTTATAATATATTTATTATATAAATATATTATATATATATATTTATATATATTTATTTTTATATTATTAATTATTAATAATATTTTATATTTATTTAATTAACTTTAAGCTTTTATTATATAAATTAATTAATTAAATTAAATAAAAAAAAGTTTTTATTATTTTTTTATAATATTATTATAATATAAATAAGTTTAACTTAATATATTTTTATTTAAAAAAGTTTTTAAATATAAAATAAACTTTTTTTAAAAAGTTTTTTAATTATTTTTTAAATATTTTTATAAAATTAATATAAAATAAAAATTAATTATAAAAAGTTTTTAATTAATTAAATATATAAAAAATTAAATTATTTTAATATTAATTATTTTTTTATTTATTATAAATTTAATTTTTATTTTTATTAATTAAATTATTAAATATTTTTAAAATAAAAGTTTTTTAAAATAAAAAAAATTTAATAAATTATTATTATTTTTTTTTAAATTTTATTATATTAAATTTTATATAATTATATTATAAATTTATAATATAAAAACTTTAAATATATATTATAAGTTTATTTTATATTTTTAAAATTAAAAATATTTAAATAAAGTTTATATTTAAAATATAAAAAAAGTTTATTTTTTTTTATTTATATTTATATTAAAGCTTATTTTTATAAAGTTAAAGCTTATTAATTAATTATAATAAGTAAAATATTAATTAAATTAATATATATTAATTAATAATAAATTAATTATATTTAAATTAATTATAATATAAAAAATAAATTATAATAAAGTTATAATTTTTTTTATTTAATTATAAATTAATTATAATAATTTATATATAAAATATATAATTATTAATTAATAATTATTATTAATATAAAATTAATTTAAATTTTATATTTTTAAATTTATATATTATTTTTATATTAATAATTTTTATATATATATATATATATATTAAAATTATATTTTTTTTAAAATTATTATTTAATTAATTAAATTACTTAATTAATATAAATATTTTTATTTTTTAAAAAATTATAAAAAATTAAATATTTATAATTATTATTTTAAAAAATTAAATATAAATATTTAAATATAAATATTTAAATATAAATATTTAAATATAATATATATTTAAATATTTTAAATATTTAAATTATTTAAATTACTTAATTAAATTATTTAATTATTAATATTTTAAAACTTTAAAATATTTAAATATTATATTTTAATTAATTAATTATTATTTTATAACTTTTTTTATATAAATTAACTTTAAATTATTTATTATAAAATATTTAAATAAAATTTATATTTAAAATATAAAAAAAAAATTTTTTATTTATATTTATATTAAAACTTATTTTTATAAAGTTAAAGCTTATTAATTAATTATAATAAATAAATCTTAAATTATAATATATTTTTTTTAAAATCTTTATAATAAATCTTAAAAAATAATTATATAATAAAAAAATAAAAAATATTATAATTTAATTATAAATTAAATATTATTTTTTACTTAATTATTTAATTATACTTTAACGCCTTTTAATTATATTAAACGTTTAACTTATTATTTATAATTAACATACTTTAATTAATGTAATATGAATGGGCAATGATGGATTTTAGGTGAATTTACCGTGAATTCACGGGGAATTATGAATTCACAGTACTTTCACGGTAAATTCACCGTGAATGTTAGTATTCATGGTGAATTCATGGTGAATTCGCCATGAATTCACTATGTGTATGTATATATAGGTAGATTCCCCGTGTATTCCCCTGGAATTTACAGGGGCATTAAATTTCATACCTTTACACTCATTATTAACCCTTATAATTTAATATATTAATTAAAGCAAGTTAATAAAAAATAATTATTTAAATATAAGTTAATAGTTAAATTAATAATATTTTTATAATTTTTTAATATAAGCTTTTTATATAAGCTTTTTTATTTAAAATCTTAAAATTATAAATTTATTATATAATTTATAATTAATTAATATTTAATTATAAATAATTTACTTTATTAATAAATAATTTTAAATTTTAAATATTTTTATAATATTAAATTATTTAATATATAATTAATTTATTTTAAACTTAAATTAATATTAAATTAATAATATTTTTAAGCTTTATTTTATAAAAAAAATTATATTTTTTTAAATAAATTTTTTTTTATTAATTTTAATTAATAAAAGTTATATTTTTATTTTTTTATAATAATTTAAATAATTATATTTATAATAATTAAGTTAATTATATATAAAATATTTAACTTTATTTATTAAAATTATTATAATATTAATATTTATTATTTTATTATTTTAAAGTTAAATATTATTTTTTTTATTATAATATTAAAAATATTTTTATATTATTATAAAATAAAATAAAAAGCTTTAAATATATTTAATTATTTTTTATAATTAAATTAAGCTTTTATTATAAAAATTAAATTATTAATTATTAATAATATTTTATATTTATTTAATTAATTTTAAATTTTTATTATATAAATTAATTAATTAAATTAAATAAAAAATTTTATTATTTTTTTATAATATTATTATAATATAATTAAATTAAGCTTAATATATTTTTATTTAAAAAAGTTTTTAAATATAAAATAAATCTTTTTTAAAAAGTTTTTTAATTATTTTTTAAATATTTTTATAAAATTAATATAAAATAAAAATTAATTATAAAAAGTTTTTAATTAATTAAATATATAAAAAAATTAAGTTTTTTTAATATTAATTATTTTTTTATTTATTATAAACTTAATCTTTATTTTTATTAATTAAATTATTAAATATTTTTAAAATAAAAATTTTTTAAAATAAAAAAAAGCTTAATAAATTATTATTATTCTTTTTAAATTTTATTATATTAAATTTTATATAATTATATTATAAATTTATAATATAAAAAAACTTTAAATATATATTATATTAAAAATATTATAATAAAATAATTGCGCTAGCTTATTTAAATTAAATTATTAAGTAATTTAATCTTTATAACTTTAAGTAAGTTTAATAAATGCCATTAATAAATAAAGTAACTTATATTTATATAAGTTATAATAAGGCATTTTAAGTATTATTAACTTAATGCTGCTATGCTTTAAATATAGCTTATTATTTATATTCTTTTATTAATAATGCTAAATAATTATTAAGTAAGAATTAAACCTTAGTTTTTATATTATAAATATAATATGCTTTTTATTATATTATTTTAGCAATGCTTAAAACTTATATATAATGAAAATTAAACTTATAACCTTAGCGTAAATAGCAATAAGCTAAGCTATTAATTAAGATAATTATTATAGCTATTATTTATTAAAAATGCTATAATAAAATAATTGCGCCAGCTTATTTAAATTAAACTATTAAGTAATTTAATCTTTATAGCTTTAAGTAAGTTTAACAAAGTAACTTATATTTATATAAGCTATAATAAGGCGTTTTAAGTATTATTAATTTAGCATTGCCGCGCCTTAAACACAGCTTATTATTTATATTTTCTTATTAATAATATTAAATAATTATTAAGTAAAAGTTAAACTTTAATTTTTGCATTATAAATGCAATATACTTTTCATTATATTATTTTAATAACGCTTAAAACTTATATATAATAAGAATTAAATTTATAACCTTAGCATAAATAGTAATAAGCTAAGTTATTAGCTAAGATAACTAGTTATAACTATTATTTATTAAGAATGCTATAATAAAATAATTGCGCCAGCTTATTTAAATTAAATTATTAAGTAATTTAATTTTTATAGCTTTAAATAAGTTTAATATTAAGGATATAAAGGTAATATAATTAAAAGTTAAGCATTTATTATAAATTAATTAATTTTACTTAAAAGTTAAGCATTTATTATAAATTAAATAAAATTAAATAAAGTTTATTATTAATTTAATTAATAATTAAAAGTATTATAAAAAAGCTTTTAATAATTAAGAAAAGTTATAATTATTTAAAAATATATTAAAAAAAGCTTTTTAATTAAGGCTTATTATAATTATTATTATTAATAATTTATATTAATAAATATAATTAAAAATTAAATATTATTATTATAAATTAATTTTTAATGCTTAGTTAAGCTTTTTAATAACTTATAATATTATTATTAATATATAATTTCTTAATAAAATTATTATAAATAAATAAGCTTTTAAAAAATAAAATTTATTTCTTTAATATTTAATTATTTATATTTATTAAATAAGCATTAATTAATATTTATTTAACTTTTATATAATTAATAATAAATAAATAAAGTATATAATTAATTTAATTATAATATAAAAGGTAAGTTGTAATAAAGTTATAACCTTCCCTTATTTAATTATAAGCTAGCTATAATAGTTTATATATAAGGCATATAACCGCTAGCTAGCAGCCAGCTGGCATTAGCTAGCAGCTGCTATTAATAAGACTAGTTTAAACCTTGCACTTTTAAATTTATGCATTGCTTGCAGCGCACCCACTGCATGGGCACGCTGTACGTAATGCCTATATGTATTATTCCTATATAAAGCTTAAATTATAATAAATAATATATATTAAAATATTATATTATATAAAAGTATATTTAATATTATAAAAATAGTATAACTTATTTTAATTCATAAGAATTATAAATATATATTTTATATTAAAGTATTTCATTTTTTAATACAGATATGGTGAATTATAATTAAGTTTAAAATTTGAGATTTTGGAGGCAGAGGGGGGAGCGCGAGTCAAAGCGACAGGGGGGGCTGCATTTCGTTTGAGACAGACAGTATCTCCGTCTCCCATTCTCCAAGTTGCTTCAAAGCATCGACTAAATTCCGTTCACTTCCATGCTATGAGCATGCTATGAGGGAATCAAAGCTCTGAACATGGCATCTGTCTCATCACACCCGAACGTGGAGGTCCGCGGGAGCAAAGGCTCTGGGACTACTGGTCGTAGCCTTTACGCTACCAAGTCATTTGCGCCCGGGGATCTAATCACAACGTTCACAGACCCGATTCTAGGTGAGACCGGCTCCCGCATCCCGCACTTCCCACAGCAGCTGCTCACACGTCTCAGCACTCCCCAATGGCCCCTCCGCTAAGACGGTCTGCAGCAACTGTCTCGCACACAACGTGCCCACAAAAGCCTGTACTGCGTGCAAGGCAGTCTCGTACTGTGGCGGAGAATGCCAGAAGAAGCACTGGAGCTTCATCCACAAGCAGGAGTGCAAGAGCTTCCGTAAGGTCAAGGAGTCAGTCGATCAGGATTGGCTGCCCACCCCTGTCCGTGCTCTCCTCCAGGTCTTACTCCGGTGGGATGACGATCTGGACTTGAGAAACGCCTTTGGGAGGCTGGAAGGCAACCTGGACAAATTCAAGGCCAGGGAGGACATCTGGAATGATATCAGTCTCCAGGCTTATGGTGGCATGACGTATGCTGGCAGGAAGGAGGAGGACGAGCAGCTCCACCTCGCGCGAGATATTCTGTGCAAGATCCAGACGAACTCGTTCGACCGAACCGACGTGGACACCGGCCAGGCGGGCATATTCTTGCATCCAACCTTGGCCATGGTGAACCACTCTTGCGTGCCCAACGCCAACGTCAACTTCCTCAAGCGGAAAGCATGCCTCAAGGCCGAGCTGCCGATCAAGGAGGGCGACGAGATCAACATCTCGTACATCGACTTCACAAAACCAAAGCTCTTCCGACAACTCGGCCTGGCGCTGTACCACTTTGAGTGCACTTGCCCGCGGTGCAAAGACGACCTGACCGTGTACGATGTCTGCCAGCAATCACCCGTCATTCCCCTCAACTCCTTCAGCCTGGTCCCGAACGTGCAGAAACTCCGAAAGCCCGCGATCAGCCCTCCGACGTCTAAAAAGGAGCTCCAAGAGCTCAAGGACAGCATCGATGAGATCTACGTCGCCTGCCAGACCCCCGAGAGGTCACGTGGCCCCACAACAACCGAGGAGAGGCTCATGGTGCTCAAACACCAGTGGAGGCAGTGTCAGCCTCTCATCCAGGCCGGCATGTGGGCGCAGGAGCCGCTGGGGCTGACGGTCGAGCACGCCATCATGTACTACACGGAGATAGGGAGCTACGCGCACGCGCTCTCGGTGGCGTGCTTCGCGGCGCTCAACTGCGCGCCCTACAAGTATCCGGCCCCCTTCAAGGAGCGGCGGCTCAAGGGCCTCATGGTGATCGCCAAGACTCTGACCAACACGGCACCGCCGTCGGCGATGGAGGCACTCACCGAGGTCACGGACCAGAGGGTGATGGTGTGCCTGCTGCAGGCTGACCAGGTGGCAATGTGCGAGGCGCTGGCGCTCATGGTGGAGAAGTACGGGCCCGTGGCACAGACGGAGGAGTGGGAGATCCTCGACCTGGCGAGGAGCATGCTGCAGGACATCGCGAGCCTGCCCGGCCGCGAGAAGGAGGCCGCGCTGCTGCGGGGCTGGGCCGGGAGCAGGGACGAGGCCGGTACCAAGTACTTCAAGGAGCAGATCCTACAGCCGATTGAGGACCTCGCTGGGTTTGCTGTTGAGATTATGAAGGCGGATTTCGAGACGGACGAGCCCCTCCTGGAGGTTGACAAGGTCGACTGAGGTGGGGAGCTCGCTGTCTTGGGTACATGGAAGATCGATATGACTGTTCATCAACAACGTTGTTTTGTGCGACGACAGCATGTTTGAGCGTTAGGCAGTCCTGGCTGAAGGCATAGATGGCCTGAAGGCTGGCGGGAAAGTGCAGATAGGAGTAAGTGTAAAGTCGCATTGCAGAGAAGGGAATGTCTGTATCTAGTTGATAAGCAATTGATCTCATTCACCACTTGCATTAGTGATGGGCGGCTGAGCTCCCACCAAGACGTTGCATCTCCCCCCAAAACTGCAACAATCGCGACGAAGCTCGAGGCAGCCCACCAGCCAACCCGCAACACCCGCAGCAGCAACAGCAGCAGCACAACAACAACAACACAAGCACAAAACAACTACTCATCTCACTACACACAAGAATATTACAAACACCCCACAATCACAATGCCTACGAATCGCACCGCGCGTGGCGTCAAAAGCAGCAAGGGAGACGCGAAGAAGCGCACCGCTGCGGAGAAGAAACAAGACCACATTGATGCGGTCATAGAGAGAACTAATGAGGTTCTCCCCACAGTCATCGAGGAACCAATCCAGAACAGCGTTGACGATTACGCGAAACACGATGACCCTCAAGCAAAACAGACAGACATGATCGCGAAGTTCACGTCCCTGATCCCACGGCCGACCTTTGACGACGCGTGGACCGAGCAAGACGAAGAGAACCTCAAACAAGAGGCAGAGAGAGATGCCCAGTTCCAGCACCGCTGTACCTATCAGGACTACGTGAACTCGGTTTGGAAGACGGCCTATAAGTTTATGGGCTGCCTAGCCACAGACATAGTCGGGCCAAAGACCTATCTCAGGTTCCACAGCGACCACGTAACATCCAAGAACAGGTTCTGGGCTGCTCCCTTCTGCCAGAAGCTCTCAGCCATGATCGTTTAGCCAGTATTCAAGGGGGACCCTGGCAAGCTGGCACTGGCAATCCAGTGGACAGTGATCTGTCGCACAAAGGACCGTCGCAGATGGCGGCTGAGTGGGTGCGGCAGCGATGACCCATTCCTCAGCATCCTGAAGGCGGTGGTTGAGCGGTCCCAGGATGGAACAAAGAGTCCCAGAATGCTACGGCGTATGGCCTTGGGCATATACAAGGAGAGGCACCCCACTCAGGGATTCCAAGACCCTCTCTGGAACCAGTTCCTCCAACGAATCGAGGAGCAAGCGCCAAAGAAGAAGTCTCCCGTGGAGCAGGAGGTGGACAGCCAAGACTTTGGCGACTTGGACCTCTACAGGGTCAACGCCACTGACCTCAACAACCTCCTGGGCGCAATAGTCAACGTCAGGATGTTCGGATTCCCCGTGTTCCCGGACCCGACCGCCCTGGCAATGACGGTCCTATACACCCGAAACCCTACCGACATCCCGATGAAACCACAGGTCATAGAAGCGACCAAGGCAGCCCTGCTGGCTCACAGGCGCGAGGCGAGGCGTGCTGAGAAGTCGGGCGTGCCGGAAATTCGTGGCCCTTCGGCTCCATCTCAGTCGGGTGGAGCCCAAGGCGCCGCGGACAGCGAGCAAGGTGCTGGCCTTGCGTCAAATGCTGATTCCAGCCTCTCTGATGGAGAGATCGCAAAGGCTGAGGCTCAGGTCTCCAAGGACGAGGCCGAGGAGGCTGAGGAGACCGAGGAGGTCGAGGAGGAGGCCGAGGCCGCTGAGGAGAAACAAGCCCCCAGGCGAAGTACTCGTCAGAAGGCCAAGAAGAAGATCAGCACCCCAGTGGTCCTCACATCCAACGACGGAGATAGTGAAGAGTTCAGATTCACGCCCCCGTCACCCAAAAGACCACGGCCAAGCCGCGCTCAAAAGAAATCAACAGGCCAAAAGGTAGATTTCTTCATCAACATCCCTGTGAGGAGCGTGTCGAGCTCGCAGGCCAAGGATGGATCCGCAGGAGCTGCGGAGGGTGCCGCGACCACTGGGGGTGTTGACATGGACGACGACCTCATGCAGGATGACGCTGGTGTCCAAGATCTTGGTGAGATCGAACTGGGCGAATCGGAACACAACTTGATGAGCCAGTCGGACGGGAACAATGCAGGTTCCCCCGTGAAGAGACCATAAGAGACACGGCCGGAAGAGCTCAGCTCCCGGTCAAGCAAGCGCAGGCGGTTCGACAACGGGACGGTGTCACCCATGCAGCCAAGAGGCAGTTCCCGCGTTGTCGTGGAGGACTCCGATCCAGGGAAGGACCTGCAGCAGGAGCAAGAGAAGGAGCAGGAGCCTCGTCGGTTCCTGACATCCGCCCCATACCGCGAGGCTCGTGTCGGGCACGCCACATCGTTCGTGTTCCCCATCGTCCCGACAGACCTGGGCCTGGAGGATGCCCTAAAACAAGTCTTTGGCGAGGCACCAGCTGTAAGTGGCAGCCAACAGCACCCTGCCCTGGCAGACAAGCCACTTCAAGAGGAATCTGGCAGCCAACAGCACCCCACCCCGGCAGACAATCCACGTCAAGAGGAAGCTGCTCAGCCTGGTGTAGCCCCCCAGCCCGCTGTGGCTCCCCAGCCCGATGCGGCTGCCACCATGGCCGAGGCTCAACAGTCTGCCCCGGATCAAACCCAGGACACGTCCAAGCAGCAAGGCAACAACAACACCGCCGTGACTGTGAAGCCGCAGTATCACAAAAAGGTGAAGAGATTAATGTTGAACCAAGCCGACTGGCTGTGGGAAGACGGCTCCAACCCATCGAGGAGGAACCCACTGGATACGTAGCAGCTTCTCACCAAGTACAGGTAGATGAATAGAACTTCGTCCCTGTGTCTTTGATGTGTATTGGTTTTCTTGACATGCGAGTGTCTTGCGTAGATGATTCTCGACCTGGTGATGTGTATATGTACTGATTAGTGATATGTTCTGTGTGATTGAATACCCGCTTATTGGTAAGTAGGTCCTGGCGTCTTCCTGTTCTGTCCAGGAGTTTGAGTATTCTTTGATCCGAATTTTCTACCATCACAGAGTTGCCAGCAGGTAGAAGGAGAAGATGGCGGTCTTGAGCACGCAAGCTTGCCCACGACATGTTGCACTTGCTGGCTCCCAACGCTGGGCTGTGTCAACTGGTTGCGGTGTCCTTTCTTGAATGAGACTTTCTCCTAACACCTTTGCCAATCTGTCCGCTTACTTCTACTCACTACCAACCAATTAGACAAGGTTTGCCGTTCGTCTCAAGCGAAATGCAGCCCCCCCCCCCTATTGCGTTAGTTAGCTCTCCCCTGCCACACCAAACTTTAGCTATCAACATAAAATATATAATAAAATTATTAAAGATAACGTTATTAATATTGCTTATATATTTAATTTAATAAGAAAGAAATTATTATAATATTTAATTATTATTTAATAAATATAAAATTATAAATATTATAATTTTATTTATATTTAAACTTATTATTATTAAATAAATAATTATAAATTAAATTTTAATTTAATAAAATAATAAGATAATAATAATAAATATTATAACTTTTATTATAAATATAATTTATATAAGGTAAATTTTAAGTTTTAATTTAAATTTAAGGGTTTTATTATGGGCTAGCCTTGGGTCGTCTGCTGTAAGGTGTTTAAATAGGGTTTATATTTAAAGTACAAAGGAAAAGGTTTACTTTCTATTTACACCTATGCCAAAGCCTATTTTTATAAGGCTAAAGCCTATTAATTAATTATAATGAGCAAAGCCTAAACTATAATATATCCTCCTTTTTTAAATTTTTATAGCAGGCCTTAAAAGGTAGCTATATAATAAAAAATAAAGGATATTATAATTTAATTATAAATTAAATATTGCTCTTTGCCTAGCTATTTAATTATATTTTAATGCCTTTTAATTGCATTAAAGGCTTAGTTTATTATTTATAATTAATATACCTTAGCTCTTATAATTTAATATGCTAGCTAAAGTAAGTTAATAAAAAATAATTATTTAAGTATAAGTTAATGGCTAAATTAATGGCATTTTTATAATTCTTTAATATAAGCCTTTTATATAAGCTCCTTTATTTAAAACTTTAAAATCGCAAATTTATTATATAATTTATAATTAATTAGCGCTTAATTATAAGTAATTTACTTTATTAATAAGAATTTCCTAAATTTTAAGCATTTTTATAGGGCTAAATTAGCTAGTATATAGCTAATCCGCTTTAAGTTTAGGTTAGCGCTAAGTTAGCATTACTTTTAAGCTTTATTTTATAAAAAAAATTTTACGCCCCTTTAAATAAACTCCTTTCCCTTGCTAACCTTAATTAATAAAAGCTATATCCTTATTTTCTTATAGTAATTAAGGTAATTATATTTATAATAGCTAAGTTAATTATATATAAAATACTTAACTTTATTTATTAAAATTATTATAATATTAATATTTATTGCTTTACTATTTTAAAGTTAAGTATTATTTTCCCTTATTATAGCATTAAAAATATTTTTATATTACTATAAGGCAAAGTAAAAGGCCTTAAATATATTTAGCTATTCCTTATAATTAAGCTAAGCTCTTGCTATAAAAATTAAGCTATTAACTATTAATAATATTTTATACTTATTTAGCCAACTTTAAGCCTTTGCCATATAAGCTAATTAATTAAACTAAGTAAGAAATTCTACCATCCCCTCCTTATAGCGCTACTATAGCGTAATTAAGCTAAGCTTAGCATACCTTTGCTTAAAAGGGTTCTTAAGCGCAAAGCAAACCTTTTTTAAAAAGCTTTCCAGCTGCCCCTTAAATATCTTTATAGAATTAATATAAGGTAAAAAATAATTATAAAAAATTCCTAGTTAACTAAATATATAAAAAAATTAAGCCCCTTTAATATTAATTACCTCTTTATTTACTATAAACTTAACCCTTATCTCTACTAGCTAAGTTGCTAAGTATTCCTAAGATAAAAGTTCCTTTAAATAAGGAAGGGCTTAATAAACTATCATTATTCTTTTTAAATCTTATTATACTGGATTTTATATAGTTACATTATAAGTTTATAATATAAAAAGACTTTAAATATATATTATGGGCTAACTTTAAGTTATTTATTATAAAGTATTTAAATAGGGTTTATATTTAAAGTATAAAGAAAAAGGTTTGCTCTCTATTTATATTTATATTAAAGCCTATTTTTATAAAGCTAAAGCTTATTAACTAATTATAATAAGCAAAGCTTAAACCATAATAAACTTTAAGTCTTTGCTATATAAGCTAATTAATTAAATTAAGCAAGAAATTTTATTATCCCTTCCTTATAATGCTGCTATAATGCAATTAAGCTAAGCTTAGTATACCTTTGCTTAAAAGGGTTCTTAAGCATAAAGTAAACCTTCTTTAAAAAGCTTTTTAGCTACCCCTTAAATATCTTTATAAAATTAATATAGGGTAAAAAGTAATTATAAAAAGTTCTTAGCTAATTAAATATATAAAAGAATTAAGCCCTTTTAATATTAATTGTCTTTTTATTTATTATAAACTTAGCCCTTATCTTTATTAGCTAAGTTGCTAAGTATTCTTAAGATAAGAATTTTTTTAAATAAAGAAGAGCTTAATAGGCTGTTATTATTCTTTTTAAGTTTTGCTATATTAAGTTTTATATAGTTATATTATAGGTTTATAATGCAAGAGGACTTTAAATATATATTATAAGCTAGCCTTAAGTTATTTGCCGTAAGGTATTTAAATGGGGTTTATATTTAAAGTGCAAAGGAGAAGGTTTACTTCCCATCTGCATTCACGCCGAAGCTTATTCTTATAGGGCCAAAGCCCACTAACTAATTACAATGGGCAAAGCCCAAACCGTAACAGGTTTTCGCTTTTTTTTAATAAATTTTATAAGTTTTAATTAACTTATTTTTTTCTTTTTTCCTTATTTAACCTAGTTTAATTATAATAATATATTAATATATATAATTTATAAAATTTATTATAATATTTATTTAATATAAAAAATTTAATAAAAATTAATTTTAATTAATGTTAATTATATTAAATTCTTTATTTTTAATTAATTTAATTAATTTAAAGTAATTATTATAAATATAATATAATTAAAAGTTATTAAAGTTTATATAAAATAATTCTTTTTTAATATTAATTTTTTATATTAATTTTATTTTAATTTATTTATTTAAATATTTATTATATTAAAAATTAACATTATATTATATACTTTTTATTAAAAAAATAAAATTCTTTTAATTATTTAAGTAATTTAAAAGCCTTAAAAAATTATATAAAACCTTTAAAAATTATTAAGTAAGACAGTTCTTACGTTTAAATGGCAACAAGGGCATAATGTAATAGTGAAGAATGGTTGATTTACAACTAGGTTTGCCTAAGAAAAAAGAAAGGAAAAGGAAGAATTGCCAAAAGGGCAAATTAAAGTGGTTTTAAAGGCCAGTTGGGCTGATAAGATAAGCCAACCAGACGGGCCCAGAGGGCCCCTGCACATGATCAGCCCCACGGCCCTAACATTAAGGTTATATAAACTTTTTATATTTTTAAAACTATATTATATTGTAAAATAAATTAAAAAAGCTCTTATAAAAAATTATATATTAATAAGTATAAACTTAATTAAATTAAAAAATAAATATTTATTTAATATATTATTAAATAAAATGCTTAAAGATTTTTATTATAACTTTTTAATATAAAAAATATAATTAACTTATTATTAATATTATAAAATATATTAAATTATTAATAAGCATTAAGCTTAATATTTTATAAATTTATAATTTAACATAAAAATTAAGTTTAATTATCCTTATAATTATTAAAAAGCTTTTTATAAAGATTTAAAAATTATTAAAAACTAATTTAAGCTATTTCATAATATAATAGCTAAGTATTAAATTATTAATAATAACCTTTATAACTTTAATAAGATTAGCTTTATAATAAGTATAACATTGAACATCTCAGGGGAATCTATGAATTCCACGAGAGAAATCCTGTGGGAGAGCACGGAAACAGTCAAAAAGCTGGAGGGCGAGCTCTCTTCCAGGCTGGAGGCGTCCGAGGCTGTTGAGAAAGACCTCAGGCTCGCACGAGCCCACATCAGTGAACTGACCAAGGACGTGGCGGCCAGGGATGAGGCTATCACCAAGCTGGAGTAGCAGGTATCATCCGCAGAGAAGCAGGTGTCAGCCCTGCTGCAGCAGAAATCAGCCATGGAGCGAGCCGGGCAGGAAACAGCCCGTAAGGCAGAACGTGAGCTGTCTGAACGGACAAAGGAGATCGAGACCCTCCGCGACGAGATGACCAAGCTTCAGAGACAGGTACAGAACAAGACCTCGGAACTATCTGCCGCAGACGTTCAGGTGCAGGCCCTGGAGAGAGACCTCCAGGGCGAGAAGGAGAAGAACAAGTCCATGGCTCACTTCCGAACCAAGTATAACGTTGAAGAGGGCCGGCACAAGAGTGAGATTGACCAGTTGAACGCCGAGCATCAAAAGGAGATCCAGCGACTCAAGGCCGAACAAGACAAGGCTGTCGAAGCTCTCGAGGCCAAGCACGCCCGGGAGATCAAGGGGCTGGAGGGTGCTGTTCACGGCCACCAGCAGCGTTCAGACCGTCGCAGCCTGCCACTTCTCACGCCATCCACCACAGGGGCGGCATCCTTCTACCGGCCACAGGCCACAGAGCCTTCCGAGTGGCAACAGCTGCTGGACCTAGAGTCCACACAGGACGACGAGGGACACGGTTTCCTCAGGTCCATAGAACCGAGTATCGCGTACGAGGACTCAGAGGTCGGGAACTTCTCCCTCAAAGACCTCCTCCCACACGTGGTCAAGATGGCCCAAGCCCCAACGTATAGAGAACGGTTTGAGACTTACCCCGAGAGTGGGGAGCCGGGCTGGTTCTGCTTTGTCCTTGTTGGCAAGCTTGGGCACAGCGATAAAGGCAGTCGGCCCACACAGAGAGGGTGTTCATACAACAAACACCGGTACAACTGTATTCAGGTACGCCTGCAGGAGGGCATTGGGCCTAGGAGTATTGAGTTTCGAAGTTTCGAAGTAGAATAGTATAATGATAATTCTAGTGCTCGCATCAGGGCAACGTGTAACCACCGTCAACGACAAGGTTGGCTCCTAGTGACTTGTCAGTGATCGCCACATCAATCTCACACCAGAATTCGTAACTGACCTGTCATGTAACTACTAGCATCAGATGCCAGGTACACATAAGAGCCCTTGAGCTCCTCGGGCAGTGCCATTCGGGCCGCAGGCACCATACTCGTCCACTTGTCCAAGATAAACTGCGGTGCGCCCTCAAGGAGATCCGTCAGAATGTACCCCTGCCCCGTTCACGTCAGCTCCCGCTCTCCCTCCAGCCAGAAAAACGAGTGTCAGTGGATTTCCGTGTCAACGTCCACTCACAGGGGATATGCAGTTGACTTGTAACGAGACACACGAGGGCTTCTAGAACCAGATTAGGGAACCAAATGGGGTTGCTAATAGCTAATTTAATTAAAGTATCTTGCAGAATGTATATATTATTGAGAGAAGCTAATGCTAGGCGGGCTATGAAAGGTATGATATATTAAAAGAAAGGGGAGTGCTTAGTTATCCCTTAATATATTCAGCCCTTAAAAAATGCATATATCCTTATGTGCTTTAATGTTATTAAATAATCTTATAATTACTTCTTCTTTAAGAATCCTTAGTCCTAATTTATTTACTATTTATTTTTATTATCCTATTTATTAAATTTATTGGCTTAGTTAGTAAACTTATTAGGTTTGGCAGCTTAGTTGGTGGATTCATTAAGTTTACTAACCTATTTAGTGAACTTATTAGGTTTATTAGCCTACTTAGATTTAGCAGCCTAGCTAGATTTAGCGGCTTAATTAAACTTATTGGCTTAGTTAATAGAAATTAAATTTAAATTTGCAATAAGTATATTTATAATAGCTAAAGTTAAAGTAAAAGCGTTGGTAATTGCAACCTAGAAGTTTTAATTAATAATTTTATTATTATTTGCAATATAAATATTAATTTATACACCCTTTTTCTCTTTCTTTAAGCCTTAATAAACCTTTTTAAGCTTAATAATCTTCTTATTTATTAAGAATTTTTTAAAGTTATTTAAGTCTTTAGCCTAATCCTTATCTTTCTTTTTATTTTTATTATTAAATTACTTAAATTTATTAAGCTTTATATTTTTTATTAATATAATAAAAGGCTATATATTAAGCATCTTTAGGGCGTTATCTTAAAGCAATTTATTTAATTAAGCCTTTAAGTTTAAGTAAAGTTTTTTTATTAATTTCTTAATTTTATTATAATTAGCATTATTATTATTATTTTGCTAATTTATTTAAGAATTCTTTTTAAGCTATATAGAAGGATTTATATTAAGATTATATTTATTATTTTTTTATTAATTAATGGTTTCCTTATCCCTATAATTTTGCTTAATATTTTATTATAAAAGGTTAATAATATTAAAGTTTATAATTGGATTAAGTAAACCCTTTTCTTAATAATTATAAGCATGATAATTTTTAAACTTATAAAAGAAATAAGTAAGCTTATTATAATCCTTTTAAGCAACCTTTTTAATAATATAATAAGGAATATAGCATTAATAATAAACGCTGCCTTAATTACAAAGATTTTTATAATATGCATTATAAAGTGCTTAAATTGCTGCATATTAAGCTATAATCTTTACATTTTATCTTTTAAGCTTAATAAAAAAGTTTTTATTTAAAATATTAATTAATAAGTACTTAAAGTGCATTTATATAATATTAATGCAATTAGCCTTAAAAAGGAATCTTATATTATTATTTTAAATAAAGCAGAGAATTATAATATTTTATTTATTACTTATTATAGCTATTTAAATATAAACTTTAATAAAATTATAATAAACTTCCTTATTAAATAAGGCTTAAAGGCGGGTTTTAATTTTATTAACTTAGGTATTATAAGGCATAATAATATAAATTTAGGGCCTTATTATTATATTAATTCCTAAAATATAAAATTAATAAATATAAGTTATTATTTCCATTAATAGCTAAGCTTATATTATATTAATAAAGCTAACGCCTTTCTTAATCATTATAAATTAACATATTAAAGAAATATAATTATTAAAAAGCAACTTAATTACCTTATTATTAGCAAAATTAAAATTTATTTTAAAAATATATATATTATAAATAAGCTGCTAAATAAATATATATTAAGCATAAGTTAAGTTAAAAGGCATATAAAAGTTAAAAATAATTTATATATTTCCATTATAAAAAATATTAAACGTAAAATCTTAAAATTCTTTATATTATTAATAATTTTTTGCAAAAAAGGCAATGTAATTAAGTTTTATAGCTATAACTTAATAAGAAAGGGGTATTAAAAGTTAATTAAGGTAAATATTTTTATATTTATTATTTTTATTATATTATTTATTAATAAATAATTTATTTTAATAATAATTATTAATAAGTATAAAAAGGTAGTAGTTAAATATAATTTACACTTAGCGAATATATAATTTAAATTCTTGCAATACTTTATTAATAAGGATAATTATAAGATTTATAAAATCTTTATACACTAAGAATTAAGTAATAATAAATATATAAATAATAACCTTAGCTTTATTAAGGATTTCTTTTATAAACTTATTAATATTCTTATTTAAAATCTTTATTTTATTTAAGGTTAGGATATTAGTTAAGTTATTAAGTTAATATAATAAGCGTATTAAGTTAAGCTTATAGTTATCTTGCAGTTTTTAAAGCATAATGTTTTTTAGTTTTTAAATGCTATTATATTTATTATAAATAAACTCCTTAATGCGGTTTATAAAATTATATAGCTTTTTAGGCTGTATACTTAAGCATAAAATATTAAAGATTCCTAAGGCTTAATGTATATCTTTATTATGCTTAAGATAAAAGCTTTTCTTTAATGCCTTGCTTTTTAATTATAAGTTAATAATATAAATAATAAGTTTATTAAATTATAAATTAATATTAAACATTTTATATATTAAGGTTATAATATTATTATTATTTATATTTTAATTAGCAATAATTATAATTTAAGGATTATAATTAAGGTTTTTAAGTTTAGGTTATTTAGCTTACAAAGCTATTTCCTTATAAATATTATTTATAATAATTGCTTTTTCCTTAATTTTTATAGCTAAGGTTATATTATAAGTAGTTTTATCCTTAAATCTTATTATTAATAGCATTAATAAGTATTATAAGTTTTAATACTTTTTATAAATTAGCTTAGCGTAATTATTTATTATTAAAAAAAGGTAGTTATAATTAAAGTTATAATAATAAGTATTTTAAATAGCAATAAATAAAGACTTATAATATATTTTTTACTTTATAATATTTGCTTTAATAAATTAATAAATATATTGCTATTAAGTAAAACTTAAGCTAAATGTAAAGTTGGGAATTTTATAGCAATTTTAAACTTCTTAACTATATTTATTAACATTATTCTTATATTATTTACTTTTAATTAAATAAGTATTATTATTATTATTTAAGGATATTATAATAATTAGCTTAATATTATATTATTTATCGTTCTTATTAAATTAATGCTTATTATTTAAAAAGGCAAGGTTTAAATTATTCTTATTAAGGATTTTTACCGCCTTTAATTAATGAATTATGCATAATACGTTTTAAATAAATAAGTATATATAAGCAAGAAGGATAATATAAGCTAGCGTAATTTTGCTATTATTAGGAATGCCTTTAATAATTAAAGCTATAAAGGGCGTTTTAATAAGCATAGTTAAGGTATGCCTTTGGTTTTTAAAGAATATATGCAATGCTTGTAAAATGTATTAAATAATAATGGCTTTATAATGCTAAAACTTTAATATAATAATAGCAATAATTTTATTATTAATATTTTAAAGCATTTTTAAGTAAAAGAAATCTTTATGCTTATCTTAAATGTTATTTAATTTATAAAATAAAAGGGCTGGATTATAATAAAATTAATATATTGCTTAATTTAAGATAAAGAAAATTTATATAATATTTATGGTAATGGGATTGCCATTAAATATAGTAAATTATTGGATTAAGGGGATATTTTAAAATTTCTTTATTTTAAGAAGGCCTTAAACCTTTAATTTAATTATAATATTATTATTGATTTTAATAAAATAAAGGTTAATTATAAACTTTTTTATTTTTTCTTTATTAAAATTAAAGATTTTTATAAATTTATTTAAATTTATTATATTTAAGGAGTTAGGGTTATTTAAAGTTAAAGAATAGGGCTAAAGTTATTATTAGTTTCTTTTTAAGCTAACTTATTTATTTAAGCTAATATGTTATAAATTAAAAGTTAAATAGCTTATTTAATGGATTATTATGCAATATATAAATTAATATAAACTGCGAAATATTAGCTGTTATATTTATTAATAATATAAGGTAGTTATAATATTTATTAACTTTCTTTATAGTTTTAACGTAATGTTTTTTTAAGGTTTTACCTTTAGTATTATTTTTCTTATTTGCATAATGCTTTTAAAGCCTTTATAAAAGTATATAAGTAAAGCTATAAATAAGCTTTTCTTTATTATTAAACTTTTTTATTATTATAAATAGCTTAATGATTGCAATATATATATTGATTTATCGCTACTTAATGTTTATCTTATCTTTGCTATAAGGAATATAATAAGATTAAAGCTAGTTATGCATTATTTTTATAATTATGCTAATGATTTCTTTCTTAAACTTATTATTTATAAGGGTAGGGACTTTAATATATGGAATTTATATTTAAACCTTGCATAAGGCATTTATAAGTAGCATTAATTATATAAATTATTCCTTATTAAATATTTTAAGTATAAAAAAGTGGTATAAATAAGGGACTTTAACTTCTTTTTTATTTTGCTTAATAATATATATTTAGGTATTAATTAGTATTGAGACGTTACTTGGGCTTCACGGCACGAGGGCTCGAAATGTGCACCAAATTATGTGGATTTAAAGAGTATGCTGGCCTAAAAAGGA